ATGGCATCAAACAATCCTGTTTTTCATAATGGAGAAGCAGTACCGTTTAGATTTACCCCAAATATCCAAACATTCATTACCCCGATAGGTATTGAAGGTATATTCTCTAGTGCTTTAATGGCAATTGCTCGCTCTTTGACAGAGCCAGAGGTAATGCGTAATTATAGAATTAACATTTATCTAATCTGAAAAGTTTGGGCTTGATCACTATTTAAGTATTTTTGTTCGTGATGAATTAATGTTAGTTGTTTTTGGTGGTATATATTAGTTATTGATTATTTGTTTTAGTACATGGTTTACTCAACAACATCGTCCCTTGATACAAGATAGTCAACTTCGTGAGAAAGTTGCTGGAAACGTTGATTTAGTTGTTAGAAGAGTTGCATCTCTATCTCAGGTTGCACAAGGAAATCTACCTGCTAATCAGACAATAATTGATATGGTTTCACAAGCAGTTAACCCAAGAGCATTGGCACAAATGGATCAATTATGGGCAGCATGGCTTTAATTATATATATAGTTGAATAACTTTGCCTAATAAATGGTAAATATTTTAAGATATATGTTATTATAAGGGTTTATTATTATGTACATTATGATTATCCATTAATTTTACTGGTTTAATAAATTTTTATAATATTCATTTTCATTTATAAAATGCTCCAAAAATTCATTTTACTTTATTTTAAATAATATTTAACCAACCCAACGACGTGCAGATCTAAATAATTGAATCCATGGTCCCCATTCCCCCCATTCTGTAGACTGATCTATTGGATAATAGCTATTTGAATTTTTTTTAATAACTCTTTCAGGATGTGGCATAAGAGCAAGAATTCTACCATCTAGAGATTTTATTCCAGCAATACTATAAAGACTTCCATTTGGATTGTATGGATACCTATTTGTTGTTTTTCCATAATTATCTACATATTCAAGTGCTATTAATTTTTTATCCAAAAATTCTTGTAAATCTTCAGGACTATTAAAGTATGCTTGCCCTTCTCCATGTGCTACTGGAATTGGAATAATTGACCCTTCCATACCAGATAAAAATATAGAAGGGAGAGCCGTGGTTATATTATCATTCTTTGATATTCTTACAGATACAACCCTTGATTCATACTGTTCTGATTTATTACATATAAAATCGGGCCAACATTCTGCATCCAATATAAGTTCTTTAAGTTTAGTTAAAAATTGACAGCCGTTACATATTCCTAAAATAAATGTATCTTTGCGTAATGAAAGAAATTTATAGAATGATTGTCGAATATCTGAGTGAAGAAGAATAGAATTTGCCCATCCAGCGCCTCCACCAAGAACATCCCCATATGAAAATCCTCCACAAGCTGCCAATCCTATAAAGTTATCTAAGTCTACCTTTCCACTTATTAGCTCAGTCATATGAACATCTACTGCTGTAAATCCAGAAGATTCAAATGCATATGCCATCTCATAATACCCATTGATACCTTGTTCGCGAAGAATGGCAACTTTGGGTCGATATGATAATAAATTAGATGGAATAGATATATCTTTCATTGAATAAGTTAATGAAAAAATTAATCCAGGATTAGAATCATCAATAATGTCTTCGAATTCTTCTTTAGCACATTTAGAATTGTCTCTTAAAGATTGTATATGATACGATGTACTAGACCATATTTGTTGTAATATTCCTCTTGATGAACGATAAATTTCATTTCCAAAATGCATAATTGATATTATTTGTGAATTTTCATCTTGTATGTTACCAATAGTATAGATATTATTAATATTAAATTCTTTGGATAAAAAATAGTTTTTAAATTTATTCAAATCAGTTTCCCTAATTTGAAATAGTCCACCAAGTTCTTCATTAAAAAGAGTGTTAATGATATCCTGTTCTGAGGAATTTTTATGACATAAATCATTTAAAATCAATTCCAGTCCAACTCTTCCAGCAAATGTCATTTCTGCTGCTGCAGTAAAAAGTCCACCATCTGACTTGTCATGATATGCAAGCACAATATCATCATTATGTAAATCCTTGAGCACTTTTAAATATGATTTAAAATGTTTTACGTCTACAATATCTGGAGTTTCGTCGCCAATTTGAGAAAACACCTGAGCTACGGCAGATCCTCCCATTCTTTGTTTTTTATTTGCTAAATCTACAAATACTAGTATAGTTTTCCCTATACCCTTTTCTGTTTCTCTTCTTAATTGAGGTGTCCATGTTTTCCTAACATCGTCGACTAAAGAAAAAGCAGAAATAACAACAGAAAGAGGTGCTGTCACTTCCTTGCTTACACCATCACTAGTCCATTTCATTTTCATTGATAAAGAATCCTTTCCAACTGGAATACTTATTCCAAGCTGAGGACATAAGTCAATTGCAATTGCTTCAACAGCTTCATATAAAGCTTTCCCTTGACCCTTATGAGTAGATGATGCCATCCAATTAGCACTTAGACAAATTTGTTCAATCCCCTTTACGTCAGCTGCATATATATTAGTTAAAGATTCAGCAACTGCCATTCTAGCTGATGCAGAAGGAGATATTATTGATATAACAGGCCTTTCTCCAACAGAAAATGCTTCTCCATAGTTATTTGTATCACTAATTGATGATAAAACTACTGCAACATCAGAAACAGGTGTTTGCCATGGACCAACCATTTGATCACGAGAAACAAGTCCAGTAACACTTCTATCCCCAATAGTAATTAAAAATGATTTAGAACCAACAGAAGGCAACATAAGAACACGCCTAATAGCTTCCTTCAGTGTTGAAAAATCATTTTCTGAACTATTTTCAGATAATATAGTAAATTTTGATAATAGTAAATTTGTTGATGAATCAGTTTTAGATAATTTTGGAAACTCTTCAAATAATAATGACATTGGCAAATCAATACTAGTATTAAACAGTCTATCTGTCAATATAAGATGCCTTTCTTTAATAACATGGCCCACAATTGCTATGGGACAACGTTCTCTTTCTGCAATAGATTTCAAGATATCTATATTTTCAGGTAATATAGAAAGAACATATCTCTCTTGTGCTTCGCAACACCATAACTCCATTGGTGACATTCCAGAGTCATCTGTAGGTATTTCACGTAGCTCAATTTTTGCACCTACACGAGAATTATGAAGTAATTCAGGAAATGCATTAGACAGTCCACCAGCTCCTACGTCATGGATAGATTGTATGGGATTCTTTGAATTCAAAGAAATACATGTATCAATTACCATTTGTGCCCTTCTTTGCATCTCTGGATTTCCCCGCTGTACTGAAGAAAAGTCTAATTCTTCAGAACACTGACCAGAATCTAAACTTGAAGAACTCCCTCCTCCAAGCCCTATAAGCATTGAAGGCCCTCCTAATATTACTAACAATGCTCCAGGAGTCACTTCATTTTTAATTGAATGTATATTTTTAATTGATCCTATTCCTCCTGCTATCATAATAGGTTTATGATATCCCCAGAATTCATATTTTCCCTCAATATTACATGTTTTAATGGTAAGAGTTCGAAAATACCCAAAAATTGATGGACGACCAAATTCATTATTAAAAGATGCACTTCCTAGTGGTGCATTTAGAATAATTTCTAATGCAGATGCAATATGATGTAGTTTTCCAATATTAAGTTCCCATGGTTGACAAAAGTTTGGTATTAATAAATCAGAAACATTAAATCCTGTTAGTCCTGCTTTAGGTTTAGATCCTTGTCCAACTGAACTCTCATCTCTTATTTCTCCACCAGAGCCTGTAGATGCTCCAGGAAAAGGTGACACCGCAGTTGGATGATTGTGTGTTTCTACCTTTACTAAAAAGTGTAATAATTCATTACACTGCTTCCATATTTTTGTCTCAAAATCTGGATAAAAATTTGAAACTTCACGTCCCATTAAAACAGCTGCATTATCTGTATATGCAGAAATAGTATAATAAGGATTTTTTGCATGCGTATTTCGAATCATTGAAAATAAAGAATATGGTTTCTCAACCTTATTAATATTCCAATTAGCATTAAAAATTTTATGACGACAATGTTCTGAATTAATTTGTGCAAACATAAATAATTCAATATCATATGGATTCCTCGCTTCTAATAACTTATTGTCCCCTGTAAATGTATTTACAAGATATAAAATTTCATCTTGTAAAAAAGCTAAACTATACTTTTTATTAATATTTTCGAGATTAATTTTTACTTCTTCTTTTGAAACTTCTTTACATCCAATAGATATTTCTTGAAATGAAACATGTTCCAAATGTTTAAACAAAACTTCCTCTGTAGGAAATCTATAATCAATCATTTGTGTCATTCGATCATATAAATATGTAGAAAATTCTGATAATCTTGGTATTAATGATTCCTTATCATTTGTCTTAAGATAAAAAATCATTCCTCGTTCAATTCTCTTTATATATTTCTTAAATCCACATACATGTAGAATACTTGTAGCTTTAGAAGACCATGGTGATATTGTACCTGTTCGTGGAAGTATAATAAATGTATTATCCAAAAATTTTGACTCATAAATTGAAAATATGAGTTCTTTAATGTTCTTATCCTCTTCATTTATCTTAATTCCATATTTTAGCAGCTTATTAATAGAAATTCTAGCTGATTCTGATAATGTTTCATCTGGGCTTAATTCTATAAAATGTATATAAATACTATAAATATCCGTACAAAAGCTCGTATATGAGCTGTTCTTATAGAGAGAGGCATTAATCTTGTCTTTTAAGGCTTTTAACCGGAAATCAGACAAGCTATTTAAGCCTGGTATAATTAACATTAAATTTGTAGTTGAAATTTAAGTTCGGTTATAATATTATAATTAAACTGAAGTAAAAATGATAGAATTAAGATAGAAAAAGAAGTCTTAAAAGGCAGGTTAAAGTTATGTATTATTTATATTTTATTTATAAAATATAAATAATAAATGAATTAAGAATAAAAGATGAATATGAAAATAATGTTAAATGATAGAAAAAGATATTAAAGAAGAAATATATTGTTTATATGAATTGAATATTTTAATTAATCATCACCAAATATGTCATCATCAAATGCATCGTCGTCATTATAAAAATCGTCATCTTTAATAAATAAATAGAGAGATAAAGAATAGAATGAATTACCATCAAGAGCCCCTACTTTTTGTAAAAAATCTTTCATAAGCAAATTAACTTTAGAATCAGGTTCTTGAGAAATTAATGAAGTATCAAATTTTGTTTCATCAATTTCATCATCAGTAACAGAAGATGAAGAATCATTTGATCGTTCTAATATTTTTATAAATTCAAGATCAGATGCTATTCTTCCTTCAGATAACGCTTTAAATTTTTGTTTCATGATAAGTTTAAACTTATCGAATAGAGTAGATTTAAACCAACCATTTTTAAACTAAATGAATTAGAATAATAATTAGATGTATATAAAAGAAATACATTTGCCTTAGCTCTTAATGGAATTTTTCCTAGTAATTGTACAAGTAAACAATCAGTTATATCTATAATTTGGAAAATTCTGGTTTGTTGATAAAGTGTTTGTCCTGTAAATATGGGAGAATTGGATTCTTCCCTAATAAAATTAGTATAGTTATACATATATTTATATATATATATTACTTTTCTTGAGGAGAAAGATTAGCGTTATCCAAATTTTCTGAAGGTCTATATGTAAACGATACTGTTTGAAAAAATCGATATTTTTGGTCCGTACGAGGATCTACTCCATATTTTACATACGTATCTCTCCATGGACCTGATCTCCAATGATATGCTACATATGCTAGTGCGTATTTCAAATATACTGACATTCCTGAATCTTTTTCATTGACTTTATATGTAATTGCCCTACGTGTCCATATTGGACGCTCCTCAAATAATACTTTTAATAAATTTAAAATATTTTGTATATTCTGTTCTGGTATATTAGGAAGTTTAACATGAGGTTCTGCTGGAACTGTCTCCGTCTCCCATGGAACAGAAATAGACCATATTCTAGGCGCTTTTGACTTATTAACAAGCTTAAGTTTACTATCCTGTTGTATTTTAATTAAACTTGGATTTTGTCGATACCTATTAAAAATAAATATATATCACATAAATCACTCATTAGAACCAATAATTATGCGGAATCTTCGTCCTTGAAAACACCGATGGAACTGGAAGATCAAGATTCTCCGGATCATCTTTTTCTTCTAATGATATTGAAAATTCATCCAACGATTCAACTATCATATTAATCAATTTTATAATTATAATTTTTATACACATCACATTCAAGAGGAATAATACTCTTATTCCACATTTTAATAAAATTTGATGCATGTGTATTATATTGAAAATCAATCATATCTGTTAATTTAACTTTTTATCCCTCTCTAATATATATAATTCTTGCCTCTAAATCTATACGTTTTTTTTATTATTCCAATAATTCTATACTCTATAAAACTCTCCGTATCCTCTATTTCCTTCTCTTTTTCCTCTTTTTTTCCTTTTTTTTTTAACTGAAGTACCAAATTATGTACTTTTACTGGACGTGCTTGAACCGGATGCTCATACGGATTTTTCGGCCATAATCTTAGCTCTAATGGCTTCTTCTCCTCCAATTCCTCCTCCTATTACCTATCAATTCCTCTTCGTTTTCTTCTATATAAAAACTTGTAAACATGCTCGACGAATCTCTCCAATTCCTCCAAGTGTTTCAAGACTTTTCTCCAAATTATCCACTTTTCCTGGGTATTCAATAGAGAAACACTTCTTATATAGAGGTTTAGACTTCTCAATCATCTAATATTGAGCCAATCTAGGACTTCTTTTTTTTTTTTAATTTTGGAGGTAGAAAAGGTGAGGTTGTGGTTTCCAGGACAACGTTAGGAGAGCCAAGTGATGAGAGGAGGTAATATCAACGTGAAATCTATAAAAAGGAGAAAATACGAGGAAAATAGTGAATAAACGTGGGATATTTTAGTTTATTTGAGTTGTAAGTATTATTTTTAGTAGGATTTAGTTTTTGAAGGGAGAAAATAGGATAAAAATTGAAGATTTTAGAGTTGATTGGGGTTGTTTAATATATATTGATTTTTTGAGGGATTCAGGAGTATAAAGAGATGAAAGGATTTAAGAATAAAGTGGTATATATAGAATAAGAAGATTATGGGGTTTTTTTTCTGAGATTTTTGGTAGCTTTTGAGGGCAAGATCGTCTAGTGATTCTAGCAAAAGTTCACAAAATTCAAAGGGAAAAGATATGAAAGAAGGGACGGGAATTACAGAGAAGAAGCCGGAACGAAGTCTTAAACTTAAGGATTCATTTAGACAATTAGCTCAGGGAGCATTTTCGATGCCTAGTATACCAACATCTATTAGTAATGTTCCATTATATATGAATACAACATCTATGGTTTATATAAAAATATGAGTGTAAATAGAGTTAATATTTGAAAAAGCATTTGACGCCATCTGGTGTATCTGAAATTATTTCTGGAGATCTTGCTTTACTTAAGCATGGGACGAAAACAACAGCATTTGAAAGATTACAACCGACATCTAAAAATAGTGCAGCATTAGATGCAATAAAGACGCCTAAAAGGAATACATCTTCTAGATTTAGAATATCTACGGAACGAGAGCTTGAAAAGCTTCCATCTTTTCATGGTTGGTTATTTGAAGTATATAAATGGGAATATTATTAATAAGATTATTATAGAGGTTCCTTCGAATAATCGGCAAGATCTTTTTGTTCAAAAACTTAAGCAATGCAATGTTATTTTTGATTTTACTAATGCATCAATGGATATGCGAAGTAAAGAGATTAAAAGAGAAACATTACATGAATTATTGGAATATGTAACGAACAATAGAAATGTTATTACTGAACCGCTTTATTCCAAAGTTATTGATATGGTATATCTTTTAATTTATTGAAAAAAAAAAAAGCTTATAAATATAATAGTTTTCAACGAATTTATTTAGACCTATTCCGCCTCCTGTAAATACATATGGAGAATGTTATGATCCAGAAGAGGATGAACCTGTTTTAGAAGTAGCATGGCCTCACCTTCAGATGGTATATGAATTTTTTCTTCGGTTTATAGAATCTCCTGATTTTAATACTAATCTCGCAAAATCATACATTGATCATCATTTTATACTTCAGGTATGTTTTGATTAATAATTTCAGTTTTTTTAATATATACGAGTTACTTGAACTTTTTGATAGTGAAGATCCTCGAGAAAGAGATCTTCTTAAAACTACTCTACATAGAATTTATGGAAAATTTCTTACTTTACGGTCTTTTATTAGAAAATCCATTAATAATGTTTTTTTTCAATTTATTTATGAAAGTGAACGGTTCAATGGGATTGCTGAATTATTAGAAATATTAGGAAGGTATGTTATATTTTATTTTAAGTACTCAAATTAATTTAAAAGTATTATCAATGGATTTGCTCTCCCATTAAAAGATGAGCATAAATTGTTTTTGATACGTGTGTTGTTACCTTTGCATAAAGTTAGATCTATTTCTATGTATCATCCTCAATTATCTTATTGTGTTGTACAATTTTTAGAAAAGGATCCTAGTTTGACTGAAGAAGTATAAAATATGAATGTTTTATGTTTTTTTTTTAATATTTAAGGTTATTCTTGGACTTCTTCGGTTTTGGCCAAAAGTTAATAGTACAAAAGAAGTATTGTTTTTAAATGAAGTTGAAGAAATATTTGAGGTGATGGAACCATCGGAATTTGTTAAGATTCAAGTACCTTTGTTTCAACAGTTATCAAAAGCAATTTCTAGTCAACACTTCCAAGTAATTTTATTATTTTTTTTTTGAATTAATTTTAATTTTTATAGGTAGCAGAACGAGTTTTGTATTACTGGAACAACGATTATTTTTGTAATTTTGTTAATGATAATGTTGATGTTATTCTTCCTATTATTTTCCCTGCGCTATATGAAAATTCTAAAATGCATTGGAATAGGTAATTTTATTTTATTTTATTTTTTGAGTTTTATAATTATAGAACTATCCATGGAATGATCTATAATACTATGAAAATGTTTATGGAAATTAATCCTACATTATTTGATGAATGTTATAATGACTATACTTTTTCTCAAGAAGAAGCTGAAATAAAAGATAAAGAACGAAAAGATATGTGGTTGGCTTTAGAAATTATGAGCAATTCTGGAGGAAAAGATTCTTATGGAAATATAGAAGTTTTTTCAAAAAGCCTTAAAGGTTAGTCTATTTTATTTTTTCTACTTTATATAAATAAAATAGAAACACGTAGACCACTTGAACAATCGATAGAAAACTTACGTTTAGATGATCATAAATACACACAAGCAATATCTATTACAAAACCGACAAGAATTAATACAGAGGTTTATTGTTTAGATGCTGGGTTTAGTAATTAAATATTTATAGACAGATGATACTCGAATAAAACTAAATACTAAATATTCTTCATGATTTTTAAAAACATAGATATATCATCATTCATTTGTAATATTGAAACTAAATTTATTTATTGCACTAAAAATTTTAATGTGTAAATCACTATATTATACAACTTTATGATCTTGTATATTATAATTTTATTCAAAATGCTATTAAAATTTAATTTACTACATTAATAGTTAATATTTTCTAGACATTATTTTCGTCTTCAAATAAGAAGTCTGAGGGAATGTGTTGGATTTGTACTGAAGGGGCATGTGATATATTTCTAAGATTATCAATTACTTTTGAGCTATAAAATATAAATAAATCCTTGATTGATTAATATAAATGTACTTACGTTATATTTTCCAGATATGTTCTTGAGTTTTGATTTTCCATATTGTTTGAAGGAACATCTCTATTTTAATAGATTATTTTAAAAAAGCTTATAATTATATTTGCATACAGTTTAAATTCTGGTCCATAATAATCCAAGTATGAATTAAATGGAATGTCTTGGCTTGTTTTTAGCCCATTTTTAGAATATTTTTTAGCTTACTTTCATCCAACGTTTCATCAATAAGAACAGCTGTTTCATATGTCCAAGCACGAGCAACGTTTCTAATTGTATATCCACCGCCACTAAATTGTTTTATTTAAAAAAGCTTGATAAGAAGAATAAAAATATACCCTACTGCAACAATAGGAAGATTAAAACTTTTGACAAATCTCACACATTCTGCATGGCCTAGTAATCATATAAATTTTTCATTCTATAATTGTTTTCATACCTTTCATTGAAAGATTAAAACATCCAAGTCGATCACCTGCAAGAGAATCTGCTCCACATTGTAAAACAACAACTAATTATTATTTACCATCAATCTATCAAAAAAACATATACTAACCATTTGGCCTATACCAATCCATAATCCTTTGTATAACCTAAAAAATATACAATTAAAAGTAATTAATTTATATAAAATCTTTTACTGGCTTAAAAACACTTTCATATGATTCATCATTAATTCCATCCTTAAGAGGTATATTAACTGAATAATTCTTTCCCTTTCCTATTCCAATATCCTCAATACTCCCTGTACCTGGAAAATATTCCCCAAATTTATGAAATGAACACGTCATCACTCTGTCTGTCGTATAAAACGCTTCCTCCACTCCATCTCCATGATGAATATCAATGTCAATGTAAAGAACCCGTTGGTTATATCTAATTTCTTAAATTTATTTCATTCTAACCTAATAAAATACTTCAATAATTCTAGAATTGCAAGAACAATATCATTGACATAACAAAACCCCGATGCTTCCCGTTTTTTTGCATGATGAAGTCCCCCTGACCAACTTCCATAAATAAATAATCATAAATTTCTTTTCTTCACTTAATTGCTATATTAGAATCCCCCGTATTGATCTTTTGTGCTGCACATATAGATCCTCCCGCTGAAATAGAACAAAACTCAAAAAGTCCACTTCAAATTCTTATTAAAACAAAATATATTCAATTCCATTCGTTTTACTCAAATACTGGACAGTCTTCTCCAACATTAACTGACAATTATTTCCTTCTTTTCAAAAAATAAAAACATACACCGTGATTGATGTAGAATAAATTTCTCCATAGTATCCGGCGTTACCCTCCATAAGAAATCTACATATTCATCTGTATGGCATCTATCATAACCCTTTAAAAAACTTATTTATCCCCAATTCAATTCCTTTATTTACCGTGTCATATCTTTCTTAGTTGCTCTCTTAGGAACCTAAATACACCCAAATATAAGCCTATTATTCCTTGTTTATCTCCTTATACTACCGTCATATCCAGTTTTTTATATAGTCCATAGCTTAAGACTAATGAATGTGTCTATTTTTTTTTTAAAACCACTTTTCTGTTATTTTTTAATATTTACCATTCTCATTCTATGAGGTTTCATAGGGTGATTTGCTCCATAATGGTAGTTTCCAATGTCTGGATCATAAAAATAGCTGACTGTTTTGTGCATAATAATTGCGACTTGGATCGAGAGTGAAGGATGAGAAGGTAGAGGGATAATATGGGAGAAAAAAAATATATAAAGAGGATAGAATAAGAGTATAATTTTGAGTATAGATATGTATGAAAGAGGAATTGAGGTTATTTTTTGAAATTGAGAGAAGAACTAAATTACTGTAAAAGGTTAGAGAGAAGATGATAGGGAGGGAAGAGAGGATACAGTCAGCTATATTCATCTATGAAATGGTTAGATATAAGAAGAAGAAGATGATGATGATGAAGAAAAAGTACTTACAGGCATTTCATCAATTTGTGTAGAATAATATTGTTCAATATCACGTAAAATACGAACGTCTTCAGCCTGTAGAGAAAAATATAAATAAAATGTATAGATAAGAATAAGAAATTTACAGTTACGAAATTTATAGCTACACTATATGAATGTAAGAGAATGAAAAGAAAAAAGAAGAAGGGAAAAATACCCTTTTCTACCGAAACGACCACTTCTACCAATTCTATGAATATAATTTTCACGATTAGGAGGGAGATCATAGTTAATTACAAGGGAAACTTGTTGTACCTAATGATTTTTTTGTAAGATTTATGAGATGTTTAAAAAAAGTGAAAGAAAATTACATCGATGCCACGAGCCCAAATATCAGTACAAAGTAAAACTCTAGAATTTCCTTGTCTAAATTCGCCCATGATTGCATCACGTTCTTTTTGAGGCATATCACCATGCATACTAAGATTTGTAATTAGAAAAATGAGGAAGTTAAAATAAGAGAATGATGTAGTGAAAAGATACCTTGATACGGTAAAATTTGCTTCTCTCATTTTTTCTGCTAGCCAATCAACCTTTATTATTAAAAAAAAATAGATAGAAAAAAATAGATATAATGAAATACCTTTCTTCGGGTGTTACAAAAAATAACTGCTTGGGTAATAGTTAATGTATCATATAACTATAATTGTGAGTTAGTGAACATGAAAAGATGAATATTACATCGCATAGTGTATCGAATTTCCATTCTTCTTTTTCCACAGCAATAAAATATTGTTTAAGACCATCTAAGGTTAATTCATCACGTTTAACAAGAATTCTAACAGGATCGGTCATAAATTTACTATAAAAATTAAAATATAAATTTATATATGTTTAAATGTACGTCGTTAACTCTAATAAAAATATTAATATAAACTTTTGTTTTAAAATATAATACAAACCAAGCACATCATATGGAAGTGTCGCACTAACCACCACTACTTGTGTTCCTGGAGGAAGATATCGATATACATCATAAATTTGCTCTCTAAATCCTCGATTTAAAAGTTCATCTGCTTCATCAAGAACAAGCATCTTTATATTACGTGTCCTTAAATTTCTTCTTCGAATCATATCTGCAACTCTACCCGGTGTTCCTGAAATAACCTTTTAAAATATTTAATATATATATATTATATATATTATTCATACATGTTGTCCATGATCTAATTTTCTAATATCTTCCCCAATATTCGTCCCTCCAATACAGGCATGGCTTTGTACATTCTGATACTGTCCCAATGCAAGTAAAACATTTTGAATTTGAATCGCAAGTTCTCGTGTTGGTGAAAGAACTAATGCCTGCGTTTCTCGAACTGCCGTATCAATCACTTGAAGAATAGATATAGAAAACGTCGCTGTTTTGCCCGTTCCTGACTGTGCCTGGGCAATAACATCTAAATTTCAAAATTCGATCAGATCATGAAAAAAGACTTAATAAAACGATTCTGCCATCGTTTTTTTCCCAAAAAAAACCCTCCAGCATATTCAACCAGTCATTCTTTACCTCTTCCTTTTAATATTTGCGTAATAGCTCTACTTTGTACTGCACTTGGCAGCTCATATCCATAACTATAAATCCCTCGCAAAAGATCCTCTTTTAAATTCATTTCTTCAAAACTTGCTGCAACTGTAACCTCTTTAGACGTCGTAAAGACCGTCTTATTCTCATTTTTATCCTCTTTTAAAGCCATTAAAAAGTCTTAACCTATGAATATTTAAAAAATATTAAGTTTTAGCGGTTTTTTGTACGCTTTTTAAAGATGGATTAAAGCTCGAGGTTTATAGAGAGAAAATATAAAAAACAAAAAGAAACTAATTAGAGAATATTAGTAATATTAATGTGTTGTTATAAATCTATTGAAGTGATATTAAATTTCGAAAAAGCGAATCAAATAGGATAATTTTTGATAGAGAAAACCCAGTATGAAAAAAAGAGTTAAAGACGATATTTTTTTCTTCTTGAGATCCATTTAGATTTTATAGGAGACAAATTTTCTTTGTTCATTTCTACAGAAAATATCTCAATATTTGTTTTTATTTGAGGTATTTCGATATATGTTTGTTCATCATAATAAATATCGAATTTTTCATGAAAAGATTTATTTATTTTTGCAGGAGCACTTTGTGGTTGTAATTTTGTTTTATCTTTATTTTTTCCTTTTGAAATTTCTTTTTGTCTACAAGGTGTTATGAAGCCATCAGTAGCGTATGTAGAAGAAAAAACAGAAGGTTCTAAAGAAACTTTGACAGATGGAATATAAACATATGTCAATTCATGATCTTCCTTTTGTTTTAAAGTCCATAATGGTTTTCGTTCTTTTTTTCGTTGCCATTCATCCAAATTTTCTTCTATAAATATATTTTTTTCTTTCAATCCTTTCAAAACTTTATTCTGTTCATCAATTTTCTCTTGAGATGTCATTTTTCCTGTTTCTTCCTGTATAAATATCTTATTTTTTCATTTATCTCTGTCTTTATTTATATAGTTTTGAAGGATCAACGATAAGATAAAAATATATTTTTAAACAAGTCCAAAGTATAGTTGATAATATATGTATAAAAGCCTGTATTCTAGTTAAAAATATAATTTTTTATATGTTTTATTTGTATTTTTTATGTTTCTTTGAAATGTTTTAAAAAGTATGAAGTAGATGTTGCGAAAACCATTGAAGCAAAGGATACCATTCTTTGCGGTTACGCGGCATTGTATCTCCATCATGATCTTTCCAAATGATATGTTCAACCTGATAAAATATTTTTGAAAGTTGTTGTATAGTTTGAGAGGTGATACGAGATTCATCATCACCTCCACAAAGTAAAATAGGTGTTGTAAGACGAGATATGACACAAGATGTGTTTTTTATATGATCTTCTTTATTGTTAGTATTGTTGTTCATTTCATTTGTTTGTGTAGATAAAGATTCCTTAAAAATAATCAATTATAATTGATAAAATGGATAATTTATGAAAATTACGTTTAGAAATAGATGAGAAAATGAATCAAAAGATTCAACAATCCCTCCTATTGATAAAACTCCTCCGAATCGTTTGTTAAAATGAGGAGATTCTGGTTTACTTTGTGTTAATGTAAAATTAAGTGCTAAACGACCACCTTGTCCATAACCTAAGAAGAAAATTGCTTGTGAAACAAATCCACAGCCTAAAGGCAGTGGATCTGTTAATGTTTTACATAATATTTCTAATATTTCTATTGCTTTTTGTAAATCTGCATCATCTGAAACAATTCCATCATCATCAAATGTTAAATCTGAGCCCCAATGCCAAGATCCAGCTTCATCATCACAAAGATCAACTAGAGGTGTTTGTTTTAATCCGCAAAGACTAATACAAACAGTTTCTGGTAGGTTAAGATGTCGAGCTAGCCGTGCAAATGGAATATGAGAGCCACCTAGACCATGAAGTAGAATAAGACAATTAGAAATAGGTGTATTTGGTGCTATGATTGATCCCTTAAGAGGTTCAGGAAGGTCTGATAAGGTTGGAATACGGTATTGGGTTGATTTGTTATATTTCATTGTAAAGATTAATTGATTTCTAAATTATATAAAAAACTGATTGAAAGAAGGACCAAAAAGCAGATGCTTATGTCAGTACTTGGGACTATTTACATGCCAGATAGATATTTAATAGGTTTCAAAAGTGATAAGGGTTTAAAGACTGAAAAGTAATTATAAAAGATAACATTTTTAAAAAATATATAAAATATTTTTAAGTCGTTTTATCAGTGTTTTCCTTGCACCAATTAAGGTATTTTTCATGCAATATAGCTTGTCTCTCCCAATCTTTAGTTAATTTTTTCCGTCTACTTTTAGTTAGTTCGATGCCTTGGGCATCATGTAAAGGAAATCCTTGATCATCCCATTTTGAATAATCACTAGTTTGAAAATATTCTTTAGGAGACAATTTTCCTTTAAGAATATTTTCATATAATTTTTGTTCTTTAATTTTTTTATTTAATAATTCCTGTTGTAATTTTTCTTCTTGTTGTTGTTTAAGTTCATTTTTATCAACAAATTTTATTAAAGCATTCCTGTCTTCTCTGTCTTCTAATTGTATACCTAAATTTGTTAAATCTACATCACGCAATTTGTCACAAAGTTTGAATAAATCTTTAGATAATTCCGTACTGCTTTTGAATTTAGAAAGAATTAAAAGATTCCTTATATCATCTCTAAAGGTTGAGAGAACTTTAACATATGGCATAATTGTTTCATTGTGCTATTAGAATTAGTTTTATTTAAAATACTAGAAAAATATTACATTAATTGTTATAGAAGATTCATTAAGTTGATGTTCGATAACAGTAAAACTATCATCTTTCAACCCAAAAATTTCAAGAATGCTGGATATCCATTTTGCCACATTAGTAATTATAAGAATATTAATATCTGATTGAGCTTTAGAAATATATATATTTGTTTTAGTTATCAAATTTATAATAATATCCAAAGATTCTGGAGTATTAAAATTATCGCAAAGAGCATCATGTAGTGCTTCTTGTGCTTCATATAAACTAAAAAATTTAAATACCCTATAAACATATAATATTGACTTACTTTTTACAAAGCTCTTTTTCTTGACATGAAATAACATATTTTATAACTTCATCTTCTTTTAAATTTAGTTTTTTCTCAATTATCAAGGAATTTATGTTTATGAAAAAATTCTTTATCATAAATATAGTATTTTAAATTGGATATATACTTACACGAAGTAATGATTCGATGGCTTTAACATCTGTCATAAAACTTTCCTTAAAATCCATTTTCAAATTCCATTGCTGTTTTAAAAAACATAATCTCATTTGTCTTGGTGTGTATTTTTTCAAAGCATCTTGAATAGTAATAAAATTTTTCAAACTTTTTGACATTTTTTGTCCTTCAATATGCAAATGACCCATATGTAAAAAATAATTAACCCACTGATCACAATCAAAAAATGCCTAAAACATTAATTAATATGATATTTCTCTTTTTTTTTTTTTTTTGCAATGGTTTACTTCTGATTGAGCAAGTTCATTATCATGATGTGGAAATGCTAAATCTATACCCCCTGAATGTATATCTATTTGTGATCCAAGAATTTCAGATGCCATGGCAGAACATTCTATATGCCAACCTGGACGTCCCTAATAATAAATGTTTTAATTTATAAATAAAATTAAATTTAACTACCTCGCCCCATGGACTTTCCCATTTCGGTTCGCCTATTTTACTTGCTTTCCATAGTGCAAAATCTCTGGACATTTTTTTCCCTTCAGAATAATTAAGTTCCCCTGTTTTTATCCTTTAATTATACATGTTTGTAATATATAAAAACAATATATACCTTCCCCTTCATTGGCTAACTTTTTATTATTTTTATTCCAAGGTTCTATCTTTGCATATGTATGACGACCATCTGCCTCAAATGCTTTTATATCAAAAAAAACACTTCCTCTTGATTCATATGCATAACCTTTATTAATAATTTCTTGAATAAATTTAATGATTTCCGGTATAAATTCAGAAACCCTGACAACAACCGATGGTTCTAAAACACCCAATGCTTTCATATCTTCATTAAATTTATTTTCCCAATATGTAGATACTTGACGAAATATAAAATTATCTTTAATCAAATGTTTATACTTCAATCATTACTCAGATTCTTCCTTATTCTTTAAAATACCTCTTCATCTAACTTTAAAACTAAAACATCCTTCACTTTTTCTAGAAAAACTTCCGGTGAAAGTGTTTTATATAATATTAATGCTTCATATGATTGATTTAACGTTTTAAAATACATTCCAAGCTTTCCATCCGATTTTATCATCTCCGAATCCTTAATACTATTCGACCATTCCTCAAATCCCTCAAATGTTACCGATTTATTTGGAAAATATTGATTAAAATAACTTTTCCATGCCGTTAACACTTTTTCATACACTTCTCTCGTAATTTCTTCGTTTTTTTTCGCATATTCATTAAAAAGATAATTATATCTCGCCTTCAGAATAATCTATACCTCATTATTCCCCTCTTTTCCCCTAATATCCTCCTTACTTTGTCATCAATATCCGTTATGTTTTGAACAAAAATAACATCATATCTAAAATATCCCTGCAAAATTCTACGTATAATATCCGTCGTCACATAGTTTCTTCATCCTTCTGCTTATTTATCTTCCTCTAAAACCTCCTATCATTACCTTGCATGTCCCATATGACTCCAATCATAGACCGTCGGTCCACAACAATACCATGTAATTCTTCCCCCATTTAACGGCACAAACTCATTCTATACCTTCATATCACTATCTATATATCTGTTTTTCTTTCTTACCTTGCTTCTAGTAAACGAATTCCAGACCTTCAATTTTTCTCTTTCTTTTTTCACTTTTGGTGCCTTCCATGGTCCTTTTTTTTCCAAAAAAAAAGCCATCCCACTAAAATAACCCTTCGCAATCTCGTTTTTGCTCTTATTTCCTCTTAAAAATCCTGTTTTACTCACATAATCCCCATAAACTCTCCTCCCACTCTTCATGAACGTCCTGCATATCGATCGGCTCATTTTTCATAACACGGGAGATTCGCCTCTCTGAGCCTCGAGACCGCAGAAAAAAACGGTCCCTCCATGATCTGCCCTTGAAGTGATGGGCTGCCCTTTAACAGTCTAATAATGTAAGGAAAAGGATCAGGACGTATCTTAGGATTGGAATTTGGTCTTTTTTCCGGGTTAAAAAAGCGAGAAATATTGATTAAACAAAATGGTATTTTTAGAGATATTTGCATGGGCAGTTTTGACATGGTATGTCTTTGTTATCTCTCTTATTATATTTGGATGGATTACTATGTGAGTTCTGAGAGTATATATGGTTTTTTTTTGGGTATTTAAGAGGGATTAGTTGGTTTATTAAGTCGAAAAATAGGATCCATGATGAGAAGGATTTAACGGAGGCATTGCCGGGGGTATCTATTCTTAGACCTCTTAAGGGACTAGATCCTCGTTTGTATGAATGCCTGGAGTCTACGTTTGTGCAGAAATACCCTAAATTTGAGATTATATTGTCTGTAGCAGATGAGACGGATCCAGCGGTCTTAGTAGCCAAAGAAGTGATAAAGAAGTATTCTAAAGTTGATGCGAGAATTATTATTGGTTAGAAGAGGGAATTTATGGGAAATTTTATTTATATATTTAGGCGACGAAAGGATTGGACAAAATCCGAAGATTAATAATCTAATACGTTCTGAACGGGAAGCAAAATATGATATTCTTTGGATTCTGGATAGTAATATATGGATATCACAAGGATGTATTAAACGGAGTGTTAAATCGTTGATGACGCCAGGAGTTCAGCTGGTACATCATTTACCAGTATGTATTGCATCGTCATCACGACCATCAGTGGGGTCATGTTTAGACGAGATGTTTTTATCTACGTTTCATGCAAGAATGTATTCAGCAATTAATCGTATTGCGGTTACACCATGTGTTATAGGTAAAAGCAATTTATTTAGGCGAATATCCTTGTTATCTCGAGCACCTAAGGGTTTAAAAGAGTTTTCAAACTATATAGCTGAAGATCATTTGATTGCTACAACATTGTGGACAAGACGAAAAAGTCATTTTATGGCGGCAGAATATGTATGGCATCCGGTTGATAATATTAGGATTAGTGATTATATTACAAGACGTATACGATGGATACGCCTTCGAAAATATGTAGTCACTGTACCCACGTTGGTTGAACCATTTACTGAGAGTATATTATCCGGTTTTTTGGGAGTTTGGTCGATTTCTATTTTAAGTAACTTTAGACATGCTTATATATTATGGATCATTCATATGTTTGTTTGGATGGTTATGGATTATACACAATTTAATATTTTACGCTCTTCTCTACCTAGCGAAATTAAGGATGATTCCAATTTGACACCATGTTGCTATAATTTCTTTCATTGGATTTGTATTTGGGTTTTACGGGAAATATTGGCGTTTCCAATTTGGGTTATAGGTATTTCTGGTTCACAGATTTATTGGAGAAATCAGACGTTTACACTTCGTTCTGACATGACTGCACAAATAGTATATTAAAAAACTTGGTTTTAATAAAGTAAAAAGGTTTTAATATTTTTTGTATGAGTTGGTGTGTTTTTTGTTTCAGTTATATTCTTTTTTGGAATTGGCTGATAAATGGGTTTTTTGTCTTTTAATTTTAGTAAATTATCATTATTTATATCATAAATAATACAAGTTGGATATGGTTATCCAGTTTTGTTAATTGTTTTAAAAATTAGAGTATTAAATTTATATACAATTTTGAAAAAAAGTCATTAAATTTAATATTTTAAAAAAATAGTTTTAATGGTTTAATAAAATTATAAACTTCTATATTTATAAATATTTGGTGTATATTCAAAATATAAGCTTAGGAAATGTGGATTTTGCAGGTTCAATAAACTTTGTGTATTATTAGTCTTTTTTAAATCTTAAATCCAATTTTCTATAGAGAAATAGTTAAATATTTCGAAATGAATAATTTTATATTAATATTATTAATGTTATTTATTATCATAACGAGGATGTCCTAAGTACTACTTTTTTCAGAGATATATTTTAAATCAAAAAAGAATTCATGAATGTATAATATATAAATATTCATGTGAACCAAAAACATGTGTTATTTTATAAAATAGTTTTTATCTTGATTTTACCTTTTCATTAGGATTTCTTCTACCCATTCCAATGACTACTTTATGACAAGATGTATTTCTTTTGCCTGTTAAAATATCCGGAAGTTTGTCTGGATCTAATAAATTTATTTCTTTTTTTCGTTTCTGATATTTTACTGCCTTTTGATATTCCTTTTGATCTTCACGAAGAATGATAGGTTTATAACCTTTTCCAGATGCAGAACCATGTTGAGGTTTAGGAATTGGATAGATCGTTCCTCTATTGTTCCATTGCATATGTCGTTTGAGATAAATTCGAAATTTGCCATTAGAATTCATAGAACAAGATGTACGCAAAAGTGTATTTCCTCCACATCCTGGACAGAATCTCTTCGACATATCTTTAACAATCCTAATGAAAAATAAGCAATAATATTTGAATAAAACAAATCATATACTTAAAACATGCGTAACATCTTAAAACCCATGATTTAACCGTTTTAATTTTTAACCCATTCTCTGGAGAGACTAAATTCAAATCCATTTGCAATAGAATATTTTGTATTGCAAAATCATTTGTAACACATGCCACTTTTATATATTCTGCTTTTTTCATAGGAATCGTGCCTGATCTTTTGTTTAATGACTTATAATAATGGATATTAGAGGGTGTAATCCATCCATCATCATCATCCATATCCTTGAAATTCATATTTTCTAGATCATTTGCAAGTTGATGGACATTATTCGTTAAATTTTCATTTTTATGTTCTTCTTCAAAAGAATCTTTAAGTATAGAAATATCAGATAAATCTTTTTCATTAATAGCTGTATTAATATCTTCTTTTTTTGATGTTTCCTCTATTTTAGACTATTGTTATTAATCCTAGATATTTAATTAATTAAAAAGTATTACTTTGTCGAGTTCTTTATATGATTCAAAAGAATTATCATTTATTTCACATTCAAGTTCATATGTAAGTGCAAGAAGATGGATATCTGTTATACTTAAAACCTCATAATCTCCTGTTTTTTTAGAAAATGTAATTACTTTTTTACATTAGAAAAAAATGAAAAAAAAAAATGAAATCCTTGCTTTTTTCAATATAAAATGGCTTAGGCATTCGGATAATAATTTTCTCTTTCCATAAAGATAATGTCTGACATGATGATTTATCTTTAATTTCTGTTAAGACATTAGGAACCGTATATAAACATGATACTTTATTAATAATTGACAATCCAAAAAAAGAGATAAAGCATGATGAATCAAGAACCAATGCTCCTATAGAATATGAATCTTTGTCTGTTAATGTCATCTGTATTTTATTAAATATAAAAAATGTTTTTATCGTATATTGAAAAAACGGCTAAGTTGTTAAGTAAAATATATAAAGACCATATTAATATGAATAAAAATTAAGAAGTATTTGTTTGATCATAAATATTTGTTTTTCTTTTTGAATGTATATATTATGGATTTTGATTATCGCCAAAAACAGAGTGCCAAACAGATGGATCAACGGCCCATGTATTATTAACGCCTTTGCCATTTCTTCGTGCAACAGTATTTAATTTCCATTGAATTGTTTGTTTATTAATATCTGAAAATTTTTGCCGTAATGTTTCTACAAGTAATACTTTTGTTTGAGTGCTTCCTTGAATTATTTTTAAAAAAGATGGAAGTGAATCCTGTGGAAAATGTAGTGAAGGTTTAGGAGGTAATACTGAAGAATTTGTCTTTACAGTAGAGTTTTGAAACTTGGGATCATTATTTGAGTTTGATTCTGGTGACCAATAATCTTGATAAGGATTGATAGGAAGATTTATGTCTAATATAAATAAATAAATAAATAAATGTTAAAAATTATAACACTTACCTAATAAAGAGTTCATTTTGAATTTCTTAAATAATTCATAATCATCTGTATCCATATTATTAGAATGTTGCCAATATAGGCCTTTAACACTAGGAATTAAATTTACTATCACTTTTTTTTTTGTATTATTTGATTCGCCTTCATCATCAAGAAAGTCCCTATCATCTTCATCTTCTTTTAATGCGGCTGCTTCTTCTTCTTCTTCACTATCATCCATATTATCAATATCTTCCCCTTCTTCTTCTTCTATCCATTCTGCTTCTGAATCATAGTCATAATTAAATAAACCCTTGTCAATTTTAAATGGATTTCTTGGAGTTAGTATAAATGATGATTTAGAAAATGTGCCATAATAAGGTGGTCGAACATCTTCTTTAAATTGAAGCAGTTTCATAGGAAATATTTTCAATTTGTTCAAAAGGTCTTCTGTTGAATCAGATTGTTCATATTTTTGAAGTAAGTATTTCACAGTAATGTGTGATTTAGGTTGACGAAATAATAGGACAGGCTTGGTTTTAAAAAGAGATAATAAATGCTTGATAGCTAGACTTGATAAGAAAATAATATCAATAATAATAATCTTACGAGATATAATTGAAAAATCCGAATCCAAAAATGCATCCATATCTTTCATAATCGTCATACGTTCATCTAGATTCCGTACAAATGCATGTTGGTCTGAAAGTAACGCGTATTGTTTAACAAAAAACGGGATAAAACATTTTTCATAATCTGAACTAAAACAATCTAAAATACTTGTTTATCATGACAATTTCCCTTTTTTATACATACCTTTTATTTCCACTGTATTTTCTTTAGGATGCGTTTTATAAAAAAAACATTGAAGTTTTAATTGAGAATCTGGCTTCTTCTCTACATTATTTTCTCTTTTTTCTTCCTTTTTTTTCTTTGCTTCATTTTTTTCTTGATCTTTAGCTTCTTTTTCTGCTTTCTAATCTAATTAATCAACTCAATTAACATCCTAACCCACTAAAACCTTTTTAACTCTCTCCTCCTCCCTTCTAGCCCTCTCCTCCTCTCTTCTAGCTCTTTCTTCTTCTTTTTTAGCCTTTTCTTCCTCTTTTTTAGCCCTTTCTGCCTCTTTTTTAGCTCTTTTCGCCTCTTTTTCCTCCGCTTTTCGTTTCTTCTCTTCATTCCTCCTCTCAATCTCCTTTTTTACCCTCAATTCCTTCCTGTATCGTCCCTCTTCTTCCCTTTCTTGTGACTCACTTGTCTCCGTCCTCATTTCTCTAATTCTTTTGCTTCTCCGTCTATTCTAACCCCTAATAAATAACATATACCATTAAATAAACGCGTATAAACCCTTTCCTTCTCTAATTCCCCCTCTAATTCCTCTTCCTGGGCCTTTCTTGCTTTTATCTCATTTTTCCCCTCTATTATCTTGTTCTCATCCTTATTTTCTCGCTCAAAAGAGCTAATAACATTAAAGTCCTCAATAATACTAATATAATTCGTGTTTGTCATTCCTATTTCCTCTTATTATTCTTATTTAAAAACTATATCTTTCTTTGATACCGCTTAAAAACACGTTTATTCTATATTAACAAATTAGATCTCTGTTTTATCATTATAATTAAATTATATCTACGTTTTTACTTAGTTTCTATGTAATATTGGCCTTTAATGAGGTATTTCTTAAGAAATTGCCTGGTCTTGAGGTTAATAAAGGTTGTTAGTGGTGTCGAGACGGATGAACGATCAACGTACAAAGAACGAGGAAAATCTGGGCTTTGTATTAGATAAAAGGAATCATTGTATTAATAATAATACGATAGGATAATATTGTAGCTGTTCTTATGTTTTTTGTGGTTTTTTTCCGGGGAAAAAAGGATTAGATTTGGAGAAGTTAGAGCCATGTATACGTCAGAGAATTTCCAGAGGAATAGATACCATTATAGCCCAAGACAGATCAGTATAAAGTCTAAAACGAGTGAATCTAAGGCTATGTGTCCATTGACGGCGATGAATCAGGATCTACATCCATGGGGAAATGATAAAAATCAAAATTATCGTAAAACACTACCACCCATTTTTGATCATGTTAGATCAAGTTATATGGGACCAGATAAGGTCCATATGACAGAGAAATCCCAGCAAAATGCTTATAGAGAGTCATATGTTAATAGACTTCGCAGAGCAAGTGCGACAGTTTGGTGTGAACATGGTACTCAGTTACCGGTAGATGTAAAAATGACGAAACCAAAGGGGCTTGGTTCTAGAAAGGGATTTGCGATTAAGGTAGAATCAAATTTTAGTTTTTGTATTATCTAAATAGTTTAGTCTCTTGTTTTTCCTCATGCATCAATAGCGCAATTTTCTAAGCCGATGGCACAACACGCGCGTTCAACAAATGATGCAGCACCGCAACATACTATGCTTATTTCAAGGTTATCAGCAACAGAAACATGTTTAGATGAAGAGCAGTGTTATGATGATCCTTATTTTACATCAGTTCCTGCTGATAAATCTTATCTATCTGAAAAATCATATCGATTTATGCATCAATCTTTAGAGCCTATGGAATCTCTAAAAGAGGATTTGGAAGAGTCTACGGAGGAGAACTTGGAAGAGCAAATGGAAGAGCAATTAGAAGAACGCTTGGAACAACGAATGGAACAGAGAATGGAACAGCGAATGGGGCAACAAATGGGCCAGCAAATGGGACAGCAAATGGAACACTATATGAAATCCTTGGAAAATGATATTCAGTACGAAACTGACATTAAAAACTCTCATTTTCGTTCTGATTCTATTAAAAGCGTCGTCGAAAGCTCTAATTATAGTCATGCTGCCTTTCCTTCTTCTATGGGTGTTTCTAAAAATTCTATCTTTTCAAAACATGTCAATGAATTCACTGATAATACCATGAACACCTCTTTACCTTCTCACAATTCATTATACACTCATGCTGACGAATCTTATTCATCTTTTAAAAATTATTATCCCGCACCTACTCGAAAACTATATATTGTCAATCTAACAAAACATGATATTTTCTCTGATGATGAAGTATAGTTTTTTTTTGTATTTTTTATCTAAATACTTGTGTAAACTTTATTATCTTTCTACTCTTTGCCCTATACTATTTCATATCAGAAAATCATGTATTTCAGATGGTTTAGGACTAAAAAAATTGATTTTAAAGCACGTCCTTATTCCATACGTGCATCTCCTGTCTCTTTATTCCCTTTATCTCGCTTTAGCCGGATATATAATCCTCATGACTCTTTAAGAATTGAAAAATTAGGAAAAACTCATGATGAAAGATCTAGGCAGGTAGATGTCCACTTAAAAGAGGATCCTTATGGTGTGTTACGTCATAATGTAGCTCTGCTTAATATTCTTGGTAATCCAACATTGGTAATTCAGCGGAAAATGGAGATGATGAATGTTTTTTTTGTAAACTTATAAGGATTGCTTATTGGGAGTAAAAATAATCATGAGAATAGGGATTTGAACAAGCAAATAAGTATATTGTTATGGATTCAACAGGGAAACATGTTGGATATATTGCAGAAACAGGAGATCAATCAATAACAAAGATTTTTGCACGTCAAATACTTAGAACAAATAGAGCCTTTAAGGCACATATTTTAGATAGAGAAGGAAATGAAGTTCTTCTTATTGAAAGGCCATTTTCATGGATAAATTCTAAAATTAGGGTGATAGATCGTATGGATAGTTCATATCCTATTGTTGGTGAAGTTCAACAGCAATGGCATGCCTGGAGACGGAAATATAATCTTTTTCTTAAGTAATTTGATATAATTGTTGTTTCTGTATTATTAAAATATTTGTATAGAAGAGATGATATTTTTTCTCAATTTGCATATATAGATGAGCCATTATTTTCATGGGATTTTTCATTAATAGATCAGGAGGGTGGATTAATTGGCTCTGTTAATAGAAATTTTATGGGTTTACTTCAGGAAATGTTTACAGATACAGGGAATTATGTATTACGTATGGATTCAGTTTCTGCGGAAACAAATGAAACAACCGCTTCTAAAGAGCTTATAAATATAAATGGAAGAACGGACGCTTTAGTTCCTTTAAAAAGAGGGTTAACATTAGATGAAAGGGCAGTAATTTTAGCAACTGCAATATGGTAATTTTTATACATGTTTATATTATTAAATTAATAATTGGTAGTATTGATTTTGATTATTTTTCTAAATTATCAAAAGGTGGTGCTGGCATTGGTTCTTTTTTTCCATTTTGGTTTCCTATATTTGGAGGAGGTACACATGATAACCCTACCGAACAACCAGAATCTACATCTACTTCAGAAGGTCAAGATTCATCTCTTCCTTCTAACGATGAGCCTTCTAAGCCCGAAGAAACTGAAAAAAAATGGTGGGATCTTTCGTCAAATAATGATGTATGGGGTGAAGGAGATCAGGATCCATGGAATGATTCAAATCAAAATCAGGATAATGATTCATGGGGAGGTTTTTTTGAAGAAGACGATTAATTATAAAAAGTATCATATATATTAAGATTTTAAATATTTTATAAGACAAATTTATACATTTTTATGAAATAAAATTAAATGTCATGCTGTCATTGTAAATACTGATCTAATTGACTTAATTTCTTAAAACATATACAGAAATATTTAAATGCGTGTTTTTTATTTGATATTTAAAGTCGATTTAAAAAAATCATCTATCTATCTATATAGATAGATAGATAGATAGATAATATTATATAGAAAATTCCTTATAATAAATAATGATTTTTCATATATATCATGATAATATCTTTTAGTTATTTGCATTATTTGTTTCATAGTCAATAATAATTTGTCATTTTCTTTTCAAATTTTTTAAATTATTCATTTATTTATAACTCTTAGCTCTTTTCATGTTATTTTAAAAAAATATACATAGAAATATCTTTTATCCTTCATTTTTTACATCTTCTGAATTAATGTTTCTTATTTTTTTTCCTTGACTTTTGGTCTTGATCTTCGTTATTTTATGTCGACAAATATTTATTGATTATATACCTCAACAACTAGTTTTTCTGACGGATACATAAAATGAATTAATGACTGTCTACGTAATACCCTTAAATCTCTTAATCCTTTTTCATATAATTCCTGTATTTTTTTCTTGTCTGTTTCATTTTTGTGTTGTTGAAATGCATCTTTTGTCCGTCGAATTGCGTACTCTCTAAATCCATAGTTTTCTAGCCCTTTTGCATTCCGTAAAAGTGAACGATACAATGAAATAACTTGATCTCGACTCATTCCAAACCTTGTTTATGTTTAATTATTTAAACCTTTTTTTCCGCTCGAATTTAATCTCTCATCGGACTCTCTCATTTTTCATTCAATTCTTTATATTTAATAATATTCCATATAAAAAATCTTTCTCTATAACTCTATACTAAATGCTTCTTATTCTTTCTACTTGTTCTTTGATTTTTTTTTCTTCTTATTTCTATTTTTAATATTAAAACCTCCGATTTTTCTATTAAAAAATATGTACAAATTCTTCTAGATTTATTCTTTATATTTCCCTTATGTTCCTTTTGCTTCGTTTTCTCTTCTTATTTATGTATAAATCCCTCTCTATTCTTAACCCTGATTTTCTTATAACCCGGCTAATTATAACACGATCTTTCGCTCGAGATTAAGCTTAGATTAAATCAAGATTTTAAGTGCGACTATAAAACGTGGATTTTCGGGATAAACGTGGACATTTAGCGGGAAAGGTTTTGGAGTATTTTATTTAGAACTATAACCGTTTATGCCTGGTTTTTTCTTTGTTTTTTTCGTCTCTGAAGTGAAGTTATGGCGACGATTGAAACATCGGTAACAACGCCACCGCAGACACCATTACAGGCGTCAACGCATGGTACAACACTTGCTAGGTCACGATCGTCGCCGAACAAGTTATCAGTGTCAAATCCATGGCACGGAAGTCAACGTACAATGAATTCATCGGTTCAGACGCGATCAACATATCATGATCATGAAGATTTTTCAAATGCAATATATGTCGGGAATTTGGAGATGACAATTAATAATGATGCATTGATGAAAATTTTTGGCCGTTTTGGTGGGTTGTATGCGGTATATATGCGTGTGATTGAGGAAGTATAGGGACTATTGAGAGTGTCTATCGTCCTCCGATACATACAGACAAGGCGGATCGGACGACACATTTTGCATTTATTAAATATACGGACGCAGAATCGGCACAACGTGCGATGCAACAAGCAGATAATATATTACTTGGACGACGACGATTGTATGTATATATATATATATAATATATATATATATAATATAATATATATATATTATATATGAATATTATGATATTAATGAGGAATAGAGTTGTTCGACCAAGAATTCGTTCGTATGTAAACCGATCGATTAATCGAATTCCTTCGTTGTCACCTCAAAAATCAAATCAATGCCCACCTCTTTCATATTCACATATGCCACCGCAATGTTATCTTCCGTATAATACCCATGTTAATCAGAATTTTATGAGCAAAATATTGTCTGTTTTTAATTTGCCATACGAAATGACACCTAAGGATTTGTTTTGTCTATTTAGTGAATTAGGACGAGTTGAAGGCGCGTTTATATATAATGTAGTAGATAGTCGTGGAAGGAGAGTAGGAGAAGTAGCAATGGGAAGTTTTTATCATGCAAAAAAGGTAAAAAGAATGAATTAAAAATTTTACAAATGATCGATTAATGATTGGGAAAATAGGCACTTGAAAGTTTAAATAATACGACGCTTAATGGATATATACTTGAACTTGCATTTAAACCGCCAACATTATCTACTCCTCAATTTATTCCACCTATCAATTCTGGACATTCAATGATGTATGTACCACCTAATTCGATGTATTCATCATGGCAATATTCGCCTTCGCTTTATCCGGTTCCTAACCAAGTACCTATGCCATGGTCTTATCCACATGTCCCAATTGATGAGGCAATGGCAAATCTTTCATTCTATGGAGAAGAATCTAACATGATGAATTCGAGACGTAATAGTCTGGCAAGTAGTGTTGCTAGTGGTGGAGGATATCCACATGTTTATGATCAACAAAAGGCTAACATTGATCATGCTATTTCTATGGGTGCTGGAGGACCACCTGAAGGATCAGTCTTTTATGATCCAATGACAGGATTACCTATACCTATGCAGGCATGTACAACTGTTAACGAAATGCAAGATACATATATACCAACAGTAGCGACTTATCAACCTGTACCTTTGGGTGCAAAGAAAACAGAAGCAACGACTAAACTTACAACACCTGTAACACCTGTTGCTCCTACGGTTTCTATGGTTTCTGCTGCTCCTGTTTCTGCAACTTTCTCTTCTGCTCCTACGGTTTCTGTGGCCTCTGGTACTTCTACTGTTGCTGAGGTTTCTGCAACTTCTTCTGCTTCTACTGTTTTTTCAACTTCTCCTGTTCCATCTATTTCTGCACCTTCTGCGCCTTCGACTGCTTCAGCTGCTTCGACTGCTTCGACTGCTCCTGCTGCTCCTGCTGCTCCTGCTGCTCCTGCTGCTCCTGCTGCTCCTGCTGCTCCTGCTGCTCCTGTTGCTCCTGTTGCTCCTGTTGCTTCTGTTGCTTCTGTGGTTTCCACGACATCTGTAGCTTCTGTTAATACTTGTCAAAATACGAAAACTGAATCATTTCAAAATGCTTCCACATCTAACACGACAACTTCTAATTCTTTAAATTCGTCTACGTCATCTTTCAATAATTCTTCATTGTCAGCGTCTATTGTTCCTGAATCTCAACCTATAGATCCAAAGAATTTGTATATTAAAAATCTTGATGATGATATAATATCACATCCATCAGATATTGAAACATTGTTTAAACCATTTGGGACAATTGTATCTTCACATCTTGCTGTGGTTCCTGGAACTGGAATTTCTAAAGGTTATGGTTTTGTAGCTTTTAGTAAAGCAGAGGAAGCTATAAAAGCTAAGAAAAGTTTGGATGGGAGTATGGTAGGAAGAAAGCGTGTATTTGTTAGTTGGGCAGAGCGTCGTGCTGATCGTGAAAAACGATTAAAAGAAATCTTTAAGGTTGATAATAGAGCGAATATTATACAAAATGAACTCGAAAAGGATGTTTTTAAAACACAAGATCCTTTAGTTGCGAAAGATGATGCTAAAGCAGGTGCTGTTTCTACTTTGGAAACCAAATGTACTCAAAAAACCACTGAAAATGCTACTGGAATGAGTTTAGGAACAGTTATTACGTCTAATCCTATGACGGTTTTATCAAAATGGCGTGGGACCCCATTATCTGGTATAGTAGAAGTAGAAGAGCCTAGTGTTCAAGTAGATATCACGACGCCTACTGAGCAAATAGCTTCAGAATCCGAATTTAGGGTCTATTCTGAGGGCGTGAAATCGTCTCAGAGTGTAACGACCGAATCAGAAACTTTTGAGAAAAATGAAACTGATAAAGATACTAGTCAAGGACAGGTATGTTTAAGAGTTCGAGATGAGAATACTAGTCCCAAAAAAAATGCTACTACAAATATTAAAAAGAAAGGTGGATGGTATAGAAAGCGTTGGAGTAGTGGATGGGGAGGAAATTATGGAAATAAGAAAGAAGACGGTGATAGTCCTATCAAAGATACTCAAGGAGGGGAAAGTCCTATTAAAGACATTATATTAGAAAGAATCGTGGATAAAGAAAATTGTGAATCAAAATCTATTTAGCGATAAAATACATATTTATAGGTGCATCTGATAAAAATTAAAACTAATTATATATACTTATTATATTGCTGACTGAAACCTTATTTTAGCATTCATAATTCTTATTAGCACAATATATACAGTCATTTATATTTAATTGATATTATACATTTAACTCTATCTCTAATTAATAAAATAAATAATTCATAGTATATTCTAATTCTTCCTTAAATTATATATAAAAATCATTTACCTCATTTTTTAAAGGGTTTCTATTTTTATTAAACGTTTTCTTTGTTACGCGTTTTATATCTTTAAGATTTTTAACATTTGAATTATATATGAAATAAGTATTATACTCTATAATTCTTATTATTTTCTCTATTTAACGTGTTTAGAAGATATATTTTGTATATTTAAGTGATTATGTTGGAGAGATTTTTTGGAATTGAATATAACTCTCAAGAATTATCTTTAAATAAATATACAGGAGAAAAGTCAGATATATGTGAAGATAAGTCAGAACAATGTATGGAAATGTCTATGGGATTAAGAGGTTATTTTTGTTTTTTAAATATTAAAAAAAATATGGAATTGGTTAAAAAAATGTTTTCTGGAGTGAAAGATTTTGTTTTTTTAAAACGCGTTTTAAAGAGGAAAATAATGCCGAATTCTGAATCATATAAATCAATTGAGTCATCTGAAAGTAATTCTCTTATATTAATGGGTTCTTCAAATGCATTGACTAGAGGTCAAGTAAAAAATACATTTATCAATAAAGATGTTGATAAAAGAGAATTTTTGAATGATTCAAAGGTTGATTCAGACGATTTTTCAGGTTATTTTTTAAAGAGAGCATCTACGGGTTTTTTGGAATTAGATGATAAAAATATAACGAAGCCTAGTCAATCAAAAACGACAAAAACATTAGAATCGCCATCAGAAACTAAGTCTACCGGGAAATTGTCAGAACCAACTACCAACAATGGCACTTTTGTAACAATTCTTTCAGATCCTACTGAAACTAGTACACCTACTGCTAATTTGTCCGCACAGCATTCTCATTCTCGTTCTAATGATGGTTTATATATGATTCTAGGAATTTCTGCTATAGTTTTTTTGATTATTATTGTTATTGTTTTTTTGGTTATTTATGGTGTACGTCGTTCACTGAAGAAACAAGAGATGATTGAGGATATGGTTTATGAGAATGAAATGAATGTTCATGCGAAATTGATGAAGAATGCATCAGCATCAATTTCAGAAAAGACGAGTTCAACGTCAAATTCTATTTCTGGATCAGCGTCTATTTTAGGCTCTCGAAATTTGAATGATCCATATTTAAAACGAGGTACTTATTTTGATTCTAATGGAATATATGGTTCCAAGAACGATGAGAAGCAAGATGAACGGTCCCTTCATAACTCGCCTTTAAAGTATTATGGCATATCGCAATCAACAAATAATCGACCAAGCTCCTCACGTACAAGAAATTCTTCATATTATAATCCTTCAGGACAACCAATGCGGTCATTTTCATTGTCATCTAGATCAAAGGATTACTATGGAGGAAATAATCATTCATCAAATGTTAATTCTATATATGATGATTCTTTTCAAAAGGATCGAACACGATTAACATTTTATAATAATGATATGAATGGCTCCAGCTATGGAAAAGTTTCCTCAAATCAGCTGAGAACTCCGAATTCTGTATATTTATCAGAAGATCAAAACAGAGGATATCTTTCTTCTTCACAAATTAGAGTAGGGTCTCTTGAACCTCATGGAACTAATAGGTTCTTAAGCCAAGAGAGTTTGCGTAGTTCTCGTGCACAATTTGCTACTCAGCCAAATACATTGAGTTATAAAAATTCTTATAAAAACTTGGGAGCAAATTATCAGATGGATTCTTCTAATTTTGATACACCAAATTCGTATTCATCTGAATTATCAAATAATGCATCCTCGCCCTTATTCACTTATAAAAACTCTATAGGAAGCTCCTCTCACTATGATTCTAGTTTTACAAGTGAACATATGACTCCAAAATCTTTCTTCTCAAGAGAAAATATGAAAAATGAGTCTTATACTCCTAATTCAGGTTCTGAAAAAATGCTTCCTCCTAAGAATACATATAAACATCCATCTCAACAAGATTACATGCGTACACCTAGTATTTATGCTTCAGTTGGCATATGGGCTGAAAAAAAGAGGAAATTGTTAGATCTAACAAATAATTCGAATGAGCCTTTAAGTAATCGCTCTGACGAAAGTATGAATATATATCAGGACCATAGAATTAAAAAGTAAATTCTATCATTATTATTAATGATTATAATCATTTACTTATATTGATGATCTATCAGAAATTTATTGAAATATTTTTTGATATTTGAAATTATTGTTATACTTTAAATATTGTAACTAATAGTATTGTAAACATTTTAGATTACTCTGTACATCTCCACTTGGCTTCGTTTTCCCTTTTATCCTCTATTTCATGTACTTCACCTGCAGAGCTTTGTAAACTTTCTGATTCATTTGTTTCTGTAATCCATTGATGATTTTCGCTAAATATATCTATATCTCCTCCTGAATTTTGTTCTACTGATGGATGAAGTGAAGAACAATTTGATAAAGCTGTATAAAAGTCATGAACTAAATATATTAGCCCTTCTAGCTGTATATTTCGGTTGATCTACGTGTTGATGAATCTGATGGAGAAATGTACAATTCTGCCATATTTGCATCCGATTTTGGAACAGTGCCGTTCGTACCATTTTCCTTCAATGAAAGATTATTCAGATCCTCTATCTGCATGTAGATACATGACGTATCAAAGACTTCATGAGGCGTTCTATTAATTGCATGGAGAATTATTTTTGTATAAGGAATCTCAAGTCCCCTTGAAATACTTGGCGAAAAAATTACAAACGATCTATAGCTCATGTCAGAACCTGTAATATGTGTGCTTTTGAGCGGGAAAAAAGGCTATACTGAGAGGTTATATAGACATCAACATGTTCAGATAATCCAATCGCTGGAAAGGCTTTAAAAGCCGCTTCTTTTGAGAAAAAATGAAGAACGTTAGAAGAAAAGGTCCTTGGAGTTGATTCCTGGTGCTCTGAGAGCTCAATAAGACCTGTTGGAGGCTTTTCAATATATACAAATGCCATTAATTTTTTGGTACGTTGGTCGGTATAAATCTTATAAAAAATAGGTTATATATTAGCTTGATCTTTATATAAATCTTATATTTTATGTATTTTAGATAGGTTTTATGAATAAATCTGTGATAATTTTAAAAAAGCTTTTATTAGTTTTTAAATTTATAAGATATGAAATTAATGAATAAATATGTATGTTTTATGAATGATTTTATTTTATTTTGAAATGAAAGAAGTAATTATGATGAATATTATGTTTTTTTTTGAGTTTTTTTGGATGAGTTTAAGGCAGTTTAGAAATAAGTATGTTTTTGAGGGGTATTATGTAATATTTTTATTAATAAAGCTTATAATATGTAAATTGGAGTTATTTAAGAGGTGGATATTGTATTAGAAATCATTTTATTTTTGATTATATTTTGTTAGATATATATTAGACAATATTATTGTTATTAGGAAATAATAATGAGGCAATTAAAAATTGCTATAAGAGTAGTTTTTGGTTACTATAAGAATGATTTTTGCAATTGGAATAAGAATATATGTTTTTTTATATTATATTAATAATATTTTGGTGAGATTTTTAAGAAATAGAGGAAATTTTGAAATATTCTTTAATATTTTAAATTAAAAAATTGATTATTAATTTCTAAGGAATCATGTTTTTTATTTTAAGTTTTTAAGATTTAATTGATGTATTATTGTATAGTTTTTATTATTATGTCATGTAATTTTATATTAAGATCATAAATCTTTAATTAGATAAAGATTATAAAAAATGTTATATGAGATTTTTAAAAATGAAAATGATGAGAAATCATTTTAATATAATTGAATTAGAACTATGCTATTTTATGTTGATTTAGTTTTATAAAGTTTTATTAAATATAATATATTAAATATTTTAGAGAATATTTTGTTTTTAATATAAAAATGATCTTTCAAGCATAAAATTCTAATTTAATACAGTCAAATATAAGAAACTTAATATTATAATGCATATGTTTTATAAATTGCATTATACATATATTTTAAATTTATATGAAATTTGAAAATCATTGAAAAAATAAAATTGTTTCTTGATATTTAAAAAAAAAAAAAAAACATTAGCACAGTTTAATATTCATAAGATTTTTATTTTTAATGATACCATGGTTTTACTTCCATTCCAGTTGGAGGTTGAACTTCTACTCTTTTTGAACCAACTTCCTTCCAATTGGTACTCAATGCAGTTCCATTGCTTTCTATATAACTTTTCATCATTGCCCGTTTTGTATCATCATCTGCATTGGCATAAATTTCTTGAAATAATTTGTTAAGTGCAGTATCTTCTGTTTCATCCTTTTCTGTAACCATAGTTCTTGAAAGTAAGTCCCAGTCTTTTGATCCATATTTAGAGGAAGATGGATATAGATTGGATTTGTTTGAATTTTTGTTAATTGTTTGAGTATCTGGAATTTCTGTTTCAAGAGTCAACCATTTTTCTGTATAACGCTTTTTCAATTTCATCTCAATTTTTGTGTTATATACTGTAAATACAGATGATAAAGCATCAATTTCACCATAAAGATGAGCAAGCTCGAAAGTATAGTTTTCTTGAGTAACTGGTAAAAAAAATGTTACAGATAACTATTACTACTTAAAAAAACAATCAATATGTTTATCATACATACTGATCTTTCTTTAAATTCTTTTTTTAATGTATTTTTGTCTACTGATTTTGCATATAAAGTAATTGTAACTGTATCATCATTTTGATACCATTCATACCTTATTTATTAATAACAATTATACTAAAACATAATATACCTTATATTTGACTTCTCCTTTTCATTAACTGACTTTTTTTCTGTATTTATTTCACTCTGTACTTCTACTGATTGTATTTTTTCAATTTCTGCTTGTAAAATGTTATCTATCAACAAAATAAGAATAATAAATTATTAAAATCAATCTACCAAGGTCTCTAAGACATGGAATCTCTCTAATTGTACATTCTTTTTCACATTCCACTGCTCATATCAGAAATAGTCATTTCATAACAATAAAAACCTTTTTCTATCGCCATTTTCACCTTCAAAAGCCATGATGCTAACATATTATTATTCGGAATACATTCCTCTGCCTTTCTTAACGCAAAATAACTGTTTTCCGGTTGTCCTTGACGAAATAGCGTAATACTATCTCTTTTAACCCAGATTTTTATGTAAAAAACTAATACCCTCTGCGCAACTGCCCCAGTCCCTTCTGTTCTCGTTTACCCTTCAAATCAGCAAGATAAACTGCTGCTTCTGCATCCTTAAGTGCCTCTTCATATTGCTTATTACAGTGATAAGCCGTTGATCTGACTTGTTAAATGGCTTAAAACATAGTAAAAAAGTACCGTTTAATATGGTAATCAATAGACGTAGGAATCTCCTTAAGAGCTCTTGTTAAAGCTTCAATTGCATTAGAATAATCCTTTAATTCTGTATATTTTTCTGCTTGTTTTGCTAAATCTGCAGCAGGAGACATAGTCTTGATAGTGATTAAATTTTTTTAAGAAAAATACAATAAATATAGATCTTATGTCTTTGTTTAAGTACAAGGAAAAAGGTTATTGTTTTTTCTTTGTTTAAAAATTAATTATTTCGTTTTATTGTGAAAATTTATTAAGATGAAGTTTCTAAATTATTTGTATCATAGTCAGTATCTTCAATCTCATTTTTTATGTATGATATATCATTTTTATGTGCTGGTATTTGATAATATTGAGAAAGAGGAAGCCAAGTCCCGAATGTAAGATAACTTGTATGATTTTTAACATTTTTTTCCATTCTTCCTACATCTTTCCAATTCCTACCTTCTTCTCCTTCTTTAATTCTCTTTGCCGGACGTACATCTCCACTGTTATGTTGTTTTCCATTCCTTCTATTCTCTTGTACCTCATGAATACGCTGTGCTGCTTCTAATATATCTTTATATTCTACTTTTCTTGCAATCCATTCACAATGATTCACTTCTGAGAGTTCTATATCATAGAACCCGTATTTCTGAAGGTGTTTAAGTGTTTTTTGAACCTGTTCAATGCATGGACTGAGACAACAAATCCTAGTTTGTCTCTCCTTAGAAAAATGAGGAATCATTTTACAAATTACTTTCCATGGTGCTGGCAAATCAATAAATACTGCATGAGCTATAACCTCATAATCCTTAACATAAAATCCATCTGTAATAACGTCCTGATAACACAGAATAACCGGTCCTTTAGGTACTAAAATTCCATTTTGTTTAAACTCATCAAGTGCCTCTTTATATCTTTTTTCATGATATTCATATGAAAATACTCTTCCTGTTAACCCAACAGCTCGTGCAAGAGCATGAGTCATGCTTCCACTCCCTGTTCCTGCCTCTATAACTGTCATTCCTCTCTGAATTCTTAATTTACTTTGTATAAAGCTAATATCATGTGTATAAACAATCTGTGTTCTACGAAGCAATGCTCTAGTCCATAATTCAGGCGTAGGCCTTAGAATATGTAAATATCCTGCACCATTGGAGCTTGGAACCTGAGATCCATAAGGTAATCCAATAATATCTGAATGTGCATAAGTTCCAAACTTATTATTAAAGACTTTTCCTCTCTCAATGACAATAGAATGGACTTGTTCTCTTGTCTATTAATATATCAACATATTTCTATTGTATTATAGGCTTTACCAGCCATATAATTACTACATCTCCTTCTTCTACTAGTGTTTTTTTCTCCCAAAACATGATTATTATGTTTTTCTAATCTAAGAACTTAATATAATATAGTAAAGGAGTTTTATTAAAGGTTATGGAGGTTTTATGAATAAAACTTTTTAAATATATTTAATTGAGAAGTATTTTTTTTCTATTACATGTTAATTGTTGAATAAATTAAGAAAAATAATTAAAAATATAATAAATAAAGAATAAAAGTTTTATAATATTTTTCGAAATAATTTAAACAAGTATTATCATTAAATATTTTTGTAAAATATATTGGTTTGTAATTAATATCTATTTATTTTTAGTTAATGTAAAAAAAATATAAAAAAGATAAATTATTATACCTAATATTTGTATAAAAAGTATAAATTCTATTTTAGTATAATTTAGTTTTTAATATAATAAAATTAAAATATTTTATGATGTAGATGGTGGTTTCGTTAAAGTAGGTTGTAATAAACGTTCATTTGTATCTAAATAACCAGGTGCTATTTTTCTAACTTCGTATAAATATCTTGCTTCTGCAGTTGTTTCCCATTGTTTAAGACGTTCTGACCATAATAAAATTTTATTATTTAAATCATCATAATGTTTTAAAGATGAAGTTTTAATATCAGATATACAATCAAATACTTCGTCTAACTGAAAATAAATATTTTTAGTAAATCGATTTGCCGGAAAAAAAGAGAGCTTACAGATTTAGGTGTTTCTAATGTAAGTGAACAATATTCATAAGGAAGTGTAATTGGTTCTGGAATAAATAAAGAAGGTGATATGATAAGAGATATTTTAGGAGCCATATTCGAGTATGTTTCCGTACTTTTTTATGTATAAAATGATTTAAAGAGAATAATTGGATGTTAAATATCTTTATCAGTATGTAGCGATAAAATCCGGTAGTTGATTAACCCTAAAATAATTTTTTTAGAAAGAATAGATAAAAGTATTATAGTATTTGAAGATATAAATGATATTAGAGCCGAATTTGTATAGTTTCTGTATGTTGATTTTTTTTTGAAAAAAAAAAGAGTAAAAATTGATTAAAAACTCGTTGAAAATGATATTTTGAAATAAAATGATGAATTTTGAACTGTTTGAAGGATTAAGTGCATATTTCTGTAAAACAGTGCCATCCTCTATTATTAAAATATGGCGTATATATATCCTGTTTGGTTTTTGATTTATTGATATATTGAAGAGTTATATGGTGGAGAAACTATATTTGTTCCAGCATATAAAAAACCAGATATTTGGTTTGGTATGAGTAAAAAAGTGATAAAGTATGTATTTTAATCAATGATATATGATTTAATGTGAATTAGAAAGAAAAATTCTCTCCATGAACGATGGATTTATGATAGTATTTTAGCGAATAAACAGATATCTTTTGGCGATTATTATATCATGAATCAGTCAAGTAATCTGATAATAAGTGTTTTATAATTCTAAAAATTGAGTTAGGATTTTTGAAATATGAATTATCTCGATCAAAAAAACTTAAAAAAGAAAAAATCCAAAAAGCATTAGATCGTAAGAAAAAATCCTTTCAAAAATCCAATAGGGTAGCTCTAGCTAATGATTCTGACAATAATCTTTCTCAATATGATTCAAATATAAAGCCTCATAATGATATTTTGCCATTTAAACATACTCAGTCAACATCTTTCAATTATACATCAATATCAAAGAACATTTCCGACTCAATTACTTCCACTTCATTAAAAAACAAATCTTATTCTTCTTCGATAGCAAATCAAAGGATTGATTTACTGCCAACATCTTATCAAAATATAGGAAATTATATTTTCAATAAGTCTCTCTTTCGAAAATCCTTTTTGAAAACAAAGAAAAAATCTACTGTATCTTCTTCATTTAAAACTTCTAAATCACCAATTAAGAAAATTAAGATTTTAACGTTAAACGACTTCAATTCTACTGCCAACATCTTCGAAATAGTGGCTACCAAAAAAATAAATGATACAAGTAGATCTGTACATCCTAGACTTAAATAACCCTATTTTTTAATAGATTAATATATTTTTATCTGTTCTCGTAGTCTTTAATTTCGTATAAGATTTTTTTAAAAAAATTTGTAAAATAAACAAAATTTGTTTAGTAAAATGATTGAAATTATCTGGTTTTCCTTGTATATTTCTAAATATTTATTGTATTAATTAAGCCCAGTAATGATCGCCTTGGAAAGAAAGTCCGTGTAAAATGTAACGAAAATGATACAGTTGGTGACCTTAAAAAATTAATAGCAGCACAAACAGGTACCAACTGGCAAAAGATCGTTTTGAAAAAATGGTATAATTCCCTAAATTAAGTTATTTTTTTTTTTTAAGATTTGATCTAGGTATAGTACGTTTAAAGATCATATTACATTGAGTGATTATGAGATCCATAAGTAAGTTATTGACAGGTTAAATTTACTAACCCTAAACCAGTGGAATGTCTCTCGAGCTTTATTATAGTTAAATATAATTGTAATAGTTAAATATGTTGCAAAAAGATAGTGAAACTAATAATGAGTCGATTCCATTGCTTTATTAATTCCTTGTCTAAATCTTTTGTTTTTTTATCTCTAGACGATTTTTTATTATCTCTTTATTTATATTAATTTTTCTTGTTCTTTATATATATATATATATATATGTTTTGTAAGAGAGAATGTATTAAATAAGATAGTATTTTGGCTTATCTTACTTTCCATCCCCTTTTAATAGCAATTTCCTTGGTTCTTTGACTTTTAGAATTGTCTGCTGTTTGAGAATTTTCCGAAAGAGGTGCTGTTGAAGATAGTTGTGATGGAACATTTGATATTTCCGTTGAAACAGGATATATTTTGCCATCGTATTGTTTTTCCTCATAGTCTTCTTTTTGTATATCCTGAAAATTTGATAAATTGGTATTTTTTTGAGATGGTGGTGATGGTGATGGTGATGGTGATCTTGAATGTGATCTCGAAAGAGTTTTTGAACGAGATGGAGATAGATATGACGAAGATGAGTTAGATCCCGATCTTTCCTTTGATCTACTCGATCTAGAAGAGGACAAATCCGAACGATTTGTCTCATATTCTTGTTCGCAATGAATTGATGTCTTTTCTTTCTCTTTTCTTTTCTCCCAAAATTTTTTAGACCAACCTTCATAATCAATATCCTCATCTTCTGTATCAGAATTTTCCTTAAAACTCCATAGATTCATGCTTTCTTCTTTGTAAAAAGTATTAAGTGCTTCTAATAATTTTGGAGAAGTATGATTTGATAATGTAATTGGTTGACATAAATGTGGAGGTATACTTATATACGACTGTATAGACTCTTTTATGACTTTGGCATCTGGTAAAAGAGGAATCATACATGCTGCTGGTAATTCCCAATATGATGCACCTTGTCTTCCATGTTGAAAAGGTTTAATATAATCATGATTTTTAGATGTATTAGAAAAATTTGGTTTTGAAGATGTTTGAACTAACGGAACCATTAATCCTGCACGGATAGCTTTCATTGTAATCTCTGTAAAATACTTTTTCTCACTCCAAAGATTTAAAAGATCTTCTATCTTGTCTTTTTCTGCATCTGGTGCATAATATCCCAAACGAAGAAGTGCCAAAAGTGATGGTTTTATCTCCAGAGAAACATCTATGTTATTATTCTTAGAAGAATGACTCAATATATCATTAATAAGATATAAAATATATAAACGTTGAGAAAATGTTGTCAATGTTGTTGAAAATGCCACTAAATACTTAAAAAAGTACTAAGAAATAATTAAACACATATATAACTAACATCTTCTAGTAAAAAAACCCCCATAAGTTCTTTTGTTATAATATATTCTTCTTGCCATCGTCTTGCATTCTGTATTGCCTTATATCGCCCCGTTTTCACTTGTTCAATCAGATCAATAACATCATTTTTAATAAAACGATGAGATTCATTTGAATATGTATGTTTATCAAGCTCTGATAACAATTGAAACTTAATTTTCTCCAGTTTTTCTTTCTCATCTATATTCATCTTTTACCACCTTTATTATATTGATATTAATATTAAGATCTCTTTTGATTAAATTAATAATAGATATTTGTTATTTCATAGAAAAGATCTAAGTAATAGATTTTGGTTTTTTTTTAGTTTGTTTTTGTAATTTTGTTTGACTTTATATTTTTAAAAATATAGAAAAACTAATAAAAGAAATAATGAAGATTTTTGATTTAAAATGTGGTACTAAGTAATCTTTTTGTTTATCCTGAAAGAATATAATTTAAATAAGAAATTTCATAAATTTATTTTGTAGAAGTTGATATTTAAAAAATATAGAAATAGATGAATGAATAAATTAATAAATTAATAAATGAAATGAATAAATGAATGAATGAATTATTTATTTATTTAATGAATGAAAATGTATAATTAATAGGATTTATGTATAATTAATAGTATAATTTTATTAAGAAATAACTTATTGAGCATTTTTCAAGTTTAAAGAGTATTATATGAAAATTAAAAAAATCTAATTATTTGTTTAAAATTTGAATATTAAAGATGATGAATAAAAAATATTATGTATTCTTATTATATTTCTATAGAAAAATAATTATAATCTTGTAATAAGTTTTTTAGATAATTGAAACAAGGCAAATTTAAAAAATTAAAACAAGATATTTTATTTATAAATTATCTTTTTTTATAATGTAAATCCTTCTATTCTTGTTAATAGAAGGAAGAGTTGTATTGTTTTATTGTTTTTAGATTAAGTTATTTTGAAAAACTATTTATATAGTAATAATATTAATATTTTTAATAAAAATATATGTAAAAAAATAAATAAAATAACAAATAATATAATTTCTTTATTGATAAAGGCATCTGTTTGTTTTTTGTCTGAAATTTATAGTTTTTTTAATTTGAACGTATACTAATTAAGAAACGTATTGTTTGTTTAATTTGCTATTTTTTCTTAAAAAAAACATAAAATCTTTAGATATTTGTATTAATTATATGAAAATATTAATATTTGGAAGAAAATATGAATAATAATGATAAAATAAAGAAAAGAAAAATCTCAAATACTAATAAAAAAAGAAAACGAAAAGTGTTGTTTAATATTACAAAAGATATAGAATTTAATGAAACATTTCTTGAAAAAGATGAAAATGGTGTTTAAGAATTGTTTTATTTTTTAAAATTAATAAAATCTATCAGGAAATTTTATTAATGGTGATAAAGCTAGCGATTTTATAAAAAAACTAACAGAACATAATGTAAATACATGTTAATAGCTTGCTAAACAGTTGATATATTTAGGTATCAATTACGTCACTTGATTTTATGTTTGTATGGGTTTATGTTGAAGAAGAGCCTCTCCTTCATGAAATTGCTACTATTCTTGAAGTAAAAAAGCCATATACATTAAGAGAATGGACTGCAAATGATAGAAAATTTCTAAGTCTTGATATAAGAAATTATAAATTTGTCAATGATATAAAAAAATGTGTAGGTTGGGATGATGCATCAGGATGCAATATCAAGAATTGGACAAAATATTGGCTTCCATCATATATAACGAATCAAAAAACATGAGAAGAAACTAAAAAAACAAAAAAAAAGAAAAAAAATAGACTCTTTTATATTCTAGAAATTATTTTTATAATTCTATTATGTAATGTTTATATTTCACTTGGCTTTTATAGTATATCTTTTAAATGTTTAGAATTCTAATTAAAAAGGCATATAAAGATATATTATAATAGGAAATCCGAGTTTTAATGCATTTTTATGTAACTAGAGTACTCTTATACATATAATTTTTTATCTTTACTGAATGTTTTTCATATATAAACCATTCAGCTATTGAATTTTAGTTTTTTTAACATTTTATTTTTTTTAAAGCAAAGATTACTAAATTTACTATGTTACTTGGCTATATTGTTATCAAAAACAAATTAAACAATTTAGATTTCATTTATAATATTAAAAACATTCATTTAATTAAAAATTATCTTAAATTTAATATTTAATTTTCATTAATTAGCTTGGATTTTATTAATACTGCCTAAAAATATATTAATTAATTAATTATATATATATTCCTGGTTTTTGTCAATGATAAAAATTAATAATTATTCATTTTTCATATATATAAGATTGATATAATATTGTTTAATCAATTTACTACAATCTAGCTTCATTGTAAAGTTTTTAATTGAATTTTTTATATATAATTTGTTTTCAAATAAAATATATTGAATAAACTAAAAAAGCATAATACTTGCATTTTAATATACTAAAAAATTTCTATTATTTTAAATAACTACATTTTTTTATAGTGATTTAAAAACATTTAAGATGATAAATGTATATCATCTGAATATGATAATAGATCATAATCTAATTCACCAAGAATATTAATAACTGTCATGGAACAATTCTTAGGTGTTCCTCCAATTCTTATATTTTTAGAAACATTAAGATATCCCAATCTAACAAGATGTGAAACCAATGTTGCTATATATCCCCCATGCGTTACAACAACTAACGTCGAAATTTCATCTCGAATAGATATTATCTTCCCATTCCAAAATTTCATAATTCTAGATATAAAATCCTTCTTATTTTCACCATAATCATCTATTGTTTTATTTTCTTCTCTTAACTTTATCTTTATTTCCTCATATGTCAATCCATTTAGTTCTCCTAAACGATTTTCTTGTAATTCCTCATAATACTCACATATTATGTTCCCATTGTCTTTTAAAAATGGTTCAATTGTATCTTTTGCTCTTATAAGATTACTACAAAAAACTTTCTCAATTTTTAGCGTACAAAGACGCTTTAAAAGCTTCAATGATTGTTCCTTTCCCTTATCATTCAATGGAATATCCAGATCGCCATGTAACCTATGATTTTTCTACATTTTTATCCCTTCTATACAAAAAAAAACACACAAATCTTACATTGAAATCTGTTTCTCCATGGCGTATCAAAATTACCAACATGTTTCACCAAATACTATACTAATACTCTACTACATACATCAATCCATGTAAAAATATTTCATTCATGGCCTTATTTACAAAATATTATGTATAATCAACCTAGATCTAAGTTTCTTCCACTTCGTGGATATCAGCTTAAATTATGGCAAAAAATACACAAGAAAAACAATAAATATACACATCAATTCATCTAAAAACTATCTACAATGTTGATTTTATAAGTTATGATTCATGATATTTTAAGACTAAGTTCGCAAAAATAAGAAAGGTCAAGAGGGTTCTTAACGTCTGGAAAGCCAACGTTATAAATTGTAACAACTTAGTCCCTTGACATAGAATGAATATTTAAGGGAAATAATAGAATTCAGAGTTATTTTAAAGACTTTTTAAGGATAATTTTTTGATTTATGAAAACTCTTCAAAAAAAAGCGTCTAAAGAGCCATCTAAGACAGACTTTACAGTCTTTCAAATGGAGAATGGGGAATTTGTAAGCACACAAGAAAGAATCTGCAAAGGTCCGTAAATTATTTGTTGGTTATTTTATGTTTTATGATATTATATGGAATTGGGAGGAGATAATATATATAATGAATATTATATTCAATGCTAAAGCAGGAATTTGTAGATGTTCAAGCACCAATTACATATATTCCAACAGATGATGAAATTTTTATTATGGATGAGAATGGTGGAAAGAGATTAAATATCCAGTTTATCAAGAATCATTTTTATAGAGAGGGAAGAATTAGTGAAGAACATGCTTTATGGATTATTATGGAGGGAACAAACATATTTAGGAATGAACCTAATCTAATTGAACTTGAAGCGCCTATAACTGGTATATTTATATAAATTTTATTATTTTATATAATTGTTAGTATGTGGAGATATACATGGACAATATTATGATCTTATAAAATTGTTTGAAGTGGGGGGAAATCCATCAGAAACAGACTATCTTTTCCTTGGGGATTATGTTGATCGTGGTTATTTCTCTATTGAAGTTTAATATATGTATATTATAACTTTTATAATTTTTATATAGTGTGTACTTTATCTATGGGCATTAAAGATATCATATCCTAATTCTTTTTACTTATTGAGGGGAAATCATGAATGCCGACATTTGACAGACTATTTTACCTTTAAGCTTGAATGTATATATATATATATATATTATAAATGTTTTATTGAAATTGATAGGTAAACATAAGTATTCAGAAAATCTCTATGATGTATGTATAGAAAGCTTTTGTTCTTTACCCTTGGCAGCAATTATAAATAAGCAGTTTTTGTGTCTTCATGGTGGACTTAGTCCAGAATTGAATGTTTTAGATGATCTGAATTCAGTAAAGACATTTTTTTAAAAAAATACACTAAAGATTTCAGATTGATCGTTTTCGTGAGCCTCCAATACATGGAATGATGATAGATTTACTGTGGAGTGATCCATCAGAGGAATTTGGAGATGAAAAAACAGATGATTTCTTCGTTTATAATCATGTACGAGGCTGTTCTTATTTTTTCAGGTTTGTTGTTATTAATGTTAGATCATGTCTTTAAACAGGTATTTGTAGCTATGCAGCAGTTTGTTCATTCTTAGAAAGAAATAACTTATTAAGCATTATTCGAGCTCATGAGGCTCAGGATTCTGGGTAACTTTTTTACACAATTATACATGGATTTTGTTAATAAACAGATACCGTATGTATTGCAAAAACAAAACTACAGGATTCCCAAGTGTTATAACAATTTTTTCTGCTCCAAATTATTTAGATATTTATAATAATAAAGCAGCAGTTTTAAAATATGAAAATAATATTATAAATATTAGGCAATTTAGTATGCTATTATTCTATCTATATCATCTACTAATTATTTATTTATAGGCAGTAGTCCACATCCTTATTGGCTTCCTAATTTTATGGATGCGTTTACATGGAGTTTACCTTTTATTGGAGAAAAAAGTATTTATACATTAAATAATTAAGGACATTCTTCTTATTTTTTATAGTTATAGATGTGTTTATTTCTATTCTTAGTATTTGTTCTGAAGATGAAATTAATGATGAAAATTCTACAAAACAACATGACTTTTGTGTTACAGATCTAACAGAATCTGAACAGAGGATGCAAATTATTAAGAATAAAATCGTTGCAATTGGAAGACTATCTCGTGTATTTCATCTCTTAAGACAGGAAAGTGAAAGTATTACTGAATTAAAGGCTATTTCTGGTAATACAAAACTCCCACCAGGGACTCTTATTCTTGGATCTGAGGGAATTAAAAATGGTATATCTTTATTATATATTTTTATTCTTTTTTATTCATATTTCTTTTTAAGCAATTACAACTTTTAATGAAGCCAGATCATCAGATATTGAAAATGAACGCTTTCCTCCTCCAAAAAATGACATTGATCAAAACTACGATCTCATTTTTCAGGATTCTCTTTGTCAAACAGATAATGAACAAGATTTTATTAACAAATTATTTAAAAAAATTTCTCTGTATGTTTAATTATTTTATATACAATTATTTATGAATCATTAGGAAATCCTCTAAAAAGCAATTCTCATAATACTTGTCTTTAAATCTCTTATTTACTTATATAAAATATTTAGTTCTATGTATAAAATATTGATTTTCATTTTGTAAAATTTTTATTATAAAAGATAAAAGTTTTTAATCTTTAAAGTATTATTTTTATATCAAAAGCAAACATATGTTTATTAGTATAAATCTTTAAAATATAGCAATTGGCTCATCTATAGATAGTTTTTGTCTCGATTGAATCGCCTTATATATTATAATATGGTAAGTTTTTTTTGATATTTAAAAAAATTCATAATATTTCAGAGTCTTGGAAAAATTGTTCATATTTCACTTGATTTGGTATTAATTTCCTCTGTTCTTGCAGGTATTAGACGTTCAACTGGTTTAACGTGAGATTTTCTGCATGAAAGATATATATAACCCAGTCTAACATGAATTTCAGCATTAAAACAAATATGTTTGATAAGGACACTGAAATGGTTATTAATAAATATTTAAGTATTGGCAACTGGGTAGTGGATCAAAGTGTTACTTTTATGAGCACAAGCAAATATTTTGAGAGACGACGTATTTAATAAATATTAAAAAAATGACAGGAGATGAAGGGCAGGGTGAATAGTGTATAGTTAGAAGAATATTTGTGCTTTCTTTCAAATAAAAAAAAGCATAAAGAAATGTTTCGAATAAAAATAAATGATATTTTGTATACGTCGATATTATACCTTTTAAATTTTGTATTAAAGATTATGTTAGATTTGTTAATATATTAATTGATATTACTCAGAAGAAACAGTCCAACATTTTCTTGCAAGAGGACTGGATACAATCGGTTTATGAAAATCAATTTTCTTTTTTGCAGCAATTAAACTGCATCGTTCAAGTTCTGTAACTGTATAATGTTAAAAAAATATTTATAATATTTGAAAAATATCCATACATGGTTTAGGCGGTGCGGTTTTAGGAACAGAAGGCTTCTTTTCAGATGGCAACATAATCGAATTGGGCAATGTAGGTGTTAATGTCCTAGGTTCCATGGGCGTTCTTTTCTGTAAAACAGTGTTATGGTTAATAATGAAAAAGGAAATGAATTACATTGCATGAAAATGTATCCAGATCCAAGTTTATTAGATAATTTGTTTCATCAACATGTCTATCTTCTTCTTCACATCTGACAGCTATTATAAACATGCAATAAAGACCAATATATCTTACTTCATGATCCAATTTATTCCTACACAATGTATTTTTCGAGACTCGTTAATTTTTTCTAAGTAATTGTTTGCTGCTTTAACTTTTTCAAGAATTTTGGTGCTTCCAGATCGCCATACTACGTGCGTAATACCAATGCTTTGAAAACCATTTGAATTATCCATCCTTATTAACATATCGGTTGAAGGAGCAGTCCAATTCCATTTTTCCTTAATCGTTGCACCAAGCTCAGTAAGGATACATTTAAAACTCAGACTAGCATCATTATTATCCATTGCCTTAATATCTAAATACGCGGTAACATGTCCTAGTGGCTTTGACTTAATAAATGCAGACGAATTCAATGATGAATTTGGTATAGTTTGAAAAAGCTTATCTGTATCTTTATCCATAGCTTCATAATCCGATTCCGAATCACTTGATGTATAATCACTTGTAATTGGAACAAGTATATCACGACAATGACTTGGTGTTGTAATTCTCATATTGCTCAATTTCGCCGTTAAAAACATAGGCTGATATATATATGTTTTATCATCAACCTGACATGTATTCGTGTATGATTCTGGTGTACCTAAAACACGCATACCAGATTCATCTAATGAATAGTTTTCCTTGTATTTAAACGTTGATTCATTCACAATATTTGTTTTTTTATTATTACATAGAAAATCTTCTAATTTCGTATCGTTTGAACTCTGCTTTTTCGATTTGACAGGCGTAGAAAATCCTTCCTTCATATTATTTGTCTTATTATCCATTTCTTTCTCCCCTTTACTAGCCGATTTCTTTTGTAAATTCGTTGGAGACACATATGTTTTCATTTGTGTTTTCGTTTGCGTATTTACACAGTTCCTTGCCCTCACATGCTTTTCCCTCCCTTCTTTTACTTCTTCTTTGTCCTTTTCCTTGCCTGGATTTATATGAAATGTTCCTTTTTCTCCTGTTGAGTGTCCTGCACCCGTTATCACCGATGATCTCTTTATACGCTGCGGTGTTTGGTTTTTCTGCAGCGTCCTTCCAACATAACTTATTCTGTTTTGTTTCTCACGTCTTTCCTGCTTCTTCTTCTCACATAAAACATCCAAACTCCCGTTATTTCTCCCATTCTTTGCTTCACTACTTCCTGTACCCGGTGTTCCTCGAGGCCTTAAGGGCCGTGCAACCCGAAGTGCTGGTGTTGATAACAATCGTTTCTGTGTATCACAGCAGTTTCTTTCAAGTTCTTCATTTAAAGACATATTTTGAAAGGGAACGCGAGTTGCTGAACGACGTGCCGGCGTTGTTAACGCTCTGGATGTACTTGAACATGAAGATGGTGTAGATGATGTTCTAAAAGATGTTTTTGGTGGTCTTTCTGTAGGTTTAAGAGGCGTCTTAACGGCTTTTATAGAGTCGTCTGATATTTCTTGTGTCTGCATTGTTATTCGATCAGCGAGATGGTTGGGTTTTTTTAAGGTAAGAGGAAGTTAGAAATGAAAGAATAGAAATAAAAGAGGCATGAAGAAGATGGAGATAAAATAAATAAGAGGGATTATATATGAAGAATGTATGCGTCTTGTATGCGTCTTGTATGCGTTTTATATGGGTCTTATATGGGTCTTATATGGGTCTTATATGGGTTATATATGCATATATAAAAGACAGATAATTTAACAGGCCAAAAAATAAAATAAACAAAATAGATAAACAAATTTAGCTAAAGACAATGAACTATAATATATTCAAGTTTATAAAGGTGTATGCGCTATGTATGCGTATTGTATGCGCTTAATTAATCGAAAATTGCGCTAATCGATACGGATATTAAATGGATGTAGAGACTATAATTATATAGGAACAGGCAGTTTTTACTAAAATTTATCTTGGAAATAGATTTTATTAATCAAACTAAGCATTTTTATGATATTTGGAATAGATGGTTTTTGGGATTTATTAGATTGAAATATAAAAAAACATTATATGATAAAAAATTAAAGAGAAAAACATAGTTTAACAAGAATCAATTGGGTATTTTTAATCATTCTACAAGAATATATCAGAATTTTTTAGTTTGATGTTTCAAGAAAAAAATATGAAAAATGAAGAAAAAACAAAAAAAATATATAATAAAGTGGATATAATTAGTACTAAGAATGTTTTTATTATTGGGCAAGTTATTCGCATTTTCTTATTAATATATGGACATTGGCATGATTCAAAATCGGCGTTTAAGTATACAGACGTGGATTACATGGTTTTTACAGGAGCAGCAAAGGAGGCGTATCATAGAAGATCGGTTTATGATAGAGAAACATATAGATATACGCCTCTTCTTGCATGGATTTTAATTCCCAATGTTATGGGAGTTCCATATTTTGGCAAAATTTTATTTAGTATATGTGATATGATTGCAGGGTATTTTATAAGGAATATTATGATATGGCAAGGATATTCAATGAAAAGAGCTAATATATATGTGACGACATGGTTGTGGAATCCGGTTGTTGCTGTAATTAGTACGCGTGGAAATGCGGAAAGTATGATTGGTACAGGTGTTCTTTTATGTTTATGGATGGCACTTTTAAAACGACCTTTTCTGACGGGATGTTTATTTGGGCTTATTGTTCATCTTAAATTATATACAATTATTTATGTATTTTCTTTTTTATGGATAATGGATAACAAATATGAAGGAAAAGTAATGTTAAAGGGTATTTTAAATTGGATAACTTATTCACGTGTGTATTTTATTATAGCAACTCTACTTTCATCGGTTTTGTTAAATGGGATAATGTATAAAATGTGAGTATTAACAAAAATAGGATTTTTTGTTGATAAAGATTAGTTATGGCATGCCATTTTTAGAACATACTTATTTTTATCATTTTATTCGAACAGATCATCGACACAATTTTTCTCCATATCATTTATGGCTTTATTATGCTTCTTCTCCAGTTAAATCATCTTTTCATATTCCAATCTCTTTTATTTCATTTATACCACAAATGTTACTATCGATGTGTTTAATTCCTATTGCATTTTCTAAGAAAAATCTTCCTGTGACTATATTTTGTCAGACATTTGCATTTGTGACCTTTAACAAAGTATGCACTAGTCAGGTATTTTTCTTTTTTTTTTTTTCAAAAAAAAACTATGTTCTTACAATCTTTTTTTAGTATTTTATGTGGTATCTTATATTGCTTCCTTTTTTTCTTCCACTTCTTAATGTTTCTTCTGGTTTGTTAATGGCTTTCTTTTGGTGTTTTGGACAAGTAATTAATTTAATTATTTAGAATTTTTTTTGATTTCCTTAGGCTTTATGGCTTTTTTTTGCTTATCGCCTTGAATTCCTAGGAATAAATGTATTTTTCCCTTATTTATGGCTTTCTGGTCTTTTATTTTTTGTCATTAATATATGGATTTTGGGTTGCATTATTGATCGTCTTTCACATAAGGTTATATTAGATAAATGTATGTTTTTATCTATGTTTTATAGATCATTTCTTATTTTTCTAGAATTTAATAAAAGGAAATACTGTCTTTCAGAAAATAAAGATATCACAAAACAATTAAACTTGTATATCTATATCTATATATATATATAACGAATTGAAGTATGAGTTTATCAAATATAGATTCAATTGTTCTTGTTATTTTTTATATAACTTATATTTATTAATATTAATATTAATATATTATCTCTACGTAACCTTAAAAAAATGAACTTTATATTTATAAGATAAATATTATTATAAAGAAGTCCTTTTTTTTAGAAATATCTTTAAATATCTGGGTTCTTTTAAGATTTATTTAAATGTTCTTCTTTTAAATCTAAATTGGGGTTTTTCATAAGCTAAAAAATGATTTTTATTCAAACAAGAAGCACATATCGTTTATTATTTCATAAAAATATAAATAAAGACTTGTTTTTGATTCATAATAAGCATTTTTTGTGCTTTAAATCTCGTTTTTCTACTTTAAATACACAAAGAAATAAGGAAAGGATTGGTGTAAGAAATTTTTTAAGAAAACTCGGGAAAAATAATACATATTAGCCATTCTCATGGAAATCTGGATCTTTGTTTCTCATAACGGGTATCTTTCTTGTCTGGCATTTTAAGAATGAGAAGAAAAAAGTGGAACAAAGACGTAAATCTCTTTTTTTTAAAAAAAAGAAGATAAATAGCTAATAAAATGGAATAAAACAGGCCATTCAAATCAAAATATATCTATTGGAAAACCTAGAATAGGTTCTGATTTTGAATTGGTTGATCATAATGGAAGAAATGTCACAAATAAGGATTTTTTGGGCAAATATATGTTGGTATATAAATAAACTTGATTAATTATAAAATAAATAACATTTTAGATCTATTTTGGATTTACTAGATGTCCTGATATTTGTCCAGAAGAATTAGATAAAATGGCTTCTGTGATTAATAGTTATTATTATTTGGTTACTTTTATATAAATTAATATATTTTAGATATCAATAGTCAAAGAAATCTACTGACACCTATTTTTATTACATGTGATCCAAATAGAGATACTCCTTCTCAGGTAAATTGGATTTTTTATTGGAAATTTTTATTAAATTATTTTAGATCAAAGAATATCTTAAAGGTAATATATTTAACATATTTTATATATTGTTTTTACATTTATATAGAGTTTCATACTCAAATAATTGGACTAACAGGAAGCTACGAAGCAATTAAAGCTGTCTGCAAGGCTTATCGTGTTTATTTCTCAACACCACCTAATGTAAAACCAGATGATGATTACCTTGTAGATCATTCTATTTTTTTTTATTTAATGGGTATTTTTTTACTAAAAAAAAAACATATCTAATAATATTTAGATCCTGATGGTCATTTTGTAGATGTTTTTGGCCGACAATACAATGCACAACAAATAACTTCAAAAATATTACAATATATTAATGATTGGGAAACATCAAAAGGATACATCATATAATAAACTTTTAATATTACAATTCTATTACAAAAACAAATCTCATTGCACTCTTGGTATTTACTCTATCTCTTGTTTATATTGTTTTTTCATATGATATTGGCGATTCGTTATCAGATTTATAACTTTATAAAAAAAACAAAAGGATGGAGGAATCTTCACCAAGTAACCCGATAAAACAGCTTGGAAACCTTTGTTTAGATGAAAGGTCGGGGGAATATGTCTCAAAAACGCAAGATTCTATGGGTTTTTTTTGATAAAAATATTAATATTTAATAGAGAGTTAAAAAGACGGTTAAAACTTCAGGAAAAAAAAGAAAAAAGAGTTAAATATGCTTTTATATGGTTATATCTAAGTCTTACAAACCTAGGAAGCTAAAGCATTAACTACAGTTTCACCAAAACCTGTTAAAAAACATGTTTCAGAAATTAATGAAGATTTAACGCCTAATGTTTTATTTTTTGACTTTAAACTAAGATGAAATGATTGTTAAGTTGTTATAGAAGTATTATGAGCTTCGTTCTCGGCATATTAATATGCTTCGTGCTTCTAAAAACTTAGATCCATATCCGCATAAGTTTTGTGTCAATATTCAGATTGAAGAATTCATTAAAACCTACAGTTTTATGAAGAGAGGAGAAGTTAATAGGGACATTATTGTTTCTGTTGCAGGAAGAATATTAAATAAGCGGGATTCGGGTTCAAAATTGCGTTTTTATGATCTTTGTGATGATGGTGCAAAAATTCAAGTGATGGCGCAAGCACAGTAGGATTTAAAAGGTCCATTAGAATGTTTTATAGTGATATAATTAGGGATTGTGAAAAAGACTACTTAGAAATGCATGAGCATATTCAGAGAGGAGATATTGTAGGAATTATTGGGTATCCTGGCCGTACATCGCCTAAAGGCAAAGGAAAGGATGAGGGAGAAGGAGGGGAATTGAGTATATTTTGCAAAGAAATGGTGCTTTTAAGTCCATGTCTTCGTATGCTTCCAATGGAGCGTCAAGGTTTAACAAATCAAGAAACAAGGTATCGACAAAGATATCTTGATCTTATTATTAATAAATCTACACGAGAGAAGTATATAATTATTTTGAAAAGTATGTTTTATTTATCAGTTTTATAAGGTTTATCATGAGATGTAAAATTATTGAATATATTAGAAAATTTCTGAATTCACGCAAGTTTCTAGAGGTAATTATTATTGTTTTTTATATAAATATTCTCATTGCAATAAGGTTGAAACTCCTATGATGAATTTTATTCCAGGAGGTGCCAGTGCTAAGCCTTTTATCACACATCATAACGAGCTTGATCTTAATCTTTATTTAAGAGTTGCACCTGAATTATATTTAAAAATGTTAGTGATAGGAGGCTTGAATCGGGTTTATGAAATTGGAAAGCAATTTAGGAATGAGAGTATTGATCTTACGCATAATCCTGAATTTACAAGCTGCGAATTTTATTGTGCTTATGCAGATATGTATGATCTTATTGATATAACAGAAGAAATGTTATCAAATATGGTTTATGAATTAACCGGTGATTACAAGATTAAATATCATGTTAATGAGCTCGAAGAAGTTACTATTGATTTCTCAAGGCCATGGAATCGTATAGAAGTTATTCCATTTTTGGAAGAAAAACTCAATGTTGTTTTTCCTCCTGGTGATCAATTGCATACAGAAGAAACGACTAACTTTCTTATCTCCTTATGTGAAAAACATCATGTTGAATATTTACCACCCATAACAAATTCTAGATTATTTGATAAGGTAAAATTAATTCATTTTATCAAGAAAATAAGTAAATATTTTAAGCTTATCAGTGAATTTTTGGAACCTCTATGTCTTAATCCGACATTTTTGATAGGTCATCCTCAAATTATGTCTCCATTGGCAAAACATCATAGATCTAATGTAGGATTATGTGAAAGATTTGAATTATTTGTAGCCTATAAAGAACTTGTTAACGCATACACGGAACTAGTAAGATATTTTTGTATTTCTATGGCTTTAGTTTATAATGAAATAGAATGATCCAGTTCAACAACGAATAAGATTTGAGGAACAGATCAAACAAAGGGATCAAGGAGATGATGAAGTTCAAATTATTGATGAGAATTTTTGTTTAGCTTTGTAAGTTTTATTGTTAAAATTATCTTGTTTTTTTACTTTCAAAAGGGATTATGGATTACCGCCTACTGCAGGATGGGGAATGGGAATAGATCGACTAGTAATGGTATATTTGGCTTTTCTGTTTATATTATATTGTTGATTTTTTCTAGTTTTTGACGGATTCATGCAATATTAAGGAAGTTTTATTATTTCCTACAATGGTAATTTGTGTTTTTATTATGGTTAATTAATTAATATATAAATCTAGAAACCTGATGCTACTTCTAATTGATTAATTTTTAATAAAAATATTTTGAAAATAATTATTTTCAAAATATAACTCTTATTTTTGCATATATTTTTGAATAAAAAAATTAAACAAATTTGTATTATAAAATGATTAAAATTACTTAAAATATATTAAAAGTGATTATTTTAAAGTTATAAATTCTTGTAAAATAATCTATGTATCTATTTAAATACAGCTTATCTGAATGAATTTATTATTTTGTTAATGAAATTGTTTATTATGATTAATTTAATATCAAAATAAAATGATTTTTAAAATATATCCAAAACAATTAGCAATAATGAATTACAACTAGTAAATAGATTCTGAAACATGATTTATATGGATTATTTCATACAAGTACAGCATTGTAAATGATTATTTTTTATGCAAACCCGTTTTAACCCAATATTTCCATAATTCGACACTTTCGTTATTATTTTTAAATTCTTGCATCGTATATTCGATTCTTGCAATAAAATCATGGAATATTTTTAAATTTTGCTCAAATAATGAATCATCTACCTTCACCTTTTTTAAAACTAAATTTATATGATCTAATATTGATATAATAAGAATACATGTTTTAATCGTAATGAAAGATAGTGAATCCATCGACGATGGCAATAATTCGAACCATGTCCCTTGAAGATAAGACAACAAACCAGGAAGATATGAATAGAATAACATTAATCGAGACCATACATCTTTATACACCTTTTTAGATATGTTATTCACTTGAGAAAATAAAGAAAGATGAAAATATGGAGATGACTTTAAAGGTCGACCTAAATATTTAGAAACCATAGGATGATTGATTCCAGATAAATATCTTGTTTGATTTATATATATATTGGGAATCACGTGATCATTTTCTTTATTAGAATAAAGACCTTTTTTTAAAAAAATATCAAACGCTTTAAAATGTTGATATCTTGATTCCTGCGAAAACGTCGGTTTAAAAAGAAGAACTGTTTTTGCAGTATTTGCAGTATTTTCTTCATTTTTCCACCCAAATAAAACAGAAAACGTATTCAAAAACTTCTCCCATGCATATTTAACTACACATTCCCCCTGTATCTCCAAAAGCCAGGCTAAAATTTTCGTTGAATCATTTCGTACATCTGGCAAAATATGCGTCATTGCCGAATGAATATATAATATCATAAAAAGTATATGTGGCTCAATTAATTCCTCTTTCTCCGTAAATATTGTTAATAATAACGATCGTAATGCCCCACGAACTCCCGATTCCTCATCAATCATCAACGGAATCGTCGTTTTAATTATTAATGTCCATATTTTCGTTTCAAATTCCGATTTACGCAATAAATCCTTTAAAGTATTCAACGCCTCTAATTTCTTCCTTAATTCCTTTCATCTCCTCTCTTTTTTTTTCTACCTTTACGCTGCAATCCCGATGGATGTTTTACTAAACTTAACTTACGCAGAACTAATTCATTATCTGCCGCTTCTTTGCTTAAATATTCCTTTAAAATAGATTGCTGCGGTACACTAATGCCTGAATCTATGTCATCCCATTGTCTTTCCCTATTTATATACTACTTTTTGTCTTTAACTCTTTGCCTGTCAGTCCATATGATTCATGTCGAGAGTTATGGTCTTTCGACTTCTGCCTCTTGTATATATATTCAGAACATAGAATGTTCTAGAACATTATTTACCCGAAATGCTAATATTCTTTGTTTCTTTTTTTGAATTTTTGTCATTTAAAAAATATATTATTTTAAACATAATTTTAACTGATTTCGCTTGTTTTCGAGATACATTTGTATTATATGCTCTGTTATGCCTTCTATATGCGCGCCATTTCCTCACTATATGCGTATTATATGCATGCTATAATTCTGGTCATGTGGTTAAAACGCTTTCTACATACGATTTTGTATCCGCTTTACGGCAACGCTTATTAAAGCTTTTGCATAACAGAAACCATCTGATAGATTTACAATAAATGCGTATAAGACTTGCTATTGGGGGTTTAGGACTTTTAACATATATTCAAGCTGTTTATCTTTTAGTTGAGGATAATTTAAAACATGAAGATTTAAATTCTTTTTTATTAGTTAATCCATGTATATCGTGTAGTAAATATAATGAGACTTTGTACGACTATAAGAATGCATCAAATTCAACAAAAGAATCAATAGTTAGACGTTTGAAATGTCATGAATCATCGAAAGATAATATTTATTATTTTATTAAAAAAACAGTTGATAAAAATGGAAAAAATAGAGAAAAAAGAGAAAATTGTAGAGCGCTAAATATTCTAGATGGAAAAATATATGTAGTTAAATGTGATCTACTTTTTCCATCAATATGTAAGAATTATGAAGATTTTCAAAACATCATATAATAAGATGGAAGGCACGAATTCTGGAAAAAGACGGGATTCAAAAACCCTACAATCTACTGATCCAAAGCTTTCGTATACTGTAAACAGTACGTTTGGGCTAGTAACGGGCACACGGACAGATGCTACTTTTACATTCCTTGGAATTCCTTATGCACTTCCACCTGTTGGAGATTTACGATTTAAAGATCCAGTTCGAATATCGAAGATTAATGATACATGGAATGGGACATATTATCGGTCATATTGCCCTCAAGATTCTGGAACTGTTTCTTCACCTTTGCTTAATGAAGATTGTCTTTATTTGAATGTTTATTCACCTTATATTCCAGAACTTGGAGATTCCACTTCATCATTATTACCAGTCATGTAGGATTTTTTTTTTTTTTTCTTAACTCATATTTTAGGGTATGGATTCATGGGGGATCCTATATCCGTGGTAATCTGCAAAGCGGCTATAATGACCCTAGTCATCTTGTTTCACATGAAAATGTAGTTGTAGTAACACTTAATTATCGTCTTGGGGTTCTTGGATTTTGGGGCTGTGGAAATCAAGCAGTAAAAGATCAAATTACTGCACTTCAATGGGTTAGGCAATACATTGGTTTTTTTGGAGGAGATCCATTAAGAATAACAATTGCAGTAAGTTTTCTTTTAGAGAAAGAATTTATTCATTGAATCAGGGTGAATCTGCTGGTGCAAGTTCAGTTAGAACACTTTTATCAGCTAAAAGTAAGACAGAGGGTTTGGCTCACGCTGCTGTTATGATGTCTGATCCTGTTTCTATGGGTTTTGATACAAAGGATTCTGCTATGATTATTGCTAAACTTGTATTTTTTTTTTTTGTTTTGCTTTTTCTATAATTTTTTAGTATGCACAAGTTTCTGGATGTTTTACAGAAGATAATTTTGACATTTCTTCTCCGAAACTTATGGACTGTATGCGTAAATTAACAGCAGAAGATGTTATTGTGTATCAGTCGGTTGTTCTTCTTACTGGTTCTATGATGAATGATAGTATTACTTTTGGGGAAACATTCAAGCCATGTATAGATGGTGATGTTTTAACGGAGGATTTTCTCGATTCTATTGAGACTGGTGATTTCCTTAAGGTTCCTTTAATGCTTGGAACTGTCAGAGATGAAGCTGCTTTTTTTATCGATAGTTTCAATGAATTTTTCCATCTCGAGGATTTTCTTCTTTTTATTCTTTCTGCTTATTTTAATCGAGAACAAATCCAAAAGATTATGACTAATGAATATTACACTAAAAATCTTAATTCTAGCGATGTAGAAAGTTCTAAGAATTTTCTTTCAACTGTTTTTACAGGTAATTTTTTTTATTTTTGATGAATTTTATTTATCAGAAATAGATGCTATTTGGGTATGTCCTACAAACTTAGTTGCAGCGAAAATGTCGAAATATGTTAGTCTGTATTATTATTATTATAATTATCCTTATTTATGGGCGCATCCACCTACTTCTTATTGTTATCAACGTATATGCCATGCAGATGATCTTCCTGCTTTCTTAGGATCAATTGCTGTACAAGGTATTGAAGCTCTTTATGATTCTAATGGAACAGTAGCTGAGCCTGATCTTACATTTACTAAAATTATTCTTTCACGTCTTGGTTCTTTTTTAAGGACGCATAATCCTAATCCTGATCCTGATAAGCTTTGTTATAATAAAGAGTTTTTTAAAGTGGGTGATTGTGATAAAAGAACTGTTATATGGAAAACTTTTCAACCTAATTCATCCCTTGAAGATGCACCAAGTTACTTCAATAATTCATCTAATGGAAAAGTATATGGACCTGTACATATATTAAACATCACCGAATCGACATCTGGTAATTTTATAGTTCCTAGGGATATATGTGATTTTTGGTATAAACTCGGACTTCACGCTCATGTTTATTCTTCAAAGAAAGGAGTACTTAAGATTGACTCATAGTTTGTTATTTATTATTTGATTTATATGTTTTTTTTTATTTATTTTGGCTCAGTGTAGATGTGTTATATATATTATATATATTATAAACTTATTATTTGTCTGCTCTTTCGTTCGAATCCAAGTATTAAACATCAAAAAAGTGTTTAATAGGTGTTTATAATTTTTTGCCTTATTTTATGACTAAACCATCACAAGATCTTCCTCCTACAGGTTGTTATTGTTAATTGTTACATATATCTATCTAATTTCTTATAGGCGGCTACGCACCTATTCAATATAAGGTGTGTATCTTTGAGAATCTTTTAAGAAATATTATGTTTATTTATTTCCAGAGAAATCTTCCTGCAAAAGGACCAAGAAGCTCCGTAGTTCTTTTATGTATTGGTTTGATCTCTTCGTATGGTTTTTACCGTTATATTCAGGTATTAATTATGTATAAATTCTTTGATAATGAATGATATTAATGTCTAAGGGAGTTTATGAAAGAAGGTTTATAAGGAGTATATATAGTGTTATTTTCTTTTTAATGGAGGGAATAGAGAGTTAAAAAGGGAAAATGTATGGTCTCGGATTCATTTGATACCATTATTGCAAGTAGAAGCAGAAAGAGACATGTACAGAAGAAGACGAGAGTTACTTCAATTGGAGAATGAAGTTATGAAAGGAGTAGAGGGCTGGGATAATGAATATCGTATTTATCATACCCGAGCGTATTTATTTATTGATTGATTGATTGATTCATGATACTTATTTTTTAGAGATATTGTTCCCACCTATTCCTTTCCACTTGAATGAATTTTATCTATTCTAACTCTTATGGAAAACTGTACTTTGGAAATTTTCTTTGACATGTTTTTAGTATGTTTGAAGAGGGAGTTTAAGTTTTAATATTTTTAGTAAGAAAAAAATTGGCAAGTAAAGAACTATTATTTCTTCATGTATTCAATGTGTATTTGGGGTTGTTCTTTTTACAGATTTATATATATATATATCTATGTATACAATGATCTAAAATCGACTCTTATCGAACTTCATTTTTAACATGTACTTAAGTATTTTTTAATTATACTGGATTATCAGAAAAATAATAATGAAATATGGAAATAATGTTTAAATATAGTGCTTCTTCTATGTATAATTTTCGGAAATCTTTTTTCCCTAGTTTTCTAGTAGCTTTTTTAAGAAAATCACATATTGGATCTAAGCCTTTATTTCTTCCTAGAACAGCAAAACTGCAAGTTTCAATAGCAGAAAATATTCCAAATACTAAGCAAATAGCTGTTGAAGGGCCTAATGGGTGTTTATCTCTTTATCTTCCGTCATATATTGATATTAATCATTGTTCATTAACAAACAAAGTTAAAGTCTCAGTGGAAAATCCAATGATCAAAAAGCAACGATCAATGTGGGGAACAGCAAGATCTTTACTATCAAATATGATTGTAGGAGTGACAGAGTATCATCATGTAACTCTTCGTTTAGTTGGAATTGGTTATAAAGCTTTTATTGAAAATGATTCATTTTTATCATTAAAAGTTGGATATTCTCATCCAATTCTTCTTAAAATTCCAGATGGAGTTTTTGTTACATGTCCCTCACCTACTCAAATTATTTTGAAAGGATGTGATAAGGTAATTGTTACACAATTTGCAGCAAATATTAGAAAATGGAGAAAACCAGAGCCATACAAAGGTATATATATATATATAATTAATATAGTATTTAGATTGTATTAGGAAAAGGCATTTATGTTGATGATGAAAAGATTATTTTAAAAAGTGCAAAAACTAGGTGATCAAGCAAAATAAGGTTAAAAATTTGATTCAAAGCAAAAACAGAGATTTCGACTTTTAATTGCCATATATATAATATAGTTATGTACATTTTTATTAAAAACTTGAAGGATTTTCATAATGATTATATTTAATCTTTTGTCAAATCTATGAATGTTTTATTTCGTTGGTATAATATTTATACAGGGATTTTTAAGAAAGAACTAAGGGGAAAACATCTAAAAAGTCAAAGGTTATCTTTGAAACAAGAGTATTGTCGATATTATATCTATATATTACGCTTTATTTTTACATTTGATACTCAAAATATTAATTCACAAAATATCACTTATTTTCAGAAAAAAATCAAAAATATATAATCTTAACAAGGGATATATGATTAAGAACAATTATTATTCATTTTCAATTTTTATAGATTGTATTTTAATACAAAAAAAGCTCAAAAGTTTTTATTAACAAAACCATATTTATTCGGATATCTTAATCTTTGTAGGGGCTATTTTAAACAAGTTCTTTATACATATTTATTTACTTTATTTTTTTTAGAAATCAATATTTTTCCGATCTTTTATTTATATTTCAAATGTCAACTAAGGCACCAAGTAAAGTTGTTTTTGGTATGTGATATACACTTTTTACATATAGGCTTATGCTGATATATCTATGTAGTTGGCAATATTCCATATGATATTTCAGAAGAACAGTTAAAGGATATTTTCCGGCAGATTGGTCCTATTCATAGGTTTAGGTAGACTATTTGGAATATTTTGATATGTATATTTATTCTCTGGAGATTAGTCTTTGATAAGGAAACAAATAAACCCAAGGGATATGGTTTTTGTGAATATCCAGGTTGCTATTATTTTTTTCTCAGTATTAAATTGATATATTTATTCAGATATTGCAACAGCTAGCGCAGCTGTTAGGAATCTGAATAATCATGATATTAATGGGAGGCAGTTGAGGGTTGATTTTGCAGAATCGGATCCAGCTCAAGATAATAATCGTAGACAACAACAAGTGACACAACATGAAGAAGTATCGCCACAAACTAAGTCAGATATTCTGCCGATGCTTCCGCAAGGGACTGTGCCTCCACCGGGAGTATCAGCTGTGGACGCTATTTCACGTACATTATCAACGCTTCCACCTTTACAGCTTTTGGACATTCTTTCTCAGTTAAAGGCACTTGTTCATATTAATCCGGAACAAGCACATGCACTTTTGTTGCAATCACCGCAATTATCATATGCTGTATTTCAGGCCATGCTTATGATGAATCTTGTAGAGGCAAGTGTGCTTCACAAAGTAATTGCGTCAACAGGTCATCCTCAGGTTTCTCAACCTTCCAATACAGTATCGTATACTCCACCACAGCAAAATTCACAAGATGCACAAAGAGTGAGTATTTTTGCTTTATAATTATGTTTTAACCTGTTGTAAAAGGCTGCTATTTATGCTCAGGTTATGTCTTTAACAGATGCACAGATAAATACATTGCCTTATGATACAAGAAATCAAATATTATTATTGAAACAACAAATAGCAATGGGTGTAGTATAAATTGATATTTTTAATATTATTCTTCTATAGAACAGAGAATAATATTGTATATATAATTATTTTATTTATCTATACTTTTAACATATGTTTTTTATGTATTTACAATAAACATTAAGGGTTTAGAATTAATGGCTTTATAAGTATTTAAATAAAGTTCAATAGATTTGAATTGTCTATAAGATGTTTGTTATTAAAAGAATTAATGTTTTTTTTTGGAAAAAAATAGTAAAATATAAGTTTTCTATTAAATGATTTATTTTTAAGAATTAATTGTAATATTTTGAAAAATAAAGACTTAATAACAAGTAATTTTGTTTTAGACATTATATTAGATTATAATTAATATTTTTTTATAAATTAAAATATGTATTTAAATCTTAAATCGCTGTTATTATTGACTTTAATATTTTTATATTCTATTTATTTGAACATTTTTGATATTAAAAATAAGTATAGTTTTTAAAAATTATATTTAATTGCAACTTTTTTCCATAAAAAAAAATAATGATAATATTTGGTTTGTTTTAAAATAAAATTTAAAGTTTTTTAATGTTTCATAAATAATATTAATTATAATTGAATAAAAAAATTACAATTGAATAAAAAAATTGCAATATAAATAGTTATTTATCTTTGATATATGTTTTTTCTTCAAAATTGAAAATTAAAAAGTCCTAATCTTTTGGATTGGATAATTTTTTTAAAGAATTTTTTTATATTTGTAATATATTTATAATTTAAGACTTAATAAAAACTTTTGAATTGCTTTATATATCAAATTGGAAACTAAGAAAATTATCAGATATAATATTTTACATATATTATACTAGTCTAAATACAAATAGTACTAATCCAAACATATTTAAAAATCCTATAAAAAAAAATGCCTATTTATAATATATACACTTAAACATACAAATCTATATATAATATTCATATAATAATTTCTTATATATCTTTATAATTCTTTCTTTATTCTTCTATACAGAATAGATAAAAATACATATTTTTTCAATTATCTTTATTTTTTATTCATTTTTTCTTAAAAAAAAATTCAATTTATTTTAAATAAAAAAATATCTTAAGAAATATTTCTAAAACTGCTCTTTTACATTCAAATGTCCTCAAGAATTTCAATTCTTGAATCTTGTTTTATCAAAAAATTAAGTTCCTTCAAAAAGCTTAATATAAACGATCGTCAAACGAACTTCAAAAAAACTGAAAAATATTAAAAATTATTAAATGGGTCTTGATTTAATTTTTTCTAAAAAAATTACCTCAGAAATGAATTCCTCTGGAAAAAATACGTCAGGAACATGTTTTTTGGGTCAATCTAGGCATTCAAATGACTCATTAAATCGAGAAATAGAAATAAAAATAGGCACAGTAAAGCGCCTGATTCGTGACCTTATTACCTATAATAAGGAGCTTAAAATAGAAGAGGATACTTATTTAAAACTAGAACAAGAAGGCCAAGATGAATATGTTTTAAGAAAACAGGTACGTTTATAAATATCTAGACACTAGTAAAAACTATAAATGTCTTTATAATGAGTTAGAATTTATAACTTATTTATACAGAAACAAGTGATAGAAGAATGCCAAAGAATGATTCCTGATACAGAATATCGTCTTTCACAGGCAGTTGAGAAGTTATCTAAAGATTTGGTACGAATGTTATATATAATTATATATTAAATTAATAATATTGTTCTTTGATAGACTGATGGAAAGATTGATGGCGATTCTTCTAGAATTACTACTTTGATTGATGAAGCATCAGTTCTTTTGGAACATCGTGATTAATAACCGTGCCGTTCTTAGCTACTAATTTTATCTGTTATTTATAACAGGATAATTAGCTTTGAAAGGACATGGACTCTAATATGTTTATTAGGGACCTATTTTTAAAATTAATATTATGAATTTTCACTAAATTTCTATTATGTTTAAAAGTTTTTTTGTCAAAATTTGCTTTTTTTTTCAATACAGTTTGGGAGCTTTATATTACGGATATTTCTTTCTTATTAAGACTTTTCATGCTTATATTTTAGGATCACTTTATACAAATATATTTTATTTTTTAGGTATCTACACTTTTATCAAATTTGCTAATATATAAATAAACTGATTAATATTCCGGCAGAAATGAACGTTGTTTCAACAAAAAAGTATATTTTAGAAGAGGGCGTTAATGAGATTGGCTTAAGGTTATGTATTTGTCTAAACTAGATTTTTTATCGTTTCGAAGTTTTTCTTGGCCGGTAGTCAAGTTTTAAAAAATAAACTTAAGCTCTAGAAGAGTCTTAATAAATCTATAAGTCAATGTCATCTAACATAGATTCTGTTGAAAATCCAGGATCTTCTTTAGAAGATGATGATGTAAATTTTGGAGGATTAGTATCAGCAGATTCTTTTGAATTTGGAGATTTTCATGAAAATCTTGCAGATATTTCTTTAGACGGTGTTTATGATTTTCAACCGGTATGATTCGTAACAAAGATACATTTTGCTTGTTAAACACATGTATGAATAGCCTGCTATTGATTATGATGACTGGTCATCAATCATGTCTAAAATTCCAGAAATTGTGGATACTATATTAGGCCCTGAAATAGATTCTTCTGATTCTTCTTTAGAACAAGATTCAGCATTAGAACATGATATATCTGTTTCAGATAATTCCAAACATTTTTTAGAATCAGGGTTCATATTTTCATCCAAATCTTATTTAGACTAATTACTTAGTTGTCGTCTCTGGGAAAAATATTTAGCATCACAAGATCTTCCTCCTTTATCTTGGGAAACATCTCATACTCGTCAAATGTTTCTTATGTCCCTTAATATTCCGTTGAACCTGGATGATGTTATAAATAATTTGATTCTTATTTATTACTAATATTTTTCAGACATCTCCATCCAATAAAAAAACAAAAGACAATTCTGTTTCACCAATAAAAATATCATCAGATGCCTCATTTAAAGACACTTTCTTAAAACATGAATCTTTAACAAATAACAATACATTGTCTCATGATCTTGATACTCATATGATACGCCTTATTCATCTAAAATCTGACGGTACGCTTATAAAATCATGTGTTTTTTCTCATTTTTTAAAGAAGCTTTGCTTAATCTTTCTCCAATTTTACTCAAATCACATTTACTCGAGTTAGAAATTATTCTGGAAAAATCTTCTGCATATCTTTCTCATTGGATTGAAAAAAAGAAGGAAATAGAAAATGATAAACTCCTCTTTGAAAAGATTATTGAAAGTCTTGTTCAACATACAAAACGACAACGTATTGAACATATTAAAAAAACATATAACCTTAAAAAAAAATCTTAACAATAATACTATAATCTTTAAAAATATATTTAAACATTATTAAATTTCTATACTAAATTTTAACTATAAATTCTCCTGTTCTCTTGATCATCGATAACATGAGTGTATTAGTAGAAACAACTGTTGGTGATATTGTGATAGATTTGTATACGAAATATGCTCCAAATACATCTAAAAACTTCTTGAAACTATGTAAAGTAAGTAATATGTTTTTTTTTGGCTTTTTTCCCTGATATTTAAGGTTAAATATTACAAGTAATATAATTATTTTTAAGTGTAAATGATTAATGATAAATAAGCTTTTCTCCAATATATAATCTACAAAAGGACTTTTCTTTTCAAACAGGAGATCCGCTGGGACCAGACGGAGATGGTGGTACAAGTATTTGGGGGCTTTTAGGAGGTTCTCGCTTTTTTCCGGCAGAAATAGATCCAAGACTTAAACATAAAGAGCGGGGAACTGTTAGTATGGCTATAGCAAACAAGGGGGTTGGACATTCTAATTCTGGTTTGAGTGGGTCTCAATTTTTTATTACGTTAGGAGATAATCTTAATTATCTTGATGGGAAATATACGATTTTTGGGAAAGTAGCAGAGGGATTTGATACACTCGAAGCGATTAACAATGCGTATTGTGACAATAATATGAGGTTTTGGAGGATTTTTAATAAAAAATTGCATTAAATAAGGATTTTAGACCATTTAAAGATATTCGAATTAAACATACGATTATTTTAGATGATCCATTCCCAGATCCAGAAGGTTTAGTTGAGCCAGATAAGTCTCCACTTCCTTCTAAGGAACAGCTTTCTACGGTTAGAATTGGCGATGATGAAAAATTTGATGAAGATCTTGATGAGGCAGAAGCGGAGAAGTTGCGAAGAGAAAGAGAAGCAAAAGCACAAGCATTAACTTTAGAAATGATTGGAGATCTTCCTTTTGCAGAAGTAAAACCACCTGATCATGTACTTTTTGTATGTAAATTGAATTCGGCAACACGAGATGAAGATTTAGAGGTATTTATATTTATATTTAATATGATTTTTTTAAGATATAGTTAATATTTTCTCGATTTGGAAAGATCATTAGTTGTGAAATTATTAGGGATAGACGTACTGGTGATTCTTTACAATACGCTTTTATAGAATTCGAAAAGAAAGAAGACTGTGAACAAGCTTATTTTAAAATGCAAGATGTATTAATTGACGATAAACGAATTAAAGTGGACTTTTCACAATCTGTCTCCAAACTTTCGGATTTATGGAGAATAACAACGAATCAAAAACGAAAAAATGCTGCACAAAAGTCATTTGCTGGTTCTACTTATTTAGAAAAAGGAAAGGCATATAGAGAATACAAAAATGATGGATACAGTATGGTCTTTGATCATCATGACTTAAAAAAAAAAGCAATTTCAGATTATTCTAGAGATCGTACTCATAAAGATAGAGATACTAAAGAACATTCTTTTTATGATAGGAAAAATTCTTATAGAGACTCTTCTTCTCGTCATCATCAACATAGAAATAGCAGTTACAGTCCAAGGCGTAGAAGACATTAATCTCTTTTAAAACTGCTATTTCTTAATAGCTACTATCTTTTAGGGCTTATAGGTTTGGGTTTCTTAAAGAAAACCCTCATGTGACGGTCAACCAAATTTCGAAATCAACCAAATTTTAAAAAATAATCATGTCTGACTCCATAACAATTCGTACTAGGAAGTTTTTAACAAATAGGCTTCTTTGTAGAAAGCAGATGGTACTTTTAATTCTTTTTTTTTAACTTATTAGTTGATCTATAATTTAGGTAGTTGATGTATTGCATCCTAATCGGCCTAATGTTAGTAAAAATGACTTGAGAGAACGTTTGGCATGTATGTACAAGACTGATAAAAATACAATACAAGTTTTTGGTTTAAGAACACAATTTGGTGGCGGGAAATCAACCGGTTTTGCCTTAATATATGATAGTCTTGAATATATGAAAAGATTTGAACCAAAATATCGATTGATTCGTATTGGACTTGAAGAAAAGGTAGAACGTACATCTCGTCAACAAAGAAAACAACGAAAGAATAGAGGAAAGAAGTTTAGAGGGTTTTTATCTTTTTTATTTATTTTTTTTTTATCTAAAAAAAATAGGGTAGCAAAAAAAGCTGCTATAACTGCTTCCACAAAGAAATAGGCATAAATTTATCTTTTAATAAATATGATGCATCTTTTAATATATTTTTTTTTACTTATCTTTTACTTGTTAACCCTTCTCTTATCTCATTACTCTGATTCTCCACTATATGTTGCCATGACAACCTTCCCGTACAGATCTCAACCTCATCCTCTCTGGAGATCCTCAAGCTCCACATAAAATGACATGTAAGGCCTCTATTTTCCATATATTTTAAGAGTTTCTAACATATTTATAGCAGAATTTTCTTTTAAAAACGTTTTAGACAAAAATTCTAACCAGTCAACAATAAATACAAAAGATTCTTCTGGAAAGATTAGTTCTACAAATACACCAGCAACACCAGTTGCACCATTATCGTTTTCATCAGCAGCTTTTAAGTTCGGGGATAGTACTACGCCAGCAGGCCAACCACCAGTACACCCACTTGGAAAAGTGGGTGGTTCTGAAGGGAATACCTTAGAAAATAAAGGGTTTCAATTGGGGACAACAGGGACGATATTTGGGGCGAAAAGCGAATCTACGACGACGTCGTCTACGCCTTTTGTTTTTGGGTCAGGAACAGCTCAATTGGAATCTAAACCAGTTGGTCAAAATAAGCCTACATTATTTACATTTGGTTCATTAACAGAAAAAAATACACAAACGTCACAAGAAAAGCCGACAGAATCTACGCCATCATTTTCATTTGGTCTTTCTACAACACCAACACCTATATTTGAATCGGGTAGTACGGCAAAAACAGATGCATCAAATGTTTCAGTTGAAAAGTCATCTGTTGCTTCTAATAATTTAAAACCAACGGCGACATTTTCATTTGAAAGTTCTTCTACACAACAAAATTTTTCAAAACCTTCAACATTTTCTTTTCAGAAGCCACAAGAATCTAAACCGACATTTACATTTGGAGCAACATCTACAGCAGATCCAAAAACCACGTTAGCAGACACTAAAAAATCTGAAGAACCTAAACCTTCATCTACAACAGATACCTCAGGTATAAATATATGAATAGTTATAATTAAACATAGTTTTAATATTAAAATAGCTTCTACGACTTCAAGTTTATTTAATGCTCCAACATCTATTTCTTCAAATATTCCAAGTTTTAAAGCAAAAGATTCTTCGCAAACATCAACCAAACCGGCCTCAGAAACACCATCATCTACGTCAATTGCTTCTATTGTACCTAAGCCATTACCAGGAACTTCTACTCAGGAAATTGGAGGATCGAATCTTAAAAATAAGACTTTAAAAGATATTATTAATAAATGGACAAGGGATTTGGACAATTATTCAAGACAGTTTATCCAGCAAGCAACAGAAGTTTCAAAATGGGATAGACTTTTAATAGAGAGTGGTGATAAGGTTAGAAATATAATATAATATATATATTACAACTTAAACTATTTAGATTTCAAAATTATATGCAGATACTATTGAAGCAGAGCAAATACAAACAAAAGTAGATCAAACGCTGACATATATTGAAAGCCAGCAAAATGAAATGTCAGCTTTTCTTGATCAATATGAAAGTCAAGTTCAAGAATTAAGTGAAAGGCAGTTTTGTACACCAGATGGAATGCAACCAGCAGATCAAGAAAGAGAAAAAGTGTATGTTCCTTGTTTCTATTATTTGCATTTTGATAAAAATAGGTATACTCTTGCTGAAAAATTAACAGAAAAACTTGATGGACTTGGGAGGGATTTAGGATCTATGATAGATGAAATTAATGCTGCATCTAATTTAATTAATAAAACGGGTGAAGATGATCCGGTAAATTTGATAATTTTATGGCTTATATTTTGATAACTAATTGTTTAAGCTTTCCTCAGTTGTTAAAATCCTTAATTCACATCTTTCGAGTTTGCAATGGATTCAATCTACAACTACAAAATTGCATTATAAAATTGATGAGGTAAAAAAAGCTGAACATTCAATAGAAAAACAACTTGAAGAGAATGCTTTTTATGATGGACAAAATATTGGGTTTTCTTAATTTACTAATAAATTCTTAAATTGTTATGAGTACATTTTAAATCGTTTTTTCTCTCGAAATTCCTTTATTTTTTCTTTATCTTCCTCAAATCTCTTTTTTAATTCCGTTAATTTCTTGTTTTTTCCTTCCTGTTTTTGAAATTTATAGAAGTCATGAAGTATATATTTTTCTTTCTTTTTTTCCTGCATTTTCATCCCTTCATCAATCCTACCTGCACCTGTTCTTCCTCCCCTAGTAACAGTAATAAATCCTTCTTCATCCGGTTCAGTTCGTTGACGTTTTCTTAAACGTTTCTCTTTTTCCTCAGCTAAATAAAAGGCTGCCATATATTTGTCAATTGATGTCTGCAATTTTTCATGCGAAGGATATATTAAATTATAATGCTCCCAATAATCTAAATGAAATAAACCATTTTTCTGATAAATCATTGAACATACGATTAAATCCAAGCTCTTGTACTCTATTTTTCGGTATATTTTGTCCCCATACATAATTTTCAAGTTTTTTATGATTTTTTTTCTCCAAAATATATTCAATATCTTGTTTTTCCAAAAATTCCACAATTGCCCACGATCCAGATTTTAGAATTCTTCTTTTCCATACAAATAATATAGTGTCTTTAAAATTTGTTTCATTTTCTGTATAATTTTCATTTATATTTTCTTTATATGACTGTCTTTGTATAAAATGAAAAAATACTTGTTGGATTCTACATCCTAAATGATTAAAGAGGTATTTTAAATGATCATGTGTAGTGTCAATAGGAAGATTTGAAACGAATAGTGAAGGTCCTTCAGGGAGATTTTCTGGCTGATTTGCAAGAGGTGTTGGTTGATATCGGTCATGTTCTTTTATATAAAGATAATGTACTATATTTGTATTTTGGAAAGATGTCTTCGGCATCTTAACCTTAAGAACTGTATATTCATTCATAATCTCATAGTTTTATGTATTTTTTAACTTATTCGTTTTTCTGATGTCGAAATATTTTATCTTATTTGATAGTCTTTTTTCAAGTCCAAAAACCCTTAATAATTAACAATAAAGATTCTCAATAAAGCCAATTTTCCTGTAAAAACATCAATCCTAATTTTTATATGTTGAATCTTTATTATAAAAATTAATTCTTTTTTTTTTATTATAAAAATTAATTCTTTTTTTTTTATTATAAAAATTAATTCTTTTTTTTTTATTATTATATTATTTCATTAATATTTCTAATGAAATAGATTCTGAATCTTATGATAGAAACTACCAGTATTAACTGTTTATCCTTTTTATATTTTAAGATAAATCCGAGTGAAATGCTTTTTATGCAAATTTTGAAAAAATAATTTATATTTTGCCCTTATTTTAAATAAATACTTATAACCCTTCATAGATTGAATATATTGAATGTATATTTGTTTCTTTTTTTAAATATTTTTCAAGATTTCTATAAAATATGTTTCAACTCTTTTTTAACATATTTTTAAGTATTTTTTTCCAATAAAAAAGTTATTTTATCTTTAATAACTATATTATTTATTTTTATTTGTAAAAATACTGATTTTAATACATTTTTCTTGTTTATTTTCCTTATCATAGACAATCGGGCATTAATACTAAGAACGTTAAAAGTCAGACTTAAATTATCGGTTAAAAAAAATTAAAAATTCTGCATTTCTCTATATTTTTAATATGATCCGGCGTTCATGTTATAAGTAAGCTTTATATAATTAATTACCTTTTTATTAACTCTGATTTTTTATAGATGTGGGGATTTAGGACATTTTGCTGATTCATGCGTTAAAACCGATAGATTATGTTATAATTGCAAACAACCAGGACATGAATCTAATGCCTGTCCATTTCCTAGAACTACTGAAAGATTACAATGCTATTATTGCCAAAGTATAGGTCATATTCAGGCAGACTGTCCATCTTTTCGATTAAATCCTATTGGAACAGGTGGACGTTGTTATACTTGTGGTATAGTAGGTCATATTGCACGAGATTGTGTTGGACTATCTACATTTTCTTCTGTTCATTTTGTTTCTGCTCGTTCTCAAGCTTGTTTTAAGTGTGGTGGACCAAATCATTTTGCAAGAGATTGTCAAGCTTTTTCTGTTAAATGTTATGCATGTGGGAAATACGGGCATATTTCAAGTATATGTGAAAACGCTTCTCAGACCTCAAAATCATGCTATCGTTGTGGTAATTTAGAACATCTTGCTAAAGACTGTACAATCATCATATCAAATAATGATCATCAAGATTCTAATGATAATATCACTTCAACAAAAAATCCTGTATCACAAACAACATTAGTATCTTAAATATGTATTTATTCATGTATTTTTATAATATTTTATAATCTCCAATATTTTGTGTCTAATAACCTTCTGATAACCAACTTTCGATTCTGATAAAGACGAAAATTAAGCAGATAAAAAATAGAAAAAAACAGGGCTATTTTAGAGATTTAAAGCGCATTTATATCATAAAAACATCATAAAAAGAAGTGTATAAAGAGAATATACTATGACAATAAAAGAAGACGATTCAGATTTGAGTGTAGATGAGGAAGTAAGTTAAGAATTGTTGTGCATATAGCCGCTAATATTGTCAAGGAACAGCAATATATTGATTCGGACGAGCTTCAGAGTCATGGTAGTCTTTTTTTTTAGAGTTTTTTATTGATTTTTATGGACTATATGCGTAGGTATTGGTGTAGCAGATATTCAAAAACTTAAATCATCTGGATATTGTACAGTAATGGTAGTAATATTAGTAGTTTTTGATAAAATATGACGGGAATCAGAGTATTCAGATGGCAACTCGTAGAAATCTTTCAAAAATTAAAGGATTTAGTGAAGCAAAAGTAGAGAAGCTTAAAGAAATTGCGCAAAAGCTTTGTGTAAATATTTAGATTTAATTTATTATTTAACAATGGAAAGCCTCCTCCATTTCAAACAGCTATGGAGGTTTCATCGTTTCGACGACGAGTGAATTATATTTCTACAGGATCTAAACAATTTGATGCAATGCTTGGAGGAGGGATTCAATCGATGTCGATTACGGAAGTTTTTGGAGAAGTATGTTGCTTATTTGCTAAGGTTTTTGTATTTTTGTTGTTAATATCTGTAATTATAGTTTCGTTGTGGTAAAACTCAAATTTCACATACAATGTGTGTGACATGTCAGCTTCCAAAAGAAATGGGAGGGGCAGAAGGTAAAGCAGCATATTTGGATACAGAAGGGACCTTTCGTCCGGATAGGATTAAATCAATTGCTGCTCGTTTTGGAGTAGATGCTGAACAAGCAATGAATAATATTCTTGTAGGCAGAGCTTTCAATTCAGAACATCAGATGGATTTAATTAATAAAATGTGTACAATTTTCTCAGAGGATGGTCGATATAGACTATTGGTATTTTTCTTTTGTCTTAGAATTATCAATTAATTATGTCGTATAGATTGTGGATTCTATTATGGCATTGTTTCGTGTTGATTACTCTGGACGAGGAGAGCTCTCTGAAAGACAACAAAAGCTTAATATTATGCTTTCTCGTCTTACTAGAATTGCAGAAGAATACAATATAGCTGTTTTTCTTACAAATCAGGTACTTTTTTTTTCAAATATTTTTTATTTTAAACTTTGATTTAGGTTCAAGCAGATCCCGGTGCAACATTGATGTTTGCTTCAAATGACCGAAAACCTGTAGGAGGACATGTTTTGGCACATGCGTATTTATTTTAATTTTTTATATCTGTATTTTTTAAAATTATAGGTCTGCAACTCGAATATTGCTTAGAAAGGGCAGAGGAGAAGAACGTGTTGCTAAGGTAGAAAAATATTTTATTTTATTTTATTATAATAATTTTATTAGATACAAGATAGTCCTGATATGCGTAAGAATTTTTTTCCTTTTTTCCATCTTTATAACTTTTATATATTAGCTGAAGGAGAATGTGTATATACTATTAAGGCAGGAGGGATTGATGATTCATCATAATTATTTCTATGACAAAATATTTATTATTTTAATAACATGTGTATTCATTATTTAATGGGCAGCTGCATATTATGAATTTTAACGATGTGTTACATATTTTAGCAATAAATAAGGGAATAGTTGAAACATAATAATATTCATGTGAACTTAAATATATGATCTTTTTCTTTGTTTATATAAAAATATTTTAAAATACAAGAAAAATGAATCTTAACTTTTTTTGTAAGTTTTTTAAAAAATTAGTAAAAAAATAGTATCAAAATTAATCTATATAATAAGAAATGCTTTTAATATTTTCCTTTATAAATCAACATCATCTTCATCAGGAAGAGGAAGCGCTTGAGCTTCTAGTAATTCAGTTTGATATTGAGTAATCATTTCTTGAGATATTTGCACCTAAATTTTAATAAATATATAAAATATTATTCATAAAAAATAATACTTCGGGTGGCGCTAATGCTGGTGATGCTACGAATTCTAAGGTTGCATTAATCAGTTTTCTAGCTAACCATAAAAATGGCTTTTCAAAATTGTAATTGGATTTAGCCGAGATATCGTAGTATTGAAGGTTCTTTTTTCTGTGGAATGTAATCGTTTTTGCTATAAAAAACAGAAATTGGAATATGTATATAATAAAAAAAAATATCTAACCCTTGACTTTACGTTCTTTAACATCTACCTTATTTCCACAAAGAACAATAGGGATATTTTCGCAAACCCTAACTAAATCCCTGTGCCAATTGGGAACATTTTTATATGTAATACGACTTGTCACATCGAACATAATAATACCTTTAAAAATTTTATAATTTTTCTTATATATCCATTTATCTACCGCAATTCCCCTGAATATAATATCCGTCCCGGAGACCTCCAAATTTCTCCTGTCCAGCAGTATCCCATGTATTAAAACAAATTTGTCCATAATTCGTATAAAACGTAACTGGATGAACCTCTACTCCCAGCGTCGCTAAAAAAACGTTATTCCCTATATAAAACCCTGCAAATAATCCTTCTAACCAACGTATTTCTTCTCAAACTCTCCCGTTAAGTGTCGCTTCACGAATGTTGTTTTTCCTGTCCGTAAACCCCAAAATTAGTCTTTTTTCATCCGAAAAAAACAGGCATAGACATATCTCCATCTCCTACAAGAACAAGCTTAAACGTAGGAATTGATTCCTGCGATTGACTTGCCATTTCTATTAATTATTATTTTCCTTATTTCTTTCAAGTCGGACAATTTTTTTTTCAAGTCTCGACTTAAAAAATACTTAACCACCAAACATAATAGGGTTTTTATAGGGCCTTGTATAGTATTAGGGGTAGAATAAGGGTTAGGGGTGACGAGTTAGGGTTATATTAGGGTTAGTCTAGGGTTAGCCAGGATGACCCTTGTAATCTTGGGGTTATTTTAGGGTTATTTTAGGGTTACAAGAGGGTTAGGGGTGAAGAGTTGGGGTTATTATAGGGCTAGGGTTATGGTTAACAGGGATGACCCTTGTAATGTTAGGGTTAGCCAGGATCATCCTTGTAATCCTAGGGTTATATTAGGGTTATTAGGGTTACTTTAGGGTTACTTTAGGGTTGGTGTTAGAGGTATGATAAATGTAGGAAGAATATGAGAAAAATGGATTTAAATAGATGTTTCTAAGAATGAATTAAGAGTTTATGTAAATAACATTTTGAAATTTTAATTTTCTAAGAGTTTTTAATAAAAAATATTTTTACAAAAATCTTTGTATGAAATGAAGATAGAAAATGAAAATGAAAATTACAAAGAGGAATTGAAAGAACCGGAGGAAGAAGTAGAATATTTGGATAGAAAGAGAAAATTAAAAGAAATATTGAAAAGATGTAAATATGTTGAAAAGCCGAATAAAAATAAGTCAAGAAATGTAGATAATTCGAATAAATTGATAAAAGAAGAGTTATTATTTGAAAGATTAGTGAAAGAAAAAGAATTTAATCAAAATAATTTATTATCATGTAAAGTAATTAGTAATGAATCGACGAATAGCCATGATAAAAGAAAACGAAGACCTAAACGATCATATGTAGGACCAGAATATTATTCACATCTTCCATCAGGAGTTCCTGATGTTCTTAAAGAAAATCTAATTGTTATGTTTATTGGACTGAACCCAGGAATAGCCACGGTAAAAGCAGGACATGCATTTGCAGGACCAACGAATCTTTTTTGGAAATTATTACATTCTTCCCGAATAGTTTGTACAGAAACTAGACTTCGACCTGAGGATGATGTGAAACTTACAAAATGGGATGTTGGAATCACAAATTTAGTGTCTTTTTTTCTTTAATAATATAAAGTATTTCCTGACTAAGAGATAGATCAAGACCGACTGCAAGTTCTAATGAATTAAGTAAAGAAGAAATGATTGAAAGTGTTCCAATTTTAGAAAAAAAAATTATAACCTTTTATCCATTATCAGTTTGTATTGTTGGAAAAGGAATATATGAAGCCATATATAAATATAAAACAGGAAAGTCTTTAAGTAAACCTTTTAAATGGGGTTGGCAACCGCAAAGAGTTGGTAAATCGGAAAATTATGAAGGAGCGTTAGTATATGTTGTGCCCAGTACATCAGGAAGAGAAGCCAGTTATTCTAGAGAGATGAAAGAACATTATTGGAACATTTTAGGTGAATGGGTTGAGCTGAAACGTAAAGAAAGACAGAACCTCGATAATACACTTAAATAAATTGTCAAAAATGTATCATCAAATGAAAGCCGTAAAATGTTAATAGTAGGTGTTTTCATAACTGAATACGTTTATTCGATTTTTATATCCAATTCTTGAGTCAGTTCAAGTATAATATAACATACAATTGTAAAAAATTGAATTGTATATATCCTCCAAAATCTGATTATAAAAGTAATTTTTTTCTGAAAAAGATAAAGAGACGCATTTCTTTATTTTATTAATTGTAACCGCCTCTTAAAGCAAGTACTTAAAACAATTTTTAAAAAAAAAATAAAAAAAATAATTTACCTACCAAGATGTAGGACACTGCCACCTTCTAAATTATATTCAGATGCTGTTCGTTCATCTGACCTAAATTAATAGTTAATGTATTATATATCAAATTAAAATACAAAAAATTACATTTGTTTTCCACCAAAAATAAGCCGTTGTTGTATTGGTGGAATGCCTTCTTTTTCTTCCATTCTTTCTTTGATACGGAATACCTTAATAATCAATATACCTCATATTAAGAAGAATATTTTTACTTTGTCTGATGGATCAATATCTAATTCAATCTATAATATTTAATTAAAAGAAAAAAATAAGTAATAATAAATACTTCTTTTCCTGTCAATGTCTATAATTATTAATAAGAGTCATTAAAATGTTTAGAAATAGCATTAAAAACCTTAACTTTGATTAACATTTTATCTAATTTTAATACTGTCTTAAAAATTAACTGGTCTATCGAAAATATAATTATTTGAAAAAATATATATAAATTTGAATTGAATATGAATTGATTTGTATTTGAACAACTTGAATTTTCTTCATGAAAATAGGTAGAAGATTTTGTTAAAATGATATATATTTTAATTATTGAGTGAATGTTGAATTTTTATAAATTCATGCCATATCTTTTTAAGAGTAGAATCATGTGTTTTTGATTTATATTTTTGCAAAAATGTCGTCATTAAATCAATTCCTTTTTCTTTATAATGAGGTAGTATTTTTAAAAGAGTTATCCAATCCTTTTCTTCAATATATTTTTGATTTTTTGATGCCAATTCAACTATTTTTTCCCATATTGCATTTATTTTTTCAAGACTATCTCCTTTTTCCCCGCAATTTTTTAATATAACTCTTAATGTAACTTCATTTTCAAGGATATTAGACTGTTTCATTTGTTCTATTGTTTTTTCAACATAATCAAATTTTTTGAGATAAGTGTATCCAGAAATAAGTGTATTAAATGTTGAGATGCTAGGTGATATGTTTGATTCATATATTATTTGCAATAAATTATTTACTTTTTCGATTGTATTTGCTACATTGGTTTGATTTTCCCTATTTGTTGATTTAAATAATGCATTCAAAATAAAATTTAAATGTTCGATATGTATATGAGATGAAACTTCATTATATTTTTTAAATATCTTTAAAATAGTTAATAAATCTCGATTACATATCCATAATTCTTTAAAAAGTTTGCTAAGTGCTTCCGGTGATGGTATATAGTGTGAATTTAAACCATAAAAAACAATATCAACAACAGATTGTGGATCCTTTTTATTTACTGCATTATAAACTAAAGAATCTAAAAAAACGGGTTTGATAGTGTTCCGGAATTCATTTAAACATTCTTGTAATCCTTCAAGTGCTTTTTTTTTGTCTTGATTTTCAATACGTGCTATAATAATTCCTTCGTATAAAATCAATGATTTTCTCATTTTGTTGATATTTATCATATGTATTGCTTCTTCAAACAATTCTTCACATTCTGTTAATGGAGATCCCATAGCAGAATATAATTTAATTGCTGCACCATAAACTCGAGAATCAAAAGATGTTGGTTCGGATACATATTTTGATCTTAAAGATTCCCATATCTTTTTTCCTGTTTCATAAAGCTGCAAAATAGTATAAATGTAAATTGCGTTAACCCAAATCATTGGATGATCAGAAATAAAATTACAACGAACATCATTCAGAATATTTTCTAGATAAAATAAAAGTTTCTTTATATTATCATCATCCACTGATATAGGTGATATTTTTCTTAAATGTCGATACATTAACATAACAAGTTTTGTTATGTCAAATCCTGTAAGGCATCCTGTCTTCTTCAATTCAAAATAGCAACCAAGTGCTGCCATCAAATTTCCACTGGAGACATTATATTGAAATGAAATTTTCTTTTCCTGATCAGACCTTTCTTTTTTTCTCAATATTCGTACATACTTTATCACTAAATGACTCTTTAATTATTGAATCAGGAATTACCAAATTTCTATGCTTTTTTTTGGAAAAAAGAGCTAATGAACCATTGTAAAACCTTATCCTAGATATATTTCTATATTTAGTGCCAAGATTTACTGGGAAACCATGAAAATATGGTAAAAAACATAAAAAAACTGGGGATCTCTGAACCACAATTTGACATCCAGGTTTCATATTTTCCTCATAAAATATATGGTTTTACTCAGAATTTCTCTCTAAATACGTTTATAATCTTCTTTTAGTGGCAAATTGCCTTTATTTACCAAGAAATCAGTAATAACTTGATTTCTTGAAAATCTGGTCGTCTGACGACGAGCAGATGTAACGTCAAAAAAAATATTTACACAGATTTGCTATGGATTTTCAAGATACGTCATATGACGAGCAGGAAGAAGTAGTAGATTTTACATATGTTGCACCGGATGCACCTATTGAAGCAGGAAAACTTAAGGAATGGAGAGATGGCCGGAGAACATTGAAAGTTGTGATTCATCCTTTATTAAATATGGCAATTTCTTGGATTTCAATTGTAGATTTTCATAAAAGGCCTAAGGAGAAACAGGAATATGTTTTTTCTCCAGAAGAATCGGTTTTATATACGGTTCATACGCCGGTTTTTTTTTTGAATTCATGTCAAGTCCGTGTAAGTGGGAAAAAAGGGATATTATAGGTTGGAAAGTCCTTAATATGTTCTTTTAGCTTTCAAATGTTATGAGTAATTATTTTGGAGAGCTTCAAATGCTTTATGAGAATTTAGAATATAAATTTTTTGATCCTAAAGAAATGTTACTGGGATCGAGTCAATCTCTTATTCCATCATTTTTTAATAGAATATGTAAATCATATAGAGTTGCTATGGAGGAAGCTATTAATGAATATAAAAATGTAAACGAGTTGGGTTGGTGTATTTTTTTTTGATTGATATAGGATGATGAGATGGATCAAGATATATTAATGACATTGGTTGATAGTTATACATTATTATATTGTGTTGAAGCGATTTATTTAAATTCCGATGATAGAAATTATTCAGAGTTAATTGTAGAATGGGTGAATCGTTCTGATCCTCAACCATCACAAGAAGATGGATTGGCAATTATGACATCAAGGACACCATGTCTTCATCCAGGATTTTGGTCGTATGTTCATAAGTACGTTTTTCTTTAAATATTCCATAGCCTTATTTGTTAGAGCGGCATTGAGGGGACTTTTTAAACAAGTGATCTCATGTTTACAACAAAGTGGTATTGAAACAGTTGAACCAAAAGCTGCAGAGGTTATTGATATAACAATTGATATATTGGAAACCTTTCAAAGTTATAGGAAGTCTTTAAGAAATGATAATATTTTGAAATGGAGACATTGGAGAGGAAGAGTAATGTATATGTTTATTAAATTTATAAAAAAAGCTATAACAAAATTAGAAGTTGTATTAGAACATTGAAACTAGATAATCTTGAAATTTCATCTGCTTTTAGATGTCTTTTTGAAATTATTTCTGGTGATAGAGATGCTATATTTCGTGAGTCGGATACATGGCAAGAATGTTTGGGTGCTTTGATTTTATTGAACGATCCTTTGAATTGTAAAACAGTGAGAGACATATATAGGGTTTATGATTCTGTTGTAAAAGGCGAAGATTCATTTACAGTTGATGAAACGTTACCTGTCGAAAGTGCATGTGCTGCCTTGTTTTCTGGTAATATCCCAAAAGTAAGTAAATATTTTCTTTTATATATACTTATTTGTATAGGCAATGATTCAAGCAGCTCAAATACAAAGTGGTATTGCTGCACATGTAGCAGATTTATTATTAAAGACTGGGATTTTAGAAGAATTTGAAACAAATGAGTATTATACTTTTTTTTGATAAACTTATTAAGAAAAAATAGATATCCATTGAGTTTACGAGATTATCTTGTATTAAATTATGCGGATCAACTAATAACTAATCCTGATACATGGAAAATCGCTTTAGTTTATTGGAAGACAGTATCTGAAATAGGTATCCAACGAATTAAAACAGTAGATCATTACTTTTTCTTCAATTTTTTAAATTGATTAAATTCAGGTTTTACCTCAAATACCTTTGACATCAGATGAAAGAACTGAGGAAGTATTGGCCTTTTGTGATCAATTTCATCTTCATGAAGAAGCCTGTATGATTGCATCTGTAATAATTGTTATCTAATCCAATTCATATCTCTAATTTTAAATAGATATGGGCAAAAGAACTTGAACGCAAGAAAAAACTGGGTTCTGCTGTATTACTTTATGATCGTGTTAATAATGCTTATCAAATTGATCAGATCAATTGGTTTTTGTTTGAAACTTCTCTAATTCAAGGATATCCAGCTAATGTAGATCAATTAATGGAAACCTTTTTAGAATCACCATATTCATCATCTCGAAGTATTGCTTCACTTTTGGCTCCCTATGCAATTCTAAATACCTTTTATCAATTAAAATTTGAGGGAAAACGTTGTGCTGCTGCACATTATCTTGCAAGTTTAATCAAAGCAGTAGATATTCCAAAAAAATACTTGTTATTATTACTAGCTGAAATGTTATCTTTCTTAGATGGTAGAAATATTTATTTTATTTTTATTTTTATTCATATATATTAGATTCATTACCAAGAGCATTTACTATGAGGGACATTTTTGATTGTACTGCTGCAATTGAGGAATTTCAATCATTAATATTAAAAGAAGACTGTATAAAACTATTTAACAAAGCAAAATCATGTAATTCATATCTACAAAATTCACAATTATCACAAAACTCTGATAATTGGAGACATAAAATAAATCAAAACATAAATGAAAATAATATATTGGCATTGGTAAGATTACAGATAACAAAAACTATTGCCAGAGGGTTTCTAGAGCCTGATCCTTAATAATAATAGATGGTTTTTATATTTCTCAATATCAACATACATATTTTATATTAAATAAATTTATACATATTAATAGGCAAATATATAAAACTATGTGTATTTTAAGAGATAATGACTGGAAATCATAAAGAATAAATAATATATTTCTTCATAACCTGCAATATATGCGTTTGACTATATATAATATAACAAAGATGTCCTTTCTTTTAAATAAGTTTCAGCCAATCAAATTCGATATTTTTAAACTCCGCTATAATCGTCTTAATAGCTGGTTGGCAGTTATAAAAGAAGCCCTGCCACTCATGCACGGACAATATTAATCAAAAAATAATGAGAGTAGTCTTTATAAGGGTTAGTATGAGGGTTTAATGAAAGGGGGATGTTAATGAGGGTCTTGGTGTGGAAATAGTATGAAGCTCTTTATTGAAAGGACAGGTAGATCCTGGCAAGGAAAAGGATTATATGAGGACTAAGATTAGTATGATGAGTACAAGTTGACGGAGAAAAGGCTAGTTTTGGAAGCGATAAGGATACGTTAAGTGCGATTGGGCAGTGAAATCTAATGACTTGTACGTAACAGTGAAAGACATTTGATGTTCATGTAAATTTGGGCTGATGCAAACAGTGAGTGGATTGAGAAGAATTATTTGTTTCCGGGATATTTTGTTGAATTCTAATAAATTTTTGTCTTGATTGTATTTCTGGAGAGTTCTATTTTAAAGACAAAATCGAATTATTCGGTTTTTAACGTATGAAAATTAGAAGCATTGATTTGTGGTTGTATTTTTCCTAGAGAGAAATAGCATGTGTACACCGGATATTAGAGCAGATCAGTCTGCATTGCGTTTTCATTCACGAAAACAATCCTCACCCTTAAGATCAGCACAAACTAAATATACATCAGATATGATGTATGACTATATGGATGATACGGAGCCCGGGGTTGTTTTTAAGTTCCGGTTTTTATGGCCCTTTAATCGAAGAGATGTACGTCAACTATCGTCTTCATCAAGTATTTCTTCCAGTAGTGACCATGATAATGAATCGGTTTTTAAGTCACCATCGTATTCTCATTCTTCCAACTCTTTATCATGTAACGTGAGTTCATTCCCATGTTTACTTGGTCAAATTATCGATCATGAGCGGCAAAAACGATCTAAATTGCCACATGATTTATTCGAGTTTGAGGATGATACTAAGCGGGCATCTGGCGCAATCATATTGGCCAGTAAACGGCTTCAATGTGTCGTAAAAGACAATGAAGGCAAAAGGCCTGGTATTATTTTTTTATCATTTTTATTCACTGTGATTAACTCTTATTTTAGTAAATTCTACAAATAGCGAATCTGGACGTAAGAAATTAAAGTCTCCTTTTATTTATCATGTTTCGTTGGGCGTTTCTTCCGCATATCCAGATACAGATTTGGAATTTTGGAGGAATAATCTGCAAAAACAGATGCGCCTTAGACGTCGTAATGCTTGTCGAGTTTTTAAGAAAACCAATAAACAAACGATAACGGCATCTCCTAAACTTCGTTCTCGATCAGTTACTTCTAAGGCATCTGTTACTAAAGTTACTGATTTTCAACCGTCTCCAATTACACCGTCAAATTCTGTTTCGAATGCGACAGGGCAGGCTTCTGTTCCCGAACGGCGTTGTATATCATGTGGATGTTCTAGCACACCATGTTGGAGACCAAGCTGGTACGGAAATACGGGATTGCTATGTAATAGCTGTGGTTTAAGGTGGGTTATTCTTTTTTTTTTTTTTTCGTTTAAAGAATTTTATTAATTCATTATAGGTACAAGAAAATAGGTGTACGCTGTTTGAACAAAAATTGTCGGCACATTCCTTTACGTTCAGAATTTAGGGAAATGAAAAGCAGAGTGAGTGGCGATTCCACGATTGATTGCATTAAATGTGGAGGTGAAGTAAAAATCAGAGGCTAGGACTTTGATAGGTCGTTCTGGAACGTTATCGTAAGTCCTTAGCTTTCTTAATCTTGCTTCTGTAAAAAAAAAACATGTATTTGATTGAGTAATTTAATAGAATTGGTTCATTTTGTTTAATATTATTTGTATTTTCATCATAAATGATATTAAAAGATAAAAACTTGGGTAGCTTAAAATAGCCTTGAGAAACTTAGGCTTTAGTTATCCAATAAAATAGCTTTAGTTAGCGATAGTTATTAAAAATTAGAGGGTTTCCTGATTTTCTTCTAAAAAAGCCTTTATTTTAGAAATTACTAATAAAAGTATAGAAGAATTTAGGGTAGAAATGTCTAATATGTTATTGTTAACGTTAGTTTATTAAATAGCATGGATAATCGTGTTAATGTAAGACATTTTTTCTATAAATAAATCAAGCTGTTGAATAAAAAATAAGATTAATGAGATAATAAATAAGCGGATATTTCATGTTATTAGAAATGTATAAGTTTAGGGAGAAATATATGTATAATGTAAAAAGGACATATTTGTATGTTTATTTTAGATAATTCTAGGAAAATATATTGTCTATATTTTAAGTGTAGAATGGTTAAAACAACAACAACATCATCATCATCATCATCATCATCATCAGTAGCAGCTGCTGCTGCTGCATCTTGTGACAATTGTAAAAAATGCTCAGAAATAAAGAGTATTAAAAACAAAATGTTAATTATGAGATTGGGAAATCTTTGTTTACTTGATATTTCAAAGGTATTAAAGGGTATTTTTGAAAGGAATAATTGTAGGGAAGGTAATGGTTTTAGAGCCGTCTATAATTGTGTTAAAAGAAGGAAAATATCAATGGTTTTTAGATAATTCTTTATATTCGAAAAATAGAGTTTATTGGTGCAAAATGAAGGAATTGACACCGGTTTTATTGAATAAACGAAGTAATTATATTTATGATATTTCTCAGAATATTGTATGTCCGGAACATAAAAGACTTCGTCTAGATCCAGATGTTTTTTCTTGTGAATTTTCTCAAATCTCTAATCTCTATATATTGAAGGAATATGAAAATTCTCATTCATGGTTATTAACTGAGTCATCTTTACCATACAGATTAAATAAAAGGAATTGTGTGATGGATTCGAAGTTTATTCCAATATTATTGAAGGATTCATTGGAAATGGGACATTATGATTCTGTTTCTTTGAAAATTCCTATATTTTTTTGTGCGTATGATTATTCTATGTTTAATTCATATATTAGTCCTCCTGTTACTCAAACTATTCTGCTAAAACTTGAATTTCATGAGATTTTTAGAAATGTTCAGCTTCGTCATGATATTGTTCATGAGCCAGATCTTCAATTTCGGCCTAATCTTGATGGTGAAGATGGTAAAAGAAAACGTTTTCTTGCAGGTAGATATTGGGAAAGTTTGCGCAAAGAAATTGAACAGGTGCGTTTATTTCAGATGAAACAGATGAATGGTTTAAATATTGGTCATAAATATCCTTCTATTACTAGGATTTTTGTTTTATTTGTTGAATTGGAAGATATTTTACTTAATCTTTTACCATCTTCTAGTAGAGATTATATTATTGAGATCTTGGATCCAGATCTTATAGTTCAGGAACTTGTTCATAATTTATTTGATGTTGAAAAATTTATTGAACATCTTGCTTATATTTTGAAGCAGCATTGTGCTCCTGTAAGGGATGTATTGCTAGATAAAATGGTTCAAAAAGTTAAATTAGGATTTAAAATTAATGATCTTTTAAAGTTTGTTGATGGACTTAGAATGGGCTTTGATATTCTTGAAATGATGAAACTTGTATGTATTATATCTAGGATTTCAAGTCAAATCTTAAGTTTCTAATAGGATGTTGCTAATCATCAACTTCGAACATTAAGATATTATTTTTTGGAAACAGCTGTGGAATTTGAACAAAAATGGTTTATTGATAGAATTAATTGGGGTAGTATTGATATTGATGACGCTTTGTCTTGGTATTGTCATTTTCATGATTCTCTTATAACATCCAACTTAAAGGATTTTGATTACCGAAAAGCATTTGTTAATGGTATTATTGCTATGCTTTTTATATTTAGTCTTATTATTTAGGTATTATGGCATCTATTGCATATATTTCGTTGTTTGATTTCCCTTCGACATTTGTATTTGATAGGCATCGTCTTATGTCACTTCGTTATCATATTCGTGATATTGTTTCTTTTCAATTAATTATTCTTCTTTTTTGGCAGTTTTTTAAGAAGCAAGCTCTTCAAGTTTCAAAATATGATATATTAGAGTTTAAACAAGAACTTTGGCTTATTATAGATAGTGAATATGGAGAAAATAAATGGGTTAACAATATTTCATCTATTACAAATCAAATTGCTAAATATGTTAATAAAGCAAAACTAATCTATTCAAACAATATTCTAAATTTAAAGGAATTTGGAATTATAGAAAATTGGTTATATAAACATCTTTTTCCTATGTCTTCGTTGTACCGTCTAGTTGAAAGTCGTATTCTTAAATCAATTGGTAATAAAATGTTTAATTCATTATGTTTTTCAGGTCCAAACATATTAGCGTCTAATGTTCAACGAGAATTATATAATATGCATGCTGACATGGTTATTGAAAAATTAACTAAAATTGTTATGTTTCATTGGAAAGTATTTGGAAGATGGTATATTGAATATGCAAAAGATAAATCTGTATCTATATAATACAAGCTAGCTTTGAAGCTTTTATTAAAACTGGAATGACTTAAAAAAATAGAAATCTAATCTTAATAATTAATTATATTAATATTATAGAAAACATTAAATCTTGAATTTGCTTTAAATAATTATGTGATATAAATATTATTTAATAGATAATACTTTTATATAAAAATTTATTTCTAATATTTTCTTAATGTTTAATATGATTTGTATATTAAGATACGTGAAAATTTAATTATATAATCTAAGTTTTTAAAATTGTTTTAATATTTTAAAATCTTGAAATTTAAATTATTTAGTTTAATTAATATTTAGAAGATGTAATTATAGATTAACTATTTTGTAATTCTAAATATATTTTAGATATACGGTATTTATTTATTTCCAACAAAATATAACATTTATTTAACATACATAAATCTAATTTATATCGTTAAAAAAATTATATTTTTATTAGATTTACTGTTCTAGGATGTTTTATGAAATAAATGACTGTAGCCAATATTTGTCGTAAAAAGATCTATATGCGCAATTATAAATATCAACGAATTTATCATGATTGAAAAATAACTCTCTTATTGAACTTTTCAAAAAAATGATAATTAAAATATAATTATTAAAGCTTGTGTTTAAATCGAATCGTAATTGTTGAGGAAATGTCTCGTAAATGAGATAATCAACTAGATTATTGAATGCAAAATTATAATAGTGCAAAGTATTTGAAATGTGATAAAAAAGTATGTATCTTTAAGGATTTAGAAACTATTAAATCAGGTTGAATGAAATTACCTCCAACAAATATAAACCCGTTCTTTTTACTACTAGAAGAACCACTTTTTCCACCACCAGGACCACCTTTAGAACCGGAACCTGTGGAACTTTTACATATTGGATTGGCGCCTTGAATAATAGCTAAGAAATATAAAAGTTAATATTGATTAAAATAAATTCATAAAACAAATGAGCAATATACCGCGAGATTTAGTAAATGCTGGACATGTAATATGAGTGCTTGATATAATTTTTACTGTGCCTTTTATATCAGTGATACTGGATAAAGAAACACTTTTTAAAAATCCTGTCCAATGAATTGAACCGCCAATATATTGAACTTTATCGAATCCTGAGATAGCATATAAACTTGGGTTATCAGAAACTAGAAAAGTCCCTCCGATCTAAAAAAAATTAGATTAAATCGCAATATCTTGGAATAATATGTACTGAAACTAGACTTGGAAATTCAAGAGTAGTTAATACGCTGTTATTATAAATAGATAACGATCCATGAATATTAAATAATGATTCTAGTGTAATAGTGGTTAATGTGCTTAGAGATATTCCTAAATCTCCTGAGATATTTTTTAATTGTTCTAGTTTTATTGAAGAAACACTTTGTAAAAATACACCACCACTACTTTCTAAAGAAGGCAAAGAAATAGAAATTCCATTATTATTTTGGACTAAACCATTCTGCATAAAGGAAAACTTATCTCTGATTGAAACTAGATCCGGCATGTCAAAAACGTTAAGATAATTATTATTATCTATATATAGTAAATGAAATAAAAAAAAAATATCTTAGTCTTTACTAATATTTAAAGAAACAAGAGATTTCATTGAAAATCCTGATATAGTGCGTAATGATGTATCTGAAATTGTAACATGATTAAGATGACGTATACCTGTATTTAAATCGAGAGTTTGGAGTTGTGCGCATTGAAATAGAGTTATAGAATCCGCCGAAATAAGCATCGGTAATTCTATCTTCTCAAGTGCTGTTAATTTTTTAAACATTATTTTTCCTTTCACATCTGCAAGACTTGAGGCCTAATAATAAATTATTGTTATAATATTCTTAAAATATTACTTTAAATAATAAAATATCATCATTTTCATAGATAAGGAGATCTCCTAATATATGTTCAAGACCTCCAAGATCAATTAGAGCAATAGAACTTGTAATATGAATGCTCCCTTCATATACTGTGCATTTAGATATAACGTCAAGATCTGTCTGTGAATTCACTTCAATATCCTCGTCGCATTTTTGTGCTATATTATTATTAGTCTCTTTCTCAAATTCCTTATATAATCCATATATCTACATAAAACTCCGCATATATGCGCATTTTAAACACATATTAACTCTAATAATCTCTCTAAATCGCAAAAAATACACTAACTTACCAAAAATAAAAGAAATTATGCAGCCCCATAAAACTAACAATTTCATAAACATAATGCATATATACCCTGAAAAATCACTCCTGGTGAATTCTTACTAGATATTTCTATTTATTTCTAAAAATTCTTTAATATTCCAAGATTTCCAAAAGAAAATCCGTTTTTTTATCAATTTTATCCTGTTCCTTAGACAATTGTATTTTTTACAACAATTGGAGGCGATCCATTCATTTTATACTTTCTCGTATTATATGCGCATATACTTCGAACAAGATTAAAACATGAATTGACCAATAAGAATGTAGTATTTTAGATAAGATAAAGAGCGATAAGGGTATGAAATAATTTGATAAGTGAAAACCAGGAAATATTATACATGAATTTTAGGTAAAATTGAGTATTTGATTAATTTATAATATATTCTTATATATATTGTTAATATAATTTTATTTTTTATGAATTTGAAAATTGTTAATGTATTATTTTGATTAAATTGAATATTTTAAATATTTAAATATGATGAAGATTAAAGAATAGAAATAATGAGATGTTTTGATTGAAATATATATGAAGAATTGTTGAAATTTAAAAAATATATATCTATATTTTTTTTGAATGAAAAATTAAAAAATGTATAAAATATGTATAAAATAGTCTTTAAATATATAAAAAAGATGTTTTATAAGTAAATAATAATGAATAAATAGTTAATTTCATGATTTAAAAGTAATATATATAATCACGTGACTCTATCATTAAACGACGATCTTATAATATTAAATTTTGTGATAAAAAATACTTGAATTATTAATAAGATGAAGATATTATGTTTCATATCTTTAATATAAACATGATCCCTTAATTTTTATGTATTTAAAGATATAATTTAATGATTATAATAAGTTATTAAAAATGAAGAGAAAAATAGATGATAAATTATTAAAAGTTGAAAAAAAACAGAAAAAGTTAGATATTATAGAATGGGAAATCTCAGATTGTGGTATGATTTTAAAACCTATATTTTCAGAAGAATATTCGACATTATTATCGAAAGCTCTTGAACATCTTATAAAAGCTAATTCTCGGTTTCAAATTTTATCAGAATCTTTTTCATGTTCACCATTTTCACCAGAAGGCCTTATGGAAAACGTAAATCCCTTTCAATCTCTTTGTAGAATTATTTTAAGTCAACAATTGAGTAAACATTCATCAGAATCTATATATCGAAAGTTTATAAGATTATTTTTTCCAGATTATTTAGATATATCTCAAGATGATAAACTATCTTCGACTCAATTACCTATTTCTAAAGCTTTTCCAACACCTCAAGAAGTATATGATATATCATCTGATGATTTACGTTTAATTGGATGTTCTTCAAGAAAAATAGAATATTTAAAATTATTAGCAAATAACTTTCTTTCTGGAAAAATTTCTCTTGATTTTCTTATAAACTCTTCAGATGATGATATAATTAAACGTTTAACTGCCATTAAAGGCATTGGATTATGGTCAACTGAAATGTTTCTTTTATTTTCTTTAAAAAGAACTGATATTCTAAGTACTGGTGATTTAGGCATTCAAAGAGGTATGGCTTTAATGAAAGGTAAAAATATATCCAAGCCAAATAAAGGCAAATGGAAATATATGAATCATGATGAAATGATACAAATGGCTGAGCCTTGGAGACCATATCGATCAATTGCTTCCTGGTTTATTTGGGTAAGTACTCTTTTTATTAAAGTAAATTAACAATATAGCGCATAACAAATAAAACTTTTGCACATGAAAATCATACTTCCCTCAAATAATATTGATTTTTCTTAAAGGCTTTTCTTATGATCTATATATCTATATCTATATATATATATTCACCATAAGAATATATTAAAAAAAAAAAAAAACAGAAAGTGTCAACAAATTCGCTTCCAAACGTTATTAAAACATTTCTATAGTCGACTCATTCCTTAGGACTTTTCTCCAACATCAGGGTATCTAGTTCATTTCGTTCATTCATTTCTGTTACTACCTCTTTCAAAATCTCACTAATATATCTTGTATCCTGAAAATACTGTCAATAATATAATCTTTGAAGGTATAATAACTACTTCTTCTGCTTTAACCCACTGGTTTTTAGGTAAAAGTGTATGTGTTAATGAACATTGCATAGCAGTACGTAACCGATACACACGATCATAGGCTTCTGACTTTGGTAGCCGCTTTAAAGCGGTCTCCATAGCATCATTTTCTTCTGGTAAAAGATCTTCATATCTAAAGATATCTATTAGATTGTTTTTATGTCAGAAAAGGCTTTAACCGTAGTCCAAGTTTTCTATAACCAGCAAGTTTCATATAAAGCTCAGCAATAGGCTTTAAGAAAGCTGTTAAGGACCTGTATTTTGATAAAGGCTGGATAAATGTTGGTGGAAATATCATGATATTTTAGAGAAAAAAAAGATTTTTAGTAATATCGGTTTTATGAAGTTAGAAAGAGATTTCGCCGATCAAGTGAGGGTAAAAAAACAAGTATATCAGTGGAAAAATAAAGAGATTCGGTCAAATAAATGTGTTCATTTGATTGCTTATGAATAGGAGAATGAAATCCAAAAAAATTGGAGAAAAAAAGGCCTTTTTTTGAGGAAAAAACGTTTAAATATAGAAATGGAATATTATTGGTTAGGAAGGGGAGAAATTGACTATTATATAAGGAGAACATCAGACGAAACATTAAACGCAGTGTCAGGAGCAGTTTCAGGGATTTTTTCTAGTGTTATTGTTTGTCCATTGGGTAAAAAAAAAAACAAAAATAATATTTGGAGAAATAAATGATTTTTTTTTTTAAAAATAGATGTTATTAAGACAAGACTTCAATTAAGATCAAGTAATTATGTTTTTGGAGAGAGAATGAAGATATATAAAGGATTTTATAGTAATTTTATGTATTTTTTTAAAAATAATGATAACTAACTATATATGTTTAGATACACTTTTAAGAATCTGGTATGAAGAAGGGATTCGAGGGTTTTATAGAGGTCTTGGACCTCTTATGGCAGGATATTTTCCAACATGGGGTATTTATTTTACAATATATGAACGTTGTAAAGATATATATGGACGTTCTTATAATTCAGAATGTAATTGTTTTGTTTTGTTTTTATTTTAAATAATAAGAATTATAGCTATAAAGAAGGGTTCTTTGATTGTAAATACCAAATCGGCTATTACAGCAGGTTCTGTTTCATGTATTTTAACAAATCCTATTTGGATCGTTAAAACAAGATTAATGAGTCAGAATTCATATTCGTATATATATTACCGAAATACATTTGATGCTTTTAGGAAAATGTATACAAATGAGGGTATTTTTTCATTTTATAAAGGGTTAGTACCTTCATTAATTGGTGTAACGCATGTTGCTATTCAATTTCCATTATATGAGTTTCTTAAAGATGTATTTTCTATTGATAATGTGGAATTTGAAAACCCGTTATGGTTTAGAGTTGTTTTGGCTTCAATTGTTTCTAAAATAGTTGCTGGTTCTATTACATATCCTCATGAGGTAATATAATATTAATATTAATATGTTTTTAATTTAATTAAGGTTATTCGTACACGTATTCAAACTCAGATTTATCATAAAGATCCTTCAAAGGTTCAATATCGGGGAGTGTTTCATACCTTTTATCGAATATATTATGAAGAGGGTTGGAAAAGTGTACATTTTTTATTTTTATAAATCAAGTTAAAATGTCTTAGTTTTATTCTGGCATGGGCACTAATTTTATTCGAACTGTACCTGTATCTATGGTTATGCTTTTGACATTTGAAATACTAAATAAGTGGTTATTTCAAATTAAACGCCGTCATCATGAATGCATTAATTAGTATTTGTTTTGTATTATAAAATTGGTTTTTTATGAAACATTTGATTGTATTTATGAGACGTTTTAAATAAAAATTTCTAAAAATATAAAAACTATATATGTTGATTCTAAAATATAATTTATACTTTATTATTATACCGCATTAAGGATCTAAGATTATATACACTTATTTCTGATAAAAGGTTCTTCATTTAGGAATTATCATAATAATATTTCTACCTAGGCATATTTCTTTCCGAGTCAATTACTTTTGTTTCCTGTTCTCCGTCACTAGCATTACACTTCTCTATAAGACAATTATCATCCATTATATAATATGTATTACAGTTTTCGAATTTCGAAAAGTTAGGAAAAGTTTGTGTACTTAAATTTGAATATGCTCTTGATCGAGTCATTTTGGGAAATTTCATATTAGTTTCTGAATAAGGAGTTATTGATGGTTCCGAGGAAGATAAATTTGCATCATTATATTGTTCATAGATTAATTTTTTCATATGAGCTGATGTAGGAATTGATTTGGCCTTTGTAATACATACACTTGGCCTTATATTTGGATTATTAAAGTTTTGATTAGACAATCCCTTTTGTACATCTTTATAACATTTAGATTGTATTTGAGATGAATTCATATTTCGATTATGTTTTTTTAATCCTGTAATAATCGCTAATCGAGAAAATTTAGATGTAAGTTTTGTTAATTTGCGTTTAAGTTTGTCTACAATAGAAACAGCGCCATCCACTTCTTGTTGAGTGACCTCCAATAATTGATAATTCCTGGGATCTGTTTCTTTTATCCAGTTCTCAGGATCTGATATATCTTCTAGAAGCCAAGGATGCCGTTTTATTTCTTCTAAAGTTATTCGAGTGTTTGGATCTTTTTCTAATAATCTTTTTAACAGATTTTTTGCCTTATCACCTATAGGCGGTGTAGATGGGATTTCAAGAGGTTTTGTCGGAATAACATTCATCAATTCATATTCTCCATCAGCTGTAAAAGGGCAACTTCCAAATAAAAGACAATAAAGTGTGATTCCTAGGGCCCAAATATCAATTGCTTTAGTAATAGTAGAACGTTTAGACGGATCTATTGTCATTAATATGTTTGTTTTAGTAGAAAATATTTATTACCGCAATAGCATAATTCCGGCGCAAAAAACGCAGGAGTACCTGCAGTTTTTGCAAGTTCCAGCTCATTTTCTTCTGCAGACAAACCACAACATGTATTAGAATATGAAACCCCGAAATCGGAGATTTTTACAATATGGTTTTTAGTCCATAAAAGATTAGCCGGTTTAATATCTCTATGAATAATTCCCTGATAATGTACTACAAACAATTATTTTTTTTATTCTAAAAAAATAATAAACTAACAATATTCCAGACCAAGTACAACATCTCTAAATGTAGATCGAGCTTGCCATATAGTAAGAGCCGGTTTATCATCAGATGTTCTCCAAATTACTTCTCCTCCATCCATATACTCTAAAACCAGATATATTTTCCTACTCATAGGATCATCCATAACTTCAAGTAGTCTTACAACATGAGGATGAATACATTTCTTCAAAATTGCTATTTCCCTACGAATCTTTTGCTCTTGTGATGATGTTTCATTCCTTCCGAGGCGTTTTCTACTATTTCTTTCAATAATTTTTAAAGCAACATATTCATTTGATGAAAGATCTAGTGCAAGCTTTACTTTTCCATGAACTCCTCGTCCAATTTCCCGAATAATTTCATATTTATTAATTACTTTTCTTCCACTAGCTAAATTCGTTGTTTTAAGAATATGATTCGTTTCTTTAACATCTTGCCAGTTCTACCCACATATTAAAATGCTTATCTTTAAATATTCCCCTTTAATTAGACCTGTGTTTCTCTCCATTTGCTATAATTAAACACTTTTGAAGAATATTGTTTTTTTGTACAACTACCTAAAGATTCTGAAGAAAAAGATGACGATGCTTTCTTCGACTTCTTATCACATCCTCCTGTAACTTCTTGTGTGTTTTTATGGAATATTGAAGGAATAATAGATGAAAAACTTCTTTCTTTATGATGATATGAAATCACACTATGTTCACTCATTTAAAATACTAAAAAAACAGAGTCAACTGATTCCTATATTTCCTATTGTTCTTAATCAGCTAAGAATCATTTATAATTTGATTTTATTTGCTTTTTATCACTTTTTCTTCTTGTCAGTAGTTTGATTTTTTACCGTCGTCAATTTTTTATAAAAAACCTTAAAAGTTAATAAAGATAGTACTTTTTGAAAAAAATATTCCTAATATTATGCCAATATTTATAGTTTCTTGTATATGTTTTTAATAAAGAAGTCTATGATTTATTTATTTAGAATATTTATATATGAATATTTCAAATACGTTTACCTGTAAATCAAAAGTTTTTTAAATAAAAGAAGAGTGATTAATAGTTAAATGTATCCTGATCAGTGGGTATATTTTATGTGTTAAAAAAGTTAATTTTTGAAAATTAAAAATTGTTATGTTGATGATTGGATTTTATCCAATGTTAATAAATATAATTTTGAAATAAATATATTTTAAATCCTATAATAGATTAAATCAAAAAAAAAAAACTATGTTGTAAAAAGTTAAACCTTTTTTATATTATGTTTTGTCATAAATAATTAATATATATGTTTAATTATTGTTATTAATATGATGAAAGTCGATATTTTTCATGTTAGTATTAAATAATTATAGTCAAGTTGTAGATTAAATATCCAAGTATTTAGTAGATCAATATAGTGAAATATCTTAAGGAAATGATATTTTTGTTTTTATGGGAGGTAGAAGACTTTGAGCAGCTTGTCGAGATAATTGAATCATAAGTGCACTTTTGATGTTTAGCTTATATAGGGTTAATGTATTTTTTTACTCCATAATTACCAAAGCAGTCATACACTCGACAATGGGAACAGCACGAGATGTAACATTTGGATCATGACGTCCTATAGATATTTAAATAAATGAAATAAAATTAGTATTATACCTTTAATGAAAAGTATACCATTTGTTCCATCGTAAGAAGAAGTAAATTGTTCTTTTCCGATGCTTGCAGGAGATTTAAAGGCAACTTTAAAAAAGACGTTTTCTCCATTTGAAATTCCACCCTGAATCCCTCCTGAATTATTTGTTATTGTTCTTAATTTATTGTTTGTATCCATAATATATTGATCGTTATGTTTAGAGCCAGGGACTTGTGTTCCTTTAAATCCTGATCCCACTTCAAATCCTTTAGTAGATGGAATTGAAAGCATCGCATGTGCCAATTTAGCTTCTAATTTATCGAAACAAGGCTCTCCCAATCCTGCTGGTAAATTTCGAATAACACATGTAATTGTTCCACCGATAGAATCTTGATTTTCCCTTGCACGCTCAATACGTGCTATCATTGCTGCACTCGTTGCCATATCTGGGCATCGAACTAGCGATGCATCCACTTGTTCTCTTGTAACTGTGGATAAAAATGATAAATATGCTTGTGAAATAGGTGACTCTATGTCATCTTCATCATTCTCTTCATTCATGTCCCATTTCATCTGAATTTTCCCTATAGATGATACAAATGCCACAATTTCAATTTTATATGTTTCAAATAGATATTTTTCTGCAATTGCACCTGCTGCTACTCTACCTAAAAACCTTCGTATTAATGATTTAATATTATTCTGCCTATCAATCCACCTATTGTTTCTCGTGCACTGCTCCTGCCTCCTCCACTACTTGATTTTATACCATATTTTTGTAAATATGTTAGATCTGCATGGCTAGGTCGAGGAAATCTTTTCATTTCTTCATAATCACTAGGTTTATAATCTTCATTATAAACCAACATCCCAATTGGTGTTCCTAATGTAATTCCATCTTCAATTCCCGATTGAAGATACACTAAGTCCCGTTCATTACGCTTTTAAAAATGCAAATCAGATTCCTTCTTAATATTCATACCGTTCATTGTAATACCTGTGTCGTAAGGCTATTCTGACCCGGACGCCGACGCCGTAACTGAATCTGAATATCTTCTTTACTTAAAAAAAAACCTGGTGGAACTCCATCTACAATACATCCTACTGATTGACCATGAGATTCTCCATATCTATAAAAAAGTCAATATTATATTAAAAAAAAAAGGATAAAACAAGACGTTGTAACACGAAATAGCGTCCCAAACGTAGACATCCGATTATACTGATATATCTTAGTCTGGTATCGAGATATACTCAATATCTCTTAAAATATACCGATTTATATTTATTTATAAAACGTTCACTCTGATAACACCCAATTAAAATATATTTCTATAAAACTATTAAAATAACAAATACACCTGATTTATATGATTTACGTATGATTTATAAGATACATATTTCTTAAATAATTTGCAAAAAAATAAAATTCAGTATAAATAGAGGAAATCTTGTGATATCTTGCTTTTATATAAATTTATCCTAAAATATCTAAGATAAATACAAAATCTTAAGGTTTTTATAAGGAAAAGACTTAATCATACGAAACGAGTGGTATAAACCCTAACCCTGAATGGAAGAATAGGGTTAGGGCATAAGTACAGGGTTAGGGTTATGCATGAGTTATACAGAGAGTTGAGTTGGAGTTGGAGAGTTATATGTAGGTTTAGGGTTAGTTATTAGTGTTAGTTATTAGTGTTAGTTATTAGTGTTATTTGTTAGGGTTACTCATTAGGGTTACTTATTAGGGTTAATTATTAGGGATAATTATTAGGGATAACGGTCAGTGGTAGGGTTAGGGTTAGGGTTGGTTCTGATTGCGGATTGATCGGAGCAGATGAAGTCTTTCCTTGGATTGTCCTTGTCGTGTATAACCCTAACCCTTAACAACACGCCTTAACCCTATACCTTAACCCTATATCTTAACCCTCATTTATTAAGGGCCAAAATCACTATTAGTGTCAGGGTTTAGTATCTGTCTAGAGTTTAGTTTTGTCTAAAAGACGCTGTTTGAATATTAGAAAATAATTGGGTTTACTAAATATCCGTTATCAATCAATTTATTATTCCGGAATATCCAATCTTTGTTATAAAAAATAATGTAAACAAAATTTAAGAATTATTCATATATTTTTAAATATGAATTAATATATTATAATTTCTTTTAATATAATTTATTATGTTTTTTAAATACATATTAAATATAAAATTTTAAGATTTTATATAAATAATATAAATTCTATGTTTTTTTGTATTGCCATATAAGGAAAAAATATAGCTTTTATCTAGAGGCGGAACATTGTTCTTTCTAATTTTTTGAACTGATTGGGCACTGAAAAAGTGGCGGGTTTAAAAAATAGGTTAGCCCTCTCCTTAATATTTATTAAATACGTTTAAGTATAAATTAAAAATAAACATGATAAGGTAAGAGTATTAAAAAAAATAGGAGAATCAAAAAAATAGATAAAACTTTAATACTAATTTTTTCATTAATTAAAAGAAAAGTAAGGCATTATCTAATCCTATTCTGTTTTTTAGTCTCTTCATTCTTTTTCTCGATATTAAAAAATATTCTTCATATTAAATATATAATCTTAAAAAAAATAAATTATGTAATATATATCTTTATTTAATTAATATAAACAGCCATTCTTTAATCCCTAATCATTCTTTTTATCTTTTTACATACTTTTTCTACATTTATATATTACGATGACTTATGTTTATCGATTTATTAATAATACATGTTTGTATTAGATTTTGCTTTAAAAAAATAATTAAAATTATATATAAAAGTACTAAATTCTTAAAAAAGTTTAGTAATAAACCCCAATTACTATAAAAAAATAAGAATATAATATAAAAAATATTTTTCTTCTAATACTTTTTTAGCAGATATACGGGACACCTCCCGTTAAAAAAAGATCTTCAAGTGGAGAGAAAAGCTTAAAGAAAAAAAAGCGAGATCGCTTTCTTATGATAAGTCAGTCGAGCTCTAATTATTTATTTAATAAGAAGAGCCTTTCAGGTTCTTCTGAAGGTATATAATAATTATTAATATAAATAATATTAATATAAGATGGTAAAAGAATTCAGGGTATTCTCGTTTTTGATAAGATTGAGAAAAGAATAAATTTATAATATTTAAGAATAAGGAGTTTTCTGAATAAATATTGTTTAATTAAATAATTGTTATATTTTTCCGGGATTTTTTGTGTAATATTTTTTATATTTTACATTTGGTCTATATATATATACTTGAAAATGTATACACCTAATTGCAAAAATATGAAGGGATATGTACATGGATTTTGTGATATGTATGGAAATGTATCGGAATCGGGGCCAGTTTTACTGGATTATGACAAAGATTATATTCCACGTGATATTTCTAGTATAACGCGAGTAGCACTGCCATCACCACCTAGAGATGATCGATCTAATTATAAGATGCAAACATGTCGTCAGGATTCTATGCAGACACCAGAAAATGTATTTACAGGACGTACAACAGATCCGTTATCTGCAACATCGAAAAATAAAAGTATTAAACATACACCAACCTTATGTTCAGATGCATCCAATATATATTGTTCTCATATGAAGCCTAGTTCAATAGATTCGTATCCTATGCTTTATGGGAATCAAGATATATATTCATATTCGAAATCGATTACATCTCAATCAGAAACAAATTCATCTTTGCCTATATCGGATACATTTGATTATTTACATTGCTTGCCTACACCTACGACATTAGGATCTACGTCATGGGCATATCCAGAATATGCGTATGATAAATCTCCTGTTTGTTCGGAATTTCCTATGCAGCATATGATGTTTCCGGAATATCCTGGCTTAATTTCTAATTATAATGATCCCAATATGATAGATTGTTCTACATTTACTGATAAGGATTATGAATATACGACGTATAAAATGCCGATGCCAAATATTTTTACATCCGATTTGATGAAAGTTTATAATGACAGCCCTTTGACTCCATCTAATGTTCATAATATGACAAGTCAATCTTGTGGCAATGCGTCTTCGTCATTTCATATGCAACCAGAGATGTTTGGTTCAACACAGTATAACTCATCCTTAAATAGTCCAATGGAGTTACCACATTTAACAAATATTCAATATGATCATTCTTTACGTCCTCAATATAAAAAACATAATACAGATCTTTGTTTCAATCGAGTTGTTGATAAGGGAAGTTACACTTCTGATAGACAGCCTCCTGATCTTAATGATCAACGTAATAAATGTTTTAAAGTGGATGCTAATAATGTTTTGTTGCATTCGATTAAGAAAACGAATGATTCATTAGCTGTAAGACGAGGCAAGCCTATTAGCTCGTTGATTAAGTCCTATATTCCTTTATCTGAATCGATATTGCAGTATGTTACTTTTATATATTATGAGGTTATATTATGATCTTAATATTGAATCTAGATGTATTGTTAATGATTATATTTCTCTTGGTCCTTCAGGCTATCAAAAACATAGATATTCGATTGTAATATATACAAGTAAAGTAGCACAGAAAAGTTATGGTACTGAGAAAAGGTAACTTTAAATTTTATGGCTTTTTTTTCCTAATATTTTTCTTAAAGATATCTTTGTCCTCCTCCATGCCTTCGTCTTCTTGGTTCCAAATGGTTTGAAGGTTGCTTAACCGATATCCCTTTAAATTCTTATCCGGGAACTACTCAAAAAGAAAATACCTATGGGACGAATATATTTGGAATGTATTCGTTTATGGACATTTATGCAACTTCATTATTGTTAGATGTAGAAGAAAGTTTTAATATTTCATCCATGGATTGTTATTGTAGTGATGGTACTATTTTTAAGCCGGGTCCTAGTAAAACAACTCCTGTTTGGGGAAAAATTAACCTTAGATCTATGTATATTCCTGATAGGAAGGAAAAAATACGTTCTACATGCCTAAAAGTACAATTACATAAAAAGAATAAGGAATTTAATTTTGTTCAATTTCAATCTTCCCCAATATGTATAATATCAAAGGCTTCTCAAAAAAAGACTAGTAGCAAGAATAATGATAGTATGAAATTTATATTTTTTTTCTTGTATTGATGATTTTATAGTGTTGATTTATCATGGAAGCATGATTGCTTTGTTTAATCGATCTAAGGCTCAAACGAATCGTATTCGATTTCTTGGAACATCTTGCTCAAATTCTTCTGTAACTAATAGTGTTTTATCAGGGTTGGGGAATCCTCAATTGGAAATGGGTTCTGAGAATATCATTCTAACTGCAACTTCCCAAGCTTGGGAACCTTTTCTGATTTGGTCTCTGGATTTGTTTCTTAATCCAGATGTTTGTGAAACTATAGATCAAAGTATGACTTTGATTCGCTTTAATCAAGTTGTTATTTTGCAATGTTCAACGACAGGATTGATAACTGTTCCTTTAATTATTCGTCGAGTTGATGGCCGAAATACAGTTATTAAAGGGCAAGAAAACTCAAAAAATGATCATAAAAATATTTATGACCTTGATGAACCTGTTAATTCTCTACAAAAAGTAGCGTTTCAAGTCTATATTGAAAACTCCAATTTACCAGATATATATCTTACATACCAAGATGAGAATATTATTATGCAGACTGCACGATATGTAGACAAAGAAGCAGATGTAAAGCTTTCTGATTATGATAAAGTATCTAACAAGGATTCTTTATGAAATATATCTAATATTAATTAGACGTCTGATACTTTTCTTTCTTCAAGAGATTTATTAGATAATTTATATAATAAATTATTTTCATATCACGATTTTATACAAAAGTACGGTTGTCATCAAACTAGTGGCATAAATAATACCACAATTCAAAATTCTTCGTATAAAATTAGATTTTTCGTCCCGAGATCCATTCCTCTTCAAAACTTACCTATTGATAAAACTGGGTCAAATCCTTTAGAAAATAATTCTGAGAATACCGAAAATGTAACAGAGAATGCTATATGGAATATTGTAGGAATTTGTATGACTTCTAATTATAATTAAATTATTTCTTATTAATCTTTATTTAGCATCTGTCGAATCTTCTTTTTATATATCTCCAAAGTCTAATGCTACTACTGTTGGTCTTGTACCTGTTATTAAAGAAGTTAAATATCTTTCCGTAAATATTATTCAAATTATTGGTCAAAATATTAATCAATCTTACACTGTATGGATTGACGGAAAGCTATGTAAAACATTCCGGTTCTCTACTTTTTTCGCTGAAGACAGCTCTATGTTTATCGATTTACAATGTATTTTGCATCCTCAAATTATGCCACAAGACCCTAATCATATATTGTTGGTTCGAGATGATGGTGTTGTTTTTGATTCGAAAAGACATATATAGTCGATTTTTGGAATAAATCTTTCATTAATTTCTCCTATCATCTATTTTTACTAATATTACCATTGATATCACCTTGAATGTGCTTTATATTATTTTAATTTATATATAATGAAACATATATCAATTTCATTATATAGATTCTAATATTTTCATATTTTAATCTTATATACATTAGATTTTTAGACTAATTATTCTTAATATTAATTAATTTATTATATTTTTTAAAATACTCATTATCGAGGCCTTTGATTTTAACCTCAGTAAAAATATAATATCAATTATAAGCCAAATGTCGCTGTATGGCAAGATAAATGTAAATATTTATGGTAAAGATGATATTAATAAAGGTTTGTTGAGTATATGGCTTTTTTTCCCGAGTTTTTTACGTTAATTTTAAGGGTCTATTGAGCGAGAACCGGTAACATATGTTGTGCAACAAATAGAGGCAAAAAAAGGGACGATATCGCAAGAAATTGATGAACATCGACGTATGACGTCAGCGGGTATCTATCTGAGTGTTTTTTTTAAGTTTTTATTGGTTAATTTGGGTGAAAATAGCATTACAATTTCAGCCTATTCGCCGACCTTTACAAGCTAAAAAAAATGTAAAAAAGCCGCTATCTTCTGCTTCATTATCGTCAGAACCTTTAAAATCTCATCCGGTTTTTCATAATATAAGTTCATTGGATTATTGGAGTCATAAAGATGAAGATTTGAATGAATCTTATGATATGACAGAAAGTCGTAAAATAGCAAAAAATAAAAAGAAAAAGAAGAAAACGAAGGATTCAGAAACCGTTGTATTATCTTGGGATGATTCATATGATCCTTTTAAACCAAATGATTATGAAGAATATAAAAAGAGTGATGAATCGGTTCAAGAGATGATTGATTGGAAAAATAAGCAAGAAAGAAAATCTAGAGAAAAGGATACAGTAGAATATAAAAATATGGGTATTTTAATATTTTTGGGTTTTTTTTTTAATTTTGAAATAGAACAATTTGCACCACCTGCAAATTATTCTCCTTCTCATTCATCTAATGTAATTGAATTTTCTCAAACAGCAGAGCCTGTTACTACTATTTCATTGGATGAAACAGCTGAAGAGGCATATGCTAGACGGGTTGCAATGTCACAAAATAAAAATGTTGAAGCCGATTATCGATCAAGTTATTCAACTGAGCCTACATATGAAATAGATACACCTAAACAGTCTTTTCTTCCTTCGAGTTCATCAGAGGATCCTGTTTTTGTGGATCAGTCTCATAAGGCTTTGAATAATCCTTTGGAAATGTCTTATGATAAGCAACATCTTCAAACTTTCAATAAAACGACTATTACTCGAGAGCCTCAGATGTACGATATAAAAACGACTAATTCATCTGAATCTATGACTTCCTCTATAGATTCTGAAAATTCAAAGACTCCAGAATCTTCAGGATTTCAAAGTAATTCTAATATGCCAGGTCAAAAGAAGTTTGCTGAAAGATTAATGAAAAAATATGGATGGGAAAAAGGCAAAGGATTAGGTGCATCCAATGATGGGATAGTTAATCCTTTGATTGTTAAACAATCAAAAGATCGTAAAAATATTGGCTCAATTATAAACAAAAATCAACCTGAAAAAACTGGAAAATTTGGAAAATTGAGTAAAGTTATTTTGCTTACAAATGTTTCCGAATTGGAAACTGTGGATGATGAATTGTCTCAAGAAATAGGTGATGAATGCAATAAAAGTGTATGTATTTTTTTATACTTGTATATTTAATAATTTTTCAAGTATGGAAAAGTTGAGCGATGTTTTATATATAAAAATATGAATACCACTTTGGCTAGTGACATTGTAAGGGTATTCGTTCTTTTTACTGATACTATTAGTGCATTGAGGGTTTTTTCTTGTATAAATTATTCTTTAATATTTAACATTTTTAGGCCGTTAATGCTTTAAATGGTAGATTATTTGGAGGCAAAGAAATTCAAGTTAAATTTTATGATTTTGATAAGTTTGAAAATGGAGAATATGATGCATAACAAATTATTAAGGCTCTAAAAATTACAAATTCATTTATTTTAATTATTACATAAATATTTTTCAACATATAAAATTCGGTATAAATCTAATATTTATAATAAAAAAATAAATTATATATTTTTTTATTATAAACTACTGGTTTTCATGCTTCATAGGTGTTTTAAAGAAACATATTCTTTTGTTGAATTATATAATATTTCGGTGGGATAAAACAACCAATATTTAAAATTGAAAATAAATGTATAAATAATGGGTTTTTTTCCCTTCAAAATAAGGGAACATACTCACAAAATAAGATGCTTTTATTGCAATTCTTCTTTTTCTAAAAAACAAGTAAAAAATCTGAGAGAATGGGTTTGTTTTGTTTGTCAGGCAAAAAACTATATGGATAATGTAAATTCTTAAAAATATGATACAATATTGTCATTAACATATGGATATTATAGAAGGGAAATATAGAGGATGTTCCTTTCTATGTGGCAAATAAGAATGATGATTTAAATATACGTTATACAACATTACCAATAAATCAGACAGAATTATCGCCATTTTGTCAAACTTGTATGAAAAACCATTTATTTATTGTTAACGCATTGGCATCGTATTTGCCTTCTGAAGAGGATCCTGATTATGATGTTTATTTGTCTGCATTGCCATCATATCGGGAGTTTTTAGAAGAACGGTATCCTATGGTGTGTGATCTTTGTTTTCCTCATATACAGGAGCATCTGGCAAAGAAGAACTATATTGCTAAATCTATGACACTTGGGGGATGGCTTTTAAATAGTAAAAAAATGTTTAGTTTAAAACATAGTCAATCTCGCCTTTTTTTATGGGCTAGGCTTTTCATATGGGGTTTTCGTGGTTTAGGATGGTGGATTTTTACTATTTTAGTTATGTTGTATTATATTTTAGGTTAATTTTTGAAATTTTTACATGTTTTTTTTTTGATGATAATAGGTTTCTTCATTCCAAGTGTTTTTTTAAAAAATACTTATCAGACAATACCGTTTTTGAGTACACATAATTTTTCGGAGTGCATAGTTACATTATTTGATCAAAATGTATCTTTTGGTACATGTTTATTTCTTTATAAACTTTTCATTAGAAGATTAATATTTTGGGGCATTTTTGTTATTTTATGGGATTATACATGGGTTTCTCAAAATTCAAGATCATATCACCGTGTTTATGGTAAAAGCTATTACTATGTATTATTTATTTTTATTTATATTTTATATTTTATTATTAATTATGATATAGATATGTCAAATATTTATTCATATTATTCGTGCTATTGCTGAATTTATATTATCTGAACGAATATCAGATGCTACTATTTATTCGGGGATTAGTCTTGCACTCTTTTTTGTTTCTATAATTGTATGATTGTTAAGTATTAATTGCATTTTTCTGATGATTTAGCATTTGGTATTGATATTTAAATGTATCTATTTTATTCCGCCTGCCTTAATTAGTTTATATGATTCTAATTCTAGAGGATTGTCTGTTAATTCTAAACAAAAACTCAACACCGAATCTAAAATGGTTGAAAGAAAATCAATTGACAATGATAGAAATTTATCAGTTCCTCTTTCAAATAAATCTAGACCGGAACAATGTCAACATGATGTGGATTCGTGTGATGATTTTATGCAATTGGATCCTCCTGAAGTAACACCGTTTAAAATAGATATTGGAAATACCTCTTTACATAATAATCTGTCATTTGGCTTTCCTAAGGGGATAAAATTGCCATTGCCACCTAAAACGTCTATGTATAGTAATGTTCAGCAGCAAAATAGAAGTTTTAACTCTCAAAAAGAAAATTATTTCTTACGGTCAAAATCTAATATATTTAAAACTGATCAAAAAGATGCTGATGATAAAATTGCATCTCAGCGGTTTTTTGCACCTGAGGAAAGCTAAATAATTTTAAAATTATTTTTATTAATAAATTGTTTAGCAGCCAACTGGATTGGAAACTATTTTTTCTCCTGCTTTAAGGCTTGATGATGAACCATTAATTATACGTGCATTAAGAATAGTTAGTCGGCATAAATTAACTTGGAATGAAGTTATTTCAGTGCTTTGGGCTCTTGAAATAATGATTATTAATATTTTAAATTTAGGAAAAATTTCATATTACTCTTCCATTGTAGGTTCGTTTGGTATAGCATGCAGCATAGCAACTGGCTCTTGGTTTTTGAGGGTTTGTTTGTTTTTTATTTTTATTTATATGTATTTATATTGTCTAGAAAACATACATAAAATTCATTTTTATTGGAACTGTTGTCTCTTTTTTTTACTATCTTTTTATTTATATCAATCATTATGATGATTTTGAAATATTCTTACAGACATCTAAAACTTTTTTCACTTATAATACTTTAATTACTGCATTTTATTCTTGTTTTAGTTTAAGGATATTATGGATTATACGGTTTTTATGGAGTTATACACCGTTAAAAGCAAAACAGGAATATTCACAAAAGCAAAGCAAAATATGGGGAAAATATGCTTATAACAAATGATATATGTGATTATATATATTAATTTATAAATATAAGAAAATTTTACATAGAATTCTACATAATTGCTTAAAGATTACCGTGTATATATAAGATTTAAAGAATAAGCGCTTTTTTTGCCATTTGAAGTGCTCCTTCCTTCGTTTTGTTTCCTCCGATAAATCCACTTGTTAATAATAAATTATCATTAATACAATGATAATTATTTTTACCTTGCATGTACAAAAATACAATCATCTATATTACACTCCATACTTAGTATTTTATCTCTTAGTCCTCTCCATTTTTCAGGCAAATCTAATATAATTAATACTTTTTTATAATTATCAAAATATATACTTTTTCTACTTGTAAAACTATCAGGTGTTACTGGAACTGCATGTACTCTCCAATCTTTCCCATCTGTATATAATGCATAAAGAACTTGACCGTTTGCGTTAAATTCATGTTCAATTTGTGCCAAATGCGACTATTTATTTAAATATAAAAACAATTTACCAATATTATAAACCTTCCATGGCAAAAATTCATCAAAAACAACAATTCTTCCTTCAGAATCATAATTAAATCGCTTTTTAAAAGCATCAAGGATTAATTCGCGTGCTACAATCCATGCTCTTCCATAATAATCTAATTGATCTAGGAAGATCGATCCAATAAACTCACTTGCTTTTAAGAACAAATCAAATAAAATGCTATCATCCGAAGGCTGATTCCATCTTCTACATAAAAATCAGAAATATATATATATATTTAATCTTTTAACGGATTAAAATTTGCAACTAATGAAGATAGATCAAGTTGTGTTTTAAATAAAGGTCTTATATTTTGCGGATATGGACTAATCCCATTATCATTAGCATCAAGTGCTTCTAAAAAAGACTGTAATCGTTATTTTTCTTCTAATTATCTTTTTTCTTACTAACCTCATATAATTTAACATAAAGAATATCTACATGTGGATGATTCATATCTAATGCTAGCCTTTCTGAAATTATACGCTTTCCAAAATGTCTATATATCTCTTTAGCTATATAATAACAAATATATATATATATACTTAAAAATTAAGCCACAACTACTAAGTTTAGTCTTAAAATTTTCTGAAAATGTTTCATTAAAATATTTTTGGTGATGATCAAAATATTTTATTCCATCATATTTTCCTTGAACATCTACTATTATATCACATGTTTCAAGTATCTCTGGATCTCTAGATCTTATAATTTCTATAATAATTAATATATATTGACCCAAAAATTCCCTCAAAAAAACCCGAATTTTTAAATTCTGGAAGAAGCTTCAACATATAAATAGCAAGGCAATCATCTGCATGAAATGTCCTGCAAATTAACCCTGATTCCTATAAAACCATTTCTTCATAAATACCCATTATGTGTTCCAATTTTCTTGCAAGACATCCGGACTTTTTTAACAAATAACTAAATACTCCTAGTCCTTAATATCTGCAGTGTTATTCTATGCAATTTGGTGCAGAAATATGGAGCAGAAGAGGCGATATAACTTGCTCTTAAATTTACTCAAAATCTGTCAAAAATAAGCCAATTTTTGCCCTGAAAAAACTTAAATACCTGTTTTCCTATGCAAATATTTCAAAAATGAGGTTTTTTCGCTGTTTTTCTCGTTTTTTCCCCCTCAAAATCCCCTTATTTTTATATCCAAAAAACTTTACGTTTGATCGTTACCTGCTCGGACGTCAAGATTTTTATAAAAAATTGACGCTGCCGTTATTCATTAAAACCGTCATTTTTTGTGAAAAAAACACTTAATATTGTTAAAATTTCGCCGGGAATATAGGTATTTGCTTTTTTTCTGGGGTTCTGAGGCTTATTTTTGACAGAAATGGGCTTTATTTATTTTTGTCTAAAGATATTCTTGTCAGCAGTTTCATTTGCACAGGTAACCCTTTAAAACCATTAGGATAAGGAGTTATTTTATGTTTCTAATGAATCGCCAGCTTATTTTGTCCATTCCTTTGTCATTTGATGTTGGAGGACGTACTTGCGGATTGGTATGCTAAATGGCAAAGATCATATTAAGAATTGATGATTATATTAAAGGCATATACACTTTCACTTGAATTGCTGTATTTTTTTATATGTTTTTTTTCAATTTTAAAAAAGAGCCCAAAAATCAGGCCATTTGTTCAAATTATTACGCTGAGTCAATTTCTAATGGTACCATCATTAATGATATATTTTCTTGATACTATTTCTGAAGAATTATTACCTTCTTCTTTTATACGATTTTCAACGAGTGTATGGTTGGGTCTTTTGACACGATCTACGCCTATTTTTACATTATTGGAGGGATTTACATCATTATTAGTTATTCAGGCACTTGGACAATTTGTTAGATGGGTTGTAAATAATTATTCTGATATGTGGATGGTAAATTTATGGAGAATTTTTGAAAAAGTAAAATAATATGTAAAGATTTTTCTTCTTTCAGGATCAGGAGGGATTTTTTCTGCCTCATTTTATTTTCTTTATCAAATATATACATCACTTGTTGTAACTGTGCAAAATGCGACGTTAATAGGTGTTCTCTTGACATGTGCTATATTTATCTGCTTATTTAGTATTCATACAGGGAGAGGAAATGTGGTTGAAGGATCACTTTTGGTACTATTGATTATAAAATGTTTAAAATAGGACTAAAACGTGTAAATAGTTTGCTTACTTGGTGTATTCTGTGTATATGATATGTAGTGATCTTCAGCCATCTGGAGATATGTTGAAAGAAAAAAACATAGGTAGGAATGGATCGGGTTTGCCATTTCCTCCTATTATTATGGAAAGGTAAAGCCTTTTAATTATGGGGTTATTTATATATATTTATATTTATAGTTATACGACCATTGTATCTTCAATTGCTTTTAAAATACCTAAGGCATTATGGCGTACTGTATTCTTTTTAAAGGCAATTACTTCTACTATTACACCGAGTATTATTACATCACTTGTTTACCGTTTAATTGTTCTTTATTCTGCTACTTTTATTGTTCCTGCTGTACGGAGTGTTTATCGAGGTGTTGAACATGTTCCTTCTTTAGATGATAAAGAGCCTACCTCACGAATCATGAATATTTTAATATCTTTTTCACCTTGTGTTTTAATTGCTGTATATACTCATTTGCTTTTGCAGCATTTTTCTCTTCATGGTCATGATGCATTAATATTTGGTATTCAAATGGGATCTGTATTAATATGGCGCTGGTTAACTGCTTTTATGGTTGTTGGATTTTATGCCATAGAAATCTTACTAGGTGATGAAACAACTAGCGATATTTTGGTATCACATTGGAAAACATATTAATCATATCTTTTTCATCTCTTTATATCTTGTTATATTTATATATTTATTACTAATTTATGTTAAGAATTAACTTCAATTTAGATTTATGAATTTTGTGCATTTCTATAATTAAATATCTGGGTTCTCTATGAATTTGTTTATTGATTTGATGGGTTTGAACTTTTGAGATAAAAATTATGCTCTTTTTTCTCAATTTCATCATTAAAAATTGGAAAAATATTATTATAAAAGCTATCTTTCTTGTTTTTTGGCTATGCTATTAAAAACTAACAAGATACACTAATAATACACATCTCTACAAAATATACAAGCACAAATAACTCGAAAAAAAAGGATATAAAGACAATTATAACTCATTATACACTATATACGAATATCGATTTTATTTATCTCGCACTTTTACAATAATTATATTTAAGTCCAATACAACAAAAATACTAAATACATAAACTTTACATCTTATTCTAATATATAGTCTTATGAGCGTGGCTTTTCTTTTTTTTCTTTCCATAATGCCAAAAGCGATACACCTGACACTTTGACGATCTTAAATCTAACACCAGGAATATCACCTACAGATTATTCTTATTTAAAAAACACTTTTTCTAATCTAAATAACTACCTTTGGCTTTTCCTTTTCTTCCAAAACCTGCAATCAATACTTCATCATTTCTATGCAATTTTAATAAGGTAATATTTATACATATTTTAGGTCTTGTACTCATCCAAAAAATTCAAACAACCATCATTTGGTACAAATGCTGTTATTTTCTTGCCATTTTTAATTAATTGGCAACGTACACACTTACGAATAGCGGAATTTGGCTGTTTTGCTTCTACTCCTACTTTTTCCAATACAATTCCCTTTGCATGGGAACTTCCTTGAAATGGTGATGATTTATATAATGCTCCTAATAATCTTTTTTTAAATTCTTGATCTGACCTAATTAAAAATTATTAAAAATACAAGAATCCCACTAAAATGTAGGACTAAAAATAATAATACCATCGTTCTTTACGACGGTGTGTTCTTAGCTTTCTAGCTGCGTTTAATCCTTGAGGTTTTCCCATATTTTTTTTAAAGATAGTTGATAAAAAACTAAGTCTTTATCGTGGTGTGACTGTCTGGATAGACCTAACCCTTAATCCAATATTCTGATTTTATAAGCTAAACGCAGTGATTTGCCTATTAGTTTGATGCTTTTTATATATTGTTTATGTTTTTCTTGTATTTTTTTATTTTTTTTAATATTTTTTTAAGTCGCTATTAGATCATCTATGAGTTGATTATTATTAAAGAAACGATTAACATGTAAATATTATGTATGAATTCTTTATTTTTTGTTGTATTTTTCTTTAAATTATTCTTCAATATAGGCATCTTTGACTTTTGATACATCTCTTTTTAATGTAATAATGACAGGTGTTGAATTGTCTTTATTTGATTTTTGTGCTAAAAACTTTGTTATATCTTTTTCTTGTTCTATTTTTTTAATAGCTTTCCATTGCTCTGATAAATCTTGTCGTTTATTATATATCTGTTTAGATAATTCAGATAAATGTTCTATTTTTTCGCTAAAAAACTTGACATTATGTCTTAAATATTTTGTCTTATCAATGTATCTTGGTATAGCTTGAATCTAGACCATTTTATATATTTTTCTAGAAAATTGTCTTACATTTGATATAATATCTTTATATTCTGAAATTTTTCTAAAGTCTTCTTTTTCTTTTGATAAATATTCATTAAGATATGTTTGTTTGTCACTTAATATGTTAAATTGTTTATATTTTAAAAGATATATTCAGATACATACATTAAATTTTGTATTCGTTCCTTAAGATGTGTTAATACATCTAAAATTTCAATGCTAAGTAGCTTTTCATCAAAGTCGTCTTTTAGTCCTATATCTATAGGTGAATCTCCCATATATTAATTATATTGATCTATTGTTATATCACAAATTTATATGATAGTTTGTAAAAGTGTGAGGCAATAATTTTCTGATATTTAGCAAATGTTATTTTTATTGTAAACCTTTTCTAAAAATATATTCAATTTATATTTAATTTATATATAAAACATATAGATATGTACTCTGTACCTTGAAAAGATAAATTGTTAAATTTAAAGGTTATTCTTATGATCAATTTTGCCAAATATTGAAATATCTGTTCTTTTTAAATTTTATATTTTTTAATTATAAGAATTTAGTTGACTTGAAATGTTAATGTTATGTATTCAATGTATTTTGTTTTTTATATATTTCATTCTCATATTTTTGAAAAAATATTAAATGAATTTGTATGTCATTTTTCTGTAATATCTTCATTATATAAAGAATAAACTTGATTAAATCATGAAAAAAGGTATATTTTAAACAATATGTATGATTAATTCGATTTTTGAGAAATGCATATAAAACAGTGATATAGAATGTAATAAAAACCGGTTAATTATACATGATTTCTTTGTAATATGCTATTATGTATTTGTAGATTCTAATTGCCATACATTTATGTTTCCATCATCACCGCAAGTATAAATATATTCGGAATCTAAAACATTGCAGAATATTGAACAATTCAGTTCGTATACATCATGTGCATTGTTTTGTATAGCATGAACAGTCCACCCTTCTTTATCTTCTTCGTAAACAACTAAATTTCCATCTGATCCACTAGAAACAATTCTTCCTGATATTCCACTCCATGAAACTGAATAAATTGCACCTGTATGTACTTTAGGTAAAGTCGTTTGTTCAACCCAGGTTTCTTCAAAAGGCACAAGAATAGATGCGATATTCGAATAATCATGAGTGCTGGGTTCTCGTTTCCATATTTTTATCGTTTGATCATCAGATGAAGAAACTATTGTATATTTAGATTATAGGATTTTTGTTACATGTTAGATATACCAAGTCTTGGGTCAAATGATCCTTTTTCAAAATCAATACACCAAACTGTACTGTTATGCCCGGTTATGTTTGCATAGCACGCCCAATCATCTTGGTTATCTTTCCATAGTTTAATTGTATTATCATAAGATGCTGATGCCAATCTCTGATGAATAAATTAATAGAAGCATTATATATAAATTTAAGACTTCTTCTTTAGGATGCCATAAGACCATTTTTACATCTTGAGTATGTTCTTGAAGCACAGATAAACAATCAAATTCGTTTTCTTCTTCCGCTGTAAAAATTGATGAATAATGTGTATCAGTGATGATGATTTATTATATAACCTTCCCATATCCATATACTTTTATCTCGAGAACATGTTGCAATTAGTCCTCCATCTGATGACCAATTAACGCTTTTAACTTCACTTTCATGTCCTTCTAGCGTTGCCATGCACTCCCATTCTGATTTATTTTCATAATCAGGTTCCCAAATGCCTACTGTTCCATCAAAACTAGCTGTTGCTAAAATGATATCTCCCTTGGTTTGTGGTTTCCAAGAAACTGATCGAATGCTTCGTTGATGACCTCCTTCTAATGTTGCTATACATTTCCCATTCTGTGTTGACCAAATCTTGACTGTTTTATCCGATGATGCTGAAGCTAATAGAGGAAGCGTTGGATGTGGAGAAAGATTCCATACACGGTCGACATGACCAGAAAGCGTTTGTATATGACGAAGATGTTTCATTTTTGACAGGGTAGAATGATTATTATTATTATTATTATCGATTTAAGTAATGAAAAATAACATATGAATATTTTACTTTTGTTACGATTCGTATTGATAAAGTAGATATTTAAAATAGTCGATCATACTGATACACTTTTCATGATTTTTTACAAAATTTGAAGGACATGGGATTAATGATTCCATACGATTCCGCTTAATACCTCATCTATCCATAAAGCCTCGCAACTAGTGGTTTCTACCGCTGTTTGATTAGTAATGTTTCCATGTGAATGTGTATTGAATTGATCTTCGATCGAAACGCTAACTGATTTGGAAACGGTAATTCCATCGAAAGTAGGATTAAAGTTTTCCTCGGATTTTTGTACAGTTGCAATGATTGGATAAGGTGTTTGTGATTCTCGAATACGCTCAAGATCTTTCAAAATTGGAGAAAATTCACGTCGAATATCTTGTGTAAATACTGCTTCTCCCTGACCCAACATAGACCATTGATTCGCTTTGAAAAGAGTAAGTGGAATAAATTTAACATTATTATTAGGTTGCAAATGAACATGAATAGGTATAACGTGACGAAATAAGATTATGGTTGCATGTTTTCCCTGATAATGACCTGAACATGGGATACGTACGAGCTCTGGAATCAGGACTGCGTCTTGAAAGATAGATTCATTGATATATTGGCTGATTTGTAACAATGCATCTTTTAATTCTGCTTTAAATAATGTCATAGATGAATCAAACGTTTGTGGATGATCGTTTTGGCTTAAGAAATGAAGCATTTGTTTCGCTGTTATATTTTCTGATGATTTCAAAAATGACATTTGCTCCTGGTCAAGCATTCTAAGTGACAACATTTTACACGGTATCATACAATCATTAAATTTATCTACTAAAATTTTAAGGCCATGATGTACATGTGCTTTGATGATAAAAATGCCGACATAAATACCTGGTTTATATGTTTCTTCATAGATTCGATATAGTTTCATGCTCTCGATGTATTCTGTAATTTCTGCCCGGGGAACTTGAAGTGAACGAACAAGTCCATCCAGAATTAGGTGAACCGGTGCAAATCGGAATCCATATGATAAATAGCGATTGCATTCTGATCGACTTGCGTGTTTAACAAGAAACAACATTTGACCTTTTCCATACGTTACTGACATTGAATTTGGCATTTCTTTGTTATTCTTTGATTTTCGTCTTCTTTTTTGTCCTGTTTTCATGATTCCATCATAAAGGACGCCTACATGATGCAATGGTTCATGTAACAATTCCGCAAGTCTTGTTGCAGCGACTATGAATCGCTGTTTAAAGATCAATGAATAATCAATTTGTTGGTTATTGGAAGGATCTGATAATTTTATATGATCTTTCATAATTGGAATTAAACTGATAACGCTTTTCCAAGAACGACTGACTTTATAAATCCAATAGAAAACATGATGGTCCACATCGAATTCATTGTTTAATGACTGAAGAAAAAACGAATTAGTTATGTTTTAACATTACATTTTTTTTTTTTTGATAATGACATACCCGTTCATGATATGTATCAGTGATTTCATGGGAAATAAGCATTCCATCGACTGTTACTAATAACTTTCCTTCAGTGTCAAAAATGGCACGTGTAAGAACCACTTTTTGTGCTCGATCTTTTCTAGCTTTTAATCGACGTGTTGCCTCAAACGATAGGCCTAACAATAAGAAGCATGCTGAAGCTGACTAAGGTTATATATGTTAGTTTGATTGGTTCAGAGAAGAAATATATATATATTTACAATAACACCGATAAAAATAATAGTCGTTTCTTGTGATATACCATTATTCTTGATACGGCGATATCTATAGACTGTACCTAGCGATGCAACCCAATGCATGCCTTTTATCATAATATTAGTTATATGAAATCTTAAAAATATATTTAAAAAAAAAAACCTGAAACAGCACTAGCAAGTAAAAATGAACATCCTAATAATTTCCACCATGCATTTGTCCATTTAGATTGAAGTGTAAAGAAAAGTACCAATGTAAATACCGTTGCGCAAATGGCAATAATTACCTAAGATATGATTTAGTAGATCTTGGTAATAAAAAATTCCTATATGTACCGATCCAATCACATGCGCAATACTATAAAAAGCTATATAATTCGAAATTCCTGCTTGACCTGTATAATGCATTCCTAAATGGTTCATGCTCAATTTATAGTTTGTAATAATAGCTTCGTACCACATATAGCTAAACCCCCAAATATTCCACCACTTACAATACGCAGAGGAGATACTTTTTCATCCGTTCCAGTTAATAAATATGCCAAAAGCAAGACAAGAACTGGAAGAAAAAATGATAATGCCGTAAATCCTGCATTATATTCTAGCTGATATTGAGGATCCCCATCATGAAGAACAATTGCACGGTTTCCCAAAAAATGCATGCTCCATATAGCAATTCCTCCCATAGAAAGTGATGAACTCAGAAGTAAGGTCCTACTTATTAAAAATATACCAAATCCTAGAACCTTACCAGTTGAATATTCCACGAATAGACGTCCTATGTCTAAGCAATTCTAGTGTTGTATATGATCCTAATACAGAGATAAAGTATGAAAGCATGACCACTTTTGGCAAAATACTCTATAACCATAATATTAGCATATTATCACTATATTTTCATTTCTATCATCTATTTATCTACCTGCTCAATAATCTCTCCATATACAAGCTCCTGTGACATGATGTGGTTAGAAATACAATTCAATGGGGGATGAAAGGGTTTTTATATTAATTTTGAATCGACAAGGTTTATTATTAAATATATAGAATATGAAAAGGACGCATATATTACAGGAAAATAACGCATATAAAAGGATATATGGGATTTATAGATAAAAATACTCATTTGTACTGTATATAAATGTTTGTTTTTGTTTAAAATTTTTATCTGAATATCTGAGGGAATATGTATATAAAGCAGCGAATCGCTATGACCTCTGATGAATTAAAGATGGGTTGTTTAAATAATGTGAAAGAAAATGTCTAAATATATAAGATAATGGTTGAAAATAGGTTGTTTTTGATTAATAGCAATGTATATCAAGAAATGAATGTATAATTAAAAAAAATGTCTGATTTAGGGTTATACTGTTAGTATTATTTGATAGGGTTGTTGTCGTAGGGTTAGGTCTGTGTTGTTAGGGTTGTTGTTAGGGTTATTATAGGGTTATTGTAGGGTTAGGTCTAGTTGGTGGGGTTAGGGTTAGGGTTGGACAGGAATAGAGTTGAGGGGGAAGGGAGGAGAGGGAGAAGTCTAGATTAGTTATGTTAATAAATAAATAATCTTTAATTTTTTTTTCATCTTGTTTCTTAAAAAATATAAAAAAAAGATTTATCAATAACTTAAATAAAATACATAAGTAAAAAATGAATAAACTCTTGTTAAAAAACGTTAGCACTGAATAGATATTAAATTTGAAGATTTTCTATTGGAAATATGTTCGTCCATATAAGGATTAGAATATCTTGATTATAAAAAGTATTTGGAAAACCTATTGTGTTGAAATATAAATATAATCAATGAGTTGTGTGAGATGGCTCATTATAGTCTAGAACTGAACTTTCTCTGGTTTGTGATGTTTGTGATGTTTGTGATGTTTTTGCATAAGGTGTTTTATTATATATTGTGTTTGGATAGTTTTCAAAATTTTGAAAATCATTTTTGCGATTAAAAGAACGGTTCATATTTTTATAATATTGTACTCCATTTTCATTCCAATATTCAGAATCAGATGAATGACTAAATTTATCGATATATTGATCATTCATTTTATGATTTCTATAATGGCGCCAAGTTAAATAAATAATTCCGATTAATATAAAGATGAGAATAATAGCCACGATATGATAATATAATCTCCATGCGATTTTCTGTTTTTCATATAAATCATTATCTTTAGAATTAGGAATGAAAAGATTAGTTTCACTTTTAGCTTTTGATTCACGAATTTTCTTGATTACTTCTTGGTCAATTCCTAAAAACCTATTTAACATATCCTGACTTTCTAGCGGTTTATCATAAGGAACCATATGAGATGCATCTTTGATTATGATGTATGTTAAGTTTCTGTCATATTGATAATATCCAACAACTTTATCCATAAATACCCAATCTAGCCTTGGTGCTTGAGTACCATCTTCCCGGAGAAAACCTTTACGTCCATTCCATTCCAAATTGCTAATCAGGTCTTCCGTTCCAAGATGATTACAAATAATATCTTTATCTCCACTTGATATTTTTAGCATGAAAATTATTTAATTTATATACATAATAATTACCTATACAAAACAACTTGTATTTTGCTTAAAATACCTGGAAGCAATTCAACAGATGGAGGAGAACTATATCTCAAAAAGCTTTCTGTGAAACGTAGGTTGCATTCCTGCCAGGAAACTTTATCATTATTAATATTTAAAGCTTTTAACACCTCTGGTTTCTTGGAATGTTAATAAATCATAAGAAATCATAAAATTACTTACTCTTAAATAAGTGCCTAATTGTACCCCTCCATCAGGCCATTTAATATCACATGTTGGATATTTTAGCCTTAAATCATACATATTAACACATTTTTTATCTTCCCTAAGATCGGGCCTAATGATCATTGAAAGAATAGAATCACAGTACTGAATATCCTTTAAATCTTTCTTGGAAAATGCTAGTTCACAGCTTTTCACCGCTTCTTGAATTTTTCTTTCTTGTTCAGAACCTTTTTTGACCACTTCGTTTTTTACTGCAAAAGGTAAATATGATTTATAATGGGTTAACGGGTCAATCCATCCATTTCCTACAAGGATTCCTTTAAGGTTATATTTCTTTTCTTTTCTTAGTAATATTGGGGAAAAAATAGCTATTCTTTACTTTTTTATCATCTTGTTCGTTTCTTTTCAATATAGCATCTGCAATGTATGGAACATACTGTCCAGAAAATGATTCCCCTGTGATATAAAGCTATTTCTATCAGTTTCTCGACATATCTTGATTAAATAATAAATAAACCTCGTCATTCTTGTATTGCGGAAATATTTTAAAAAAACTATCTAAAAAAACAAGAAAATCACTAACAGTCTTCAAAATTAAATCTAACTTCTTCCTTCCCATATATCATTCTCACCTGCGTCAATCCGTGTGGATAATTCTCTGGTAAACTATAACTAAACCCTGTTCCTGCCGGCTGATCCACTAAATATACATTTATACATAAATTCACTAAATAACCCTAAAATACCAAAAATAACATTGCAAAATTCATTCCACCCTCCTTGATTCTCCATAAGAACCCCTTCTTTAGTCATTTTAAACGGTCCATTCTCTAAAAAAGCTCCATCCATAGAAGAACATCCTGGACCCCCATTTAACCATATTACCTATTCATCACTGATAAATCATCGTATCTAATACTCATTCTAATAAACCGTTCTCTGTTTATCCACAATATATTTGTTTTCTGCAAGCAAAAAGAAAAGAGAGTTTCCGTTATCCTTGTTCACCTCAATATGACTAATTCTATGAATAAATCCTCATAATACGTCTCATCTATACCCAGAATATAGTTTTAGGTTATTATTCTCCGCTAATCCTGGCATACTTTCAACATAATACTCTAAATTAATATTAATAAGATCTCATAAAAACTCTCTTTTTTCTCAATAAAAACCTGGTGCTGCATAAGCCCCATATAAATAGGCCCATATTAACAAAAATATTGGTATTTTTAGCATCTTAAAAGACTTATTTGGTGCAGAATAGATTATGACTTTATGCAAAAAATCGATAAGGGTTGAGGTCATAGAGGGTTTAAGTAAGTAATGAATGATCCAAGAAAAAATACATGAATAGCTGTTGAATGATGTGATAAGAGTATAGAATGTATGTAAATAAGTAGAAGAAAGAATATGTGAAGTTTTTATCGAGTGGTTTTTTTTGCTCTTGGTTTAAGCTTGAAAGGTTATAATAAAGAAAGAAAGAGAAAGAGAAAAGGTTACCTCATCGACGCCTACAGGATGAAGCATTATTTTATTAAGTGTTTGTGGAGTATTTGCTTGATAACCCTTTTTGAATTATTTTTTTTATAAAAATATATATATATATACCTTGCTCCAATCATAGCTAATTGCATATGCAAAAATATCACCAGTTCTATTAAAAGCAGTGCATGAAATTGTTCCACCTACGTTAGCAAAGCCCTTTAATCTGTGTTTTGAGTCTTTGTCCCTGTAATGATAAGAAATTTTGATAGAAAGAAAGATATATATTTGTACCAAAAATGAAAAGTTCCATCAGAACCAGCAGTGGCAAAAGTTCCATGTTGTGGATGAAATGAAATATCATTAACGCTATATACGTTTGAACTATTGTTAGCGAGTCCAGTAGAGTCTCGATGACAACGAAAGGAAAAGTTTAAACTAGAAGTGTTAGATCGTTTTTCTTGATTTAAGCAAGTAAATAGCCTTCCCTTGCATCTTTATCTTCTACATATTGAATTGCACATCTTCCTTCTACACTGCCAATGGCATAGCCATTGGCCTTAATAAAGCATGAAATAACACGAGTTTGAAATTTTAATGGAGATTGTGTCGTTTTAAAAATAGTCGTTGGATTATTTAAATGAATAATACACACATGTCTATCTGCCGTTCCAATTACCATTAATTGATTCATTACATCCATTGTATAACATCTTTCTGGCAATTGAACTGTTGCAATTGGCTGTTGCTGTCTTAAATCCCAATATTTAAGCATTTTATCCCATGATCCTGTTGCAAGAATATTTCCCATATTTCCTCCATCGATAAAACGACATGATTTAATTGGAAGATCATGAGCCGCTACTTGAATACTTTGACCCGTATGCAAATCAAATAACATTCCTGCTTTATCTGTACCCACCGATGCTATTTTAGTCCCATCCTATATTATTCTTCAGATTCTTCATTTATACATAAAAAATCCCACTTTTGACCAACAGCATGATAAAACATGTCCCTGATGCTCATACATAGCTTTTCCAGTCGTCTGGCCTGACGACTGTACCTCATATATTTTAACTTTTTTATCCCTAAAAAAGTTATATCTTTATTATCCAAAAAAATTCACTTTCCATGATGAAACCGCAAGAAATTCCGCTTGAGGTGAAAATGATACTCCTGAAATACTATCTTCTGGCGGTTGAATAACCTTTTATCCTTAGTTTTTGCCCTCATCTATCACTACTTACCTCTATATCATTCTTAAGTTCCTGGTTTGTAATCGATGTTGATGTTGTAGATCCAAATAACGATGTCATAGGATTATATTGTGCTATTAATGTCTTATTTATCTAGTAAATTGCACTTTATTTGGTGGTTTAAAGCCTAATTTGCTGGTAGCTTATTTTTTTGACGTTGAGAGGGTGGTCGACGATAACCTCTAGTGGGTAGGAAGAGGGAGGTGATTAATGGGAAGATGGTTTTTTATGAGTAAAAAATAGATGAATTAATTAATTTCTTATAGTTCTGAAGGTTTTTGTAAGTTTAAGCCTTTTTTTGGCTTTTTTTTGGCTTTTTTTTTGACTTTTTTTGAGTTACTTAAATAACAAAATTTTCTTTATAAAAACCTTTTAAATATCTCTTGTTTTTCTCTATAAACCCCTATAAAATCCTTTATAAACCTCTTTAAATTCTTTAATCACTGTTTTATTGCTCATTTCTGTATTTTCAAGTTACCATGGTAACTTGTTGTCATGACAACAGTTGATATAACAACGAGTTGCCATGGCAACTACTTGATGATAAAGAAAAATGTCAAATTATATCAGTTTTTTTACTTCTTTTGAAAAAAAAATAACATTTCTCTCTTATTTCACATGTTTTCTTCCTTTTCTTCTTTATTTATTTATATTTTATAGAAATTTTAACCATTCACGTGAATTTCGATATAATTTTCAAACCTCGCTTTTTTAACTTCGGTAAATTTGACTGAAAAAAAGACGATTTTGTGGTATAAAAAGAGGGTTGTTTTAACAAGAATTTTCTAAATAAAAGGTTTTTTTCGATTTTTTTGATATTTTCTGGGTAGGGTGCTTTTTTTCCGGGAGAAAAAGGCTTAAAAATGAAGGGTTATGTCTGTTGATTTGAGACGGAAACTTGTTATTGTTGGAGATGGTGCATGTGGAAAGACATGTCTTCTTATGTAAGAATTAATGAAATATTTTATATAGATTTATAAGTAAACTTATGTTTTTTTTAGAGTTTTTTCTAAGGGGACCTTCCCAGAGGTATGAAATGAGTGTATTTTGAGAAGATAAAATTTTTCATATTTATACATGAAAAATTGTATTTTTGTGTTTAATAGTATTTAATGATACGAAAGGTGTATGTTCCGACTGTTTTTGAGAATTATGTAGCGGATGTTGAAGTTGACGGTAAACATGTAGAGCTTGCACTTTGGGATACTGCGGGACAGGAGGACTATGATAGACTGCGTCCTTTATCATATCCAGATTCACATGTTATTCTTATTTGTTTTGCAGTTGATTCACCAGATTCATTGGATAATGTTCAAGAAAAGGTATTTTTTTTATTTTTTTATTATGTATTTTCTCTGATTTATTAGTGGGTTCCGGAAGTGATGCATTTTTGTCCAAGTCTCCCTGTTCTTCTTGTTGCATGTAAAAAAGATCTTCGTCATGATATGAAAACAATTGAAGAACTTCGTAAAACATATCAGCGGCCGGTTACGACTGAGGAGGTTTTTTCTTTTAATTGTATTAATTCATGTAAGATTGAGTAAGTATTAGGGACGAGTTGTTTCTGCTAGAATTGGTGCGGTTGATTATCATGAATGTTCTGCAAAAACAAATGAAGGTGTCCGTGAAGTCTTTGAATCAGCAACAAGGGCTGCGTTGCTTACAAAGCAAAAGAAGTCAAAAAAATGCATCATTGTTTAGATTATGGTTTTATAATATTATTGAATAGGTGTTAATTTATATTTCATTTCCTACTGAGCTATTTGTAGCATTAAATATAGCAAATAAATGAAGTTAAGAGGTTTTGATAATAAATTATTCTGTATTTTATTTACTACTTTTTTTTTTATATTTTCATATCAATTATTTTTCTTTTGGTATATTTTTTGTTATATGAATTATAATTCGGTAAATTATAAAATTTTCCTTCATTTTGGCAATGTACGATGTTATTTGAATATGGCAAATAAATGTATTTAATTGGTCAATGGTTCCTCACTTTTATTCTCTTGTCTTTTTTTTTTTTCTCTTCTTTCTGCTTTAAACATTTCTAGTCTAGCTTTTAATTCATCGTCTAGAAAATAATTAGTTTTTTCTTTATTTTACTTGTAAGCTACTTGGTATTAAATCTTCCAATTTCAATGGTGATCTATTAAATGGATCTTTTTCTTCACTTAATAAATGACTTTTAATAGTTGCCATATCGACAGTAACCCGGCTGCTTGGTAATATCACAGGGTTTACCATCAAACATGCCATGATAGGATCTGCTATAGTTATTTTCTAAATATATATATTCTAAAAGAAAAAATACCTAGAAATTCCTCCGGAATTTCTCCGAGTTCTTCTTCGTTATCTTCGTCTTTTTTCTTAACTTCTTCTACGTCATTTATTAAAGATAATAAATTGTTAATATCATCTAAAGATTTTGTAGAATATTTTTTAAAAATTTGGGTAGTACGAATAAATAAATCTCTTTTGTATGAGCGACCATCTTTTGCTATTGCCATAATGAAAGATTTTTTTGAACGTAAATTAAGATATATATCAGCAATTGTAGAAAGAAGAGATTTCGGCTCGAATCTATATTTTTCCGGGTTTTTTACTTTTAACTTTGTACATTTAGGACCGACCAATGCATTCATATTATAGTCAAGCATAGCAGCTAAACGATCTAGAGAAATATTGGTATTAAATCTAGATTTTTTATTTAATGCAAACTTACCAACAACCTCGGGACAACAAAAAGCATCAGGAATGCTAGCTGTAAATCTTTTCAGCAATTCTATGGTTTCTGTAGCTAATGACATATATGTTGTTGCATATTTTTCCAATTGAGCTAAGTAATGACGTTTTTCTTGTCTTTCATCATTGAGAGATATATTTTCTGGAACATCTTCTAGTTCTAATTGAAGATTATGTATCTCTAAAAGTTTTGAAAGGGCTTCATCGAGTAAATAGGTCACGTCATTAAGTAAAAGAGCAACAAATTTGACAAAAAAGTTAAAGTTGTTTCTAGAAAATATAAGAAAGTGAATGAAAAAATAGAAATACTGACCGGCTTTCCAATAGAAGTTTTTCACGATGTCCAGGATTTTCCCATATAGCTTTAAAAATCTGTGATATTTGATATCTTATATTAAATTTATCGTAAAACTGAGAAGATAGGCCAGTAGATTCGACTTCTAATAATACTAAATATATATATATATGCAAAAAAAATGCCATTTACCAACATAAAATAACATCAATGCTGGTAAAAGATGATGTAATGAAAAAGTGTTAGAATTTAGTATGTCTCCCAAAACTCCATAAGGATAATTATGCTGTTTTAAAATCCCATAAAATAGTATTTCTGCAAGCTTTGCTTTGAGATATGGGTTTTTAATATAAGACGGACTTTTAAGAAAAGTAATTATAAATGTAACTAGTTCAATAGCAGAATTAGATATTATTAATTCCGGATTGTATCTAAACAAGTAAGCAAGTATCATTATTGATAATATCATACTTGGATGTGTACAAAAAAAAATCTGCTATCTCTTCTACAAAATATTCCGGAAGATTTCGTACATGGTCATTGATATCTTGAGGTAAAGGAAGACTAATAAAATATTAAAATCAATAATAAATGTTAAGCATACGTTATTGTTTTTTGTGGATGCTGATGTTCTGGATCAACATGTCTTAAAAGCCAAGATGCCAGTAAAGATAGAAAAGAAAATGACTTTGATTGCAAAACATTATCTAAAAGCATTGTATCAAAACAATAACAATAGCTTTTTGTTTTTTCTATTTGTAAATGAAGTTGTTTCATATTTGTATTCAAAATAGAAGCATGAGTAGTCTAAAAGTCTTATAAAATAAAATAAAAATTGTCATCAATCTTACTTTAATCCAATGAGATTTTTGAGATTCTAAAATATCATATTGTTTTTGTAAATCACTAATCCTTTTCATAATATGTTCATGATTAAGCATGGCTGAACCAAGACCATAATAATGATATGCAACATTTAAGAAAAAAATTTCAGATATGAAATTAGGAACATCTTGGATTTCGTCCTTGTAAAATAATTCTGAAGTTTTCTCATCCGAATTTAGCTTTGTTTCTTTCGCAATACTGATTCTTGGCTTTTTTTTAAAGTAGTCAATATCAATTCTATTAATCTTATAGTTTTTTAATTACATTTATCAAAAACATTAAATAAATACCTTCATATAATTTACGTCAATGAAAGGTTCCGAAAAACTATTTATAATATTGGTAATGTTAACAATATAACCATCTGTGCTGATTGATTTCGGATCGGCCTTTTTTAATAAATGAATTGTTTGAAAAATAGTTATTATAGATTGTCTTACATGAAGTGCTTTTCTTTTTTTGTTTAATTCTAATACTTTTGCAAAATATTCAAGCATTTTTTCTTTACACTCTGGAGATGTTCTTATAATCGTGTTTATAATAAAAAACAATTGATTCTAGTATCAGATTAATTTTTATCGTTAATAATGTTTTTTTTTCCACTTGTAATGTTCGCATAGTAAGTCTTAAGCTATTTATAGACCCTAATATATCTGCTTGAGAACGTTGTGATGCATTTGAAAAATATAATTCCGATATTTTAACCTATCAAATGAATATGTATTTAAATGTATTCCTTTCATTATACCTGCATGGGTGTTAGACGAAGATATGGTCCTAAAATAGATGTATATTCAATATCGGCTGCTGTGCTATTTTCAGGTAACCATGCTGGTAAATGAATTATCATCAATGTAAATGGTTTCAGTGTAACGAGCTGGCTAAACACCTGAATTTAAGTAAATAAAAAATAACTATTCAGAAATATTACTTTAATATATGGTTGATAATCATCCATAATCGTTTTTTGGCAAAGACGACGGCTTAATTCAACTGTTGTTTCTCCCAATAAATCTGTCAATGTTCCTTCTTTATCAAATTGATAAACTAATGCTCTAAGAAAATCAAATGGGATCCCATCACTCGTATCCAATTCTTGCAAAAGTTTATTCGCAAAATCGATTGGTGCATGTTGAAGTCTTTATATATCTCTATAAGATTGTTCAAATTTCATTGATAATTAGGTACATACTCAAACATTTCAGGAAGCGTAATTGAAAGACCTAAATAACTAACAAAAAGACGTTTTGCCTCCTTAATAACGTCTAGTTTTTCCTCTGCATCTGGCAATTTTTGTATTAATTTTTGCACTGAAATCGCACGTTTCCAACAACTAACAAGATAATCAAAAGGTCGATTAGGCGATGGCATTGAAAGACGTGCAAGAATTACTCTATCAAGCGTATCAATTGAAATTACCGGTTCTTCATATTAGACATGTAAATATTCAATTTAATTTTTCTTTTACCCAACGATTCATCGATCAGTTCTTGTCGAAGATTTGATAAAAACATATAATTCGGGACCTTCAAATGACTCTCTAGCTGTAAAAATATTCATTAAACTCCTTCCAAATCATTCATTTCATATTATTACATCTAACGTCACTTGTAATATTTTACTTAATGTTGATGATTCCCATGCAACAAATTCTGATTTATCCTCTTCTTTAATAGTCATCCTGTCCGATATTTTAATACTATTTTCTCTACTATTTATCTCCAATTCTTCTTTAATTTTTTGATCTTTTTCTCTTAATTCCATTAAGATCCTGCTTAACGTTTTTTAATAAAAACTTAAATATAAATCTTTATTTTCTTAATATTTCTAATAAAATGTTAAGACTGAATGTTAAAAATTAGTTTAAGAACCTTAATATTTCCAAAATTTATCCTTAAAACTTAACTGGACGTCTATTTTCCGGAGGTCGATTTTCAAGGTCGGCAGTCGAGTAAAAACCCAGACTAGTCGAGCAGGTAGAAGGAAGAAATAAAATACAGTAAGCGAGTAAAGAGGAGGTATTTTTGTATAATTTATATTTAAACCGAAAGATAAATATGGTGATTAACGAAGAATAATATTGTTTCGAGATGGACCAACGCCAATATAAAGAATTCTAATGCCAAGAAAATCTTCAATGAATTTGACGTATGCTTGTGCTTGTATAGGCAATTGATGGAATGAAGTACAGTTGCATGTTTTTGTTAACCAACCAGGCAATGTTTTGTATTCGACATCAAGATTTTTGAGAGTTTTTAAATCAGCTAAAAAAAATGAATAAGAAAGAAAAGAGAGGAATATATTGACCAGAAATGTATGGGATTTCTTTATTATTAATTTTATATGCAATGCCGATTTTTATTTCTTTTAGAGTATCTAAGACATCGAGTTTTGTGATCATAAGACTATTGACGATAAGAAAAATGAAGGAAAAAATATAATATAAACCTTGAATAGCCATTGACCCAATTTGAATACCGTACAAGTACAAGATCAAGCCAACCGCATCTTCTTTTTCTGCCTGTTGTAACACCCCATTCTAAACCTACTTGTTGAAGATGTTCACCTATATTCTAAAAAAAAAAAATGTTATATTTGCAATTGATAAAAATATTTAATAATTACATCGAAAAGTTCTGTCGGAAATGGACCATAACCTACACGTGTTGTGTATGCCTTCATAACACCGATAACATTCTTAATACTTTTTGGAGGAAGACCTAATCCTGTACATACCCCACCAATCGATGTATTAGAACTTGTAACATATGGATATGTCCCATAATCGATATCAAGCATTAATGCGTTTGCTCCTTCAACAATAATTCGTTTTTGTTTTGTCATCATTGATTGTATAAAATATACTGCATCTACTACATAAGATCGAAGCTTTTCCGCATATTCCTATGATTCTATTCAATTCCTTGACTTCAATATAATGCATTGGCCTCTTTTACCCTGTATTTATTTAATTCTTTTTCTACGTCAAATTCAAACGGTCCATATCGGCGTTTATATGATTCATAATTTTCACGAAAAAGACGCTCAAATTCTGAAAAATCATATAAATGATGTACTCTAATCCCATTCCGTTCCGCTTTATGACTATACGCCGGTCCAATTCCTTTTTTTGTCGTACCAATACTATATTCCCCAAGTTCAAGCTCTTTTAACTCATCAATTACTTGATGATAATCAAGAACAAGATGAGCTCGATCCGATACAAAAATACGATTTTTCGTACAAATTCCTTTCTTTTCTATAGCTTCCAATTCCGAAAAAAATGATGGAATATGTATCACCACTCCCGATCCAATTAAATTTAGACAATTCGGACTCGTTATTCCCGATGGAAGAATATGAAAATTATATGTCTGATCCCCGATAACAATTGTATGTCCTGCATTATTCCCTCCCTTCTAAAATTTAATCTTTTTCTTAAAAATTCCTTCTAAATATTATTACTTGGCAACGTGCACATAAGTCTGCTTCTCCTGATAATATATCCACAAGTTTTCCTTTACCTTATCTTTATTAGTCCTCAAAAACTCTACTTCTTTCATGAAACTATAAACCTTCATCTCCCCATTGAACACCAAGAATAACCGTAACCCTTAATTTTATTAGCATATATGCTATAATATATCTTTAAAATCCCCTTTAAACTTACCCTTCCTCGACTTTTCCCCTCATCTCCTTCTCATCAACTTGTTGGTTCATTCAATCAACGGATCCAACTGATTCTCGTCACGTGATATATCACGTGACGTTAATTAGTAGTAAACGACTCGTATAACTGGTGGCTCCGCCGGAAGTGATGGCCTCGATTTCCTCTGGGGTTAGAAGACGTCTATGAAAATGTATAGGAAGAGAAGATATATTAATTGATAGTTCTTTAGAAGTATCAGCAGGTGGATTTTTGTGTGTTTGAGGAGTTATAAAACGATTTTTTCCTAAGAAGCGAATAAGAGGTCGATGTATATGCATAATATAATTTTCGAGTAAAGCGAGGGTTAGTGTAGGAGGAATTCGATAGTGATAAGCAGGTAAATAATATATTTGAGGAGTTTATGGAAGAAATAAGAGGAAAATAGGAGGAATTGAGCTATTATAGGACGCATATAATCCTTAAATAATAGGTATAAATGGGATTTAATGGGTTAAATGTATATAATTTGTTTATAGATCTATGAGTATAGGGAAATTGACGCATATAATTGGGGGAGTTAATATTGTATGCGAATTATTATAGAATATTTGTGTGTTTAATTGTGGATAATTTTATTTTGGAATGCAAGAAGTCTCTCTTTTTTCTGGAATTAGTGTTGATAAAAGGGAGAAAGTGGTTCGATTACTTGAACAGCTTACAGGTAGAAAGCCTCATGAATTTAAGGAGTGGCATTTGGTGTATGCACCGCCAGGTAAGTGAGAAATGGCGCGAAGAAGATTGTGGATGTATGTAAGACGGGGATATAAAGGAGATGTAGCGGAGATATAGCGCATATATAAAGCATATATGACGCATATATGACGCATATATAAAGGATATATCACGCATATATAAAGGATATATAGAGCATATGTGACGCATATATAACGTATATGTGACGCATATATTCGGTAAAAATCTCTATACACTCTGGAATATCCACTTTCATATCTATATATCATGTTAAAGGCATGATTTATGCATATATTTGAATTTGCGCCTATTATATTTAAATACATTTCTTATAATTTATTTTATAGCATCTTCAGATTCAGATTCTACATTTTTAGCACGACCTGATCTGTATCTTCGACTTAGTGCATCCTTGACCAATAATTGTAATGTTAACAATCATATAAATAATGATTTTATTTCGACGTCTAATAATACGTCTACGTCTAATAATACGTCTAATACTTTGACACAATTTTTCTCATATGATTGGTATTTTTTATTTGTCTTTATATAGTTTTTAATACTTTTAGGAAGATATCACTTGTTGATGTACCCGATATGGGTATAAAACGTCCTGTAACATCTCGATTATACCTTCAATCGCATGTTTTATCTGGTAATGTGTTTACATTTCTTCAAGAACTTGATTATGTGTATGATTAAAGGCTTTTAATAATCAAGATTTATGAAATTAGGTTTCATTTTGAATATGTTATGCAAGGTGTACAATTTATATATGGAAATTGTATATTAATTTTGTTTCAAACATTACGTGTGAGTTTTATATATGTAAATGTTATAATTATTTATGAAATAGCCTTTAGAGAAACATTTATTGGAAGATTTGGTACAGGTAGATGTTTCCGGTGGATGGATACTTCAGGCATCAGTTTATGTAGAAGATGCAAGTGATCAGACACTTATGACTCAAGCGACGGATAAATTGGCTCAAATACGTAAGATTTTGAATGGTATATGTCATCTTGAGCCAGTAACCGATAATCGATTAAGATGAGTATAATTTTATAATAAAATAGCGATTGAGTTTTGTTTTTTTTTTCTGCACAATTTTATGTATGAATATTTATCAGTTATTGGTTTGGGTAAATTTTTATTTTTTCGCCTGAATGATATATATTGATTAGGTGTTTGTATAGATTAATTATATTTTGGATACTAAGTCTATGAATCAGCTTGTTTTGTTTTTGGCATGGCTGTAATTATAAAAATCTTCAAAATGATTTGTAGATCATAGATATATATTGTATCTTTAGTGTTTTTTATGAATAATAAAAAATATATGGTTTTTTGAGGTAAGATTTCTTTATTTATTATTAAAATTGAGATTTAGTGAAATAGAAGTGTTTTAGATTTGCGATTAGTAGATTGGTATCGATCGAGAATTAGTAAAACATTTATTCTTGTACAGATTATGGAATTGGTCAGTTTTTGATTATCTAGAATGACCTGGTTAAATCTTATCGAACGTTGGAAAACGCCTATAGTTTTTATCTCAATGTCATGTTCGCCATATGTAAATCTTTCGTTCGAAAATTATTTATTTCATAATCATTCAGCAAGTGCATTATTATTTCTTTATCGTAATGATAAATCAGTTATTATTGGGCGTAATCAGAATCCATGGTTGGAGGTAAACCTAAAATATTTGGATGAGAAAGGGATTTGCTTAGTACGGCGTTATTCTGGTGGTGGCACTGTTTTTCATGATCTTGGTAATACGAATTATTGTTTAATGACATCACGAACACGATTTGATCGAAAGACAACGTTAAAAATGGTTATAAATGCTTTAGCATTGGCGGACAAACATGTTTCTATGAATAAACGATATGATTTAGTATTTGGTCCAGATGCTTTAAAGGTTTCTGGGTCTGCCTTTAAGATATCTAAAGATCGTGCATATCAACATGGGACAATGTTGCTTAATACTGATCTTGTGTCCTTGGAAAGTCTTTTAAAGATACCAAAGAGGATAATTAACGCAAAGGGTGTACCCAGTGTGCGTAGTATTGTGGGAAATCTTGGTCTTAATCATGAGGATTTCTGCCATTATTTATGTCATGCATTTGAGGATACATATGGTTTAGGACAAAAGGTGCCGGTTCATTATGTTTTAGAGGAAGAAATATCCATTGTTGATGATATTCAGAAATGTGTTGAGGAAATGAAGGTTGCTTTTCCTTTTTTTTTAGTTTTTTATTTTAATATTTGACAGAAATGGTCATGGATTTATGGGCAAACACCTGAATTTACCAATCATTTAGCATATACATTTGATTGGGGTCATGTTGTAGGTTTTTTATATAGTAGGTAATCCATGCTTAATCGTATAGAATGTTCATATAGTATGCAAGCGTGGATTGTTTTCTCATGTTTATCTAGAAAATGGTTCAAATTTATCTTTTCTTCAAGAAGTATGTCATGCATTAATAGGTCGTCGTTATGTACCAGATGAGGTACGTTCTCTTTTGCATACTATGCAAGTTTTGCCTGGTTCGAAACAAATGTCACTTCAATTCTTAGAATGGCTAGCTGATTCTATTTAAACATGTATATTATTCATTGTTTTTTTTAAAAAAAAGTTTATATGGTTAGATTTAGATGGACTGATTTCCAAACATTTTAATTGAATTTAAATATGCTGCTTCTGATACTTTTTCTATGCTTAAACCTTTCAAATGAGAGACAACACATGCTACTTGAATAATGGTGCATGGTTCATTTCGTCCTCTGACCATTTTTCCTGAAATGAATTTGTCTTTTTTTTCTGCACAAAATACATAAGACGTATCTTTAATATATGGATATGAAGCATGTGTAGGAGAAATACTACACCAAGGTGCATCTAATTTTTTTCAGTATTTTTCCTCTGGATCAATCATGAATATTAAAAAAGATTCACCTGTTTCAAGCATTAAATATTCCAATGGTATTTCTTTCACAACTTTTAGGTTTTCTTCTGTCTTTAGGCTACAACCATTTACACCAATGGATAAACCCAATGATATATAATGTTGCATTTCTTCAAGTGTACCTGTAAAGCTATGAACACAGCCTTTTCGAGGCAATTGAGGAAGATATGGTGAAAGAATAGCTATAAAGTCATCCGCTGCTGCACGGCTATGTAGAAAAAGAGGAAGATCAAGTTTCGGTGCAATAGATAATTGTTTTTCAAAGTATCTATACTCATTTTATCAGAAAAAATTAATTTATTCAATAAATTCGACTTAGTTTGCAATTCTTTAGATGCATATCCAAGTCTATCATAATCAAGGCCAATCTCTCCGAATGATACTACTTTTCCTACTTTTTTTCCAAAAAGTGCAAGTTTATATATTTCTTTTAAATATTCTTCTGGTCCTTCTGGATATTTTTCAAATTCTGTCACACGAGTTGGATGACATCCTACTGTAGATGTAAAATTACAATATTCTTGGGCCAATTCAAATGCTTCTTTAGAATCTTTTAAACATCCTCCTGTTATCATCATTTCACAACATCCTACTTCTTTTGCACGCAATAATATTTCATTAAAATCATTTGGATGGACTTTTTTCTCCCTATATATTCCTCTAAAGACTGGATCTGTTGCGTTAAATCCTATATCAAAATATCTCTGCATATTTTTTAAACTTCTAGAAAGGTTTGCTAACTTTATCATATAAAATATTTCCTTCAATTATAATTTATAGATATATTGATCCAAATAACAATATTCTCTAACAAATAGTCTTCTTTCTTGGTTTCTTTTAATATATTATCTCTGGATATTTATCTTTTGCTAAAGGAATACACTATTCTATACAGAAATCTTTTTAAAAATAGGCTATTTGATGCTAATAATATGATCTCTATTATACAATAAGTATCTCTCTGTATTTTATATCATCTTATATAACATACTTATAGATTTATTTTTTTAAACCTATATCTACCAATACAGAATATAATGGTCATATATATATATATACAAAATACTCGTTAAACGCTTATTTTACGTCTTATATTATGTTCTACATTAATATCTAAGTCATTTTTCTGGTTCTCTTCTCTTAATTCTATTCAATCATATTTATATTCAAAAAATCTCTCTCATTACTTGGTTTTTTTCAATTATCAACAAATTATACAAACTTTTTCTTCTTAATCTTTTCAAATATATTCTTTCTCTTCAAAACTATCCTCTCTTTTTATATTATTCAAATTTATTGGTTTTCTATTCTTCACTTATTTCTTAAGGCTTTTTATCATTCATGAAAATATTATTAACTGGCTTATGGCTATGTTTCTTTCATTCAATACTTACCGTCTGTCAATATGCTGCTGTATAATCTTAATATTTATATCTATCTCCTAGTTAAGGCTCTTTAATCGAGGTCTTTTTCAACCGGTAAATTTATCAGCAAATTTAAAGCTGGAGCTGAACCGTTTTTAAGGTGGAATGGAAGTAAATAAAGATGAAGCAGAACGGTATGTTTTATAAGGAAGAATAGTAGAAATATTTATGTTAAATAGGTGTTTTGAAATTGCTAAGAAAAGATGGAAAGAAGGAGATCATGAAGGAGCTATTAAATTTGCTAAGAAGTCAAGTTCATTATTTTCAACGGGAGAAGTTAAAGAATTTATAAGATTTCTTGAGAAATTATCAGAAAAAAAGGGAACAGAATCAAAAAAAGAAGAGACATTAGGTGGAAAAAAGGGAACCAGTGGTTCGGAAGGTTTTTCTAAAAAATCCGGGATTTCAAGGGAATCTAAGGGGTCAGAAGGGTCAAGCGGAAGTAGGGAATTTACGGCGAAACAGAAGGTCTTGTTTTTATATGGATTAGAAGGGTTTTTTAAACAAAAAATATAGGCAGTAGTAGATCGAGTTAGAAAATGTAAACATACGGCATATTATGAGATTTTGGATATTAAAAAGGAAGCGAATGATTCGGAAATTAAGAAATCCTATCGAAAATTAGCTTTATTACTTCATCCGGACAAGAATGGTGCGCCAGGAGCAGATGAAGCGTTTAAACGTATGTGAAATGGATGAAAAAAAAGGGTAGAAATAATAATAATAATAATATATATATAGTTGTTTCGAAGGCATTTCAGGTGCTTTCTGATCCTCAGAAACGTATGATATATGATCAATATGGTGATGATTTGGATTCGAGAGCATCTGGAGCAGGTTCTTCAGGATTTTCAAGAGCCGGAGGTGGGTTATTCGGGGAAGAAATTGATTCACAAGATTTGTTTAATATGTTTTTCGGTGGAGGAGGAAACTTTCCTTTTTCCGCTGGAAGTAAGAATTTAAATCAAATTTGAAATGGAAGAAGGATTAAAATGGTATTTTAGATCCTTTTGTTACATCATTTGGTGGTCCTCAAATAAGAATTCATCATTTCGGCGGTTCTGGTTGGAGAACTCGTACTAATAGGCAACATGGTCAATCAGGACAAGGATTATTTGGAATTTCAACTTGGATTCAATTATTACCTTTCATTATTGTTGTTCTTTTCTCGATTTTCTCATCTTTTGCCACTTTCTTTAATTCTGCATTTTCTTTTTTCGGCTCTGGTATGCCGTCTTATTCATTTACTCCTTCTCCACCTTTAACCGAATTACGTTATACTTATTATCATCATATTCCTTATTTCGTCGATCCATTAAAGGTTAATTCTTTGTCACAAGTTAAATTGTCCCGTCTTGATAAAAAGGTTGAACTCAATTATATCAATGCTCTTCGTATCAATTGTGAACATGAAATTGAAGAAAGAAAACGCAGAATGGAACAAGCTTATGGGTTTTTTCGAGTTGATAAAGACGCTTATGAAAAGGCTAAAAATATGGTTCAAGTATCTTGTAATAGATTAAGAGAATTAGGCATTCGGTAATGGTCTGTCTTCAAAAGGTTGATCCCCTTATCCTTTTCTTGTATATATAGATACACACCCTTTGCATAGCTCTTGTTGCCATGGTAACGCTATTCCTACACTACTCCTCTGTTTCTCTAGCAACACGTGTTTGTCAATCTCCTCGACATCGGTTTAAAATGAAGCTGCATCAGCTTTCAGATGCTCATCTTTTCTCATATTCAAAGGCTGTTTATCGTATGTTAATGCGTCTTTCAAAGCCTTCTTTGCTTCGTCTTGTTTTATTATGGCTTGATGATCCGTTTTGTATGACGTCTAAAGGCTCGGTTCAATCGGTACGCGATGCTTCAATATATAAAGAATGGGCAGGATCCAACACGGTTTCTCGACGGGATATCGTTGAACGTATAGTCAATATAGACTGGGTAAGTTTTTATTAGTATTTAACACGATTTATTGCGTTAAATATGCTATTTTTTTTTTTTTTTGAAACAATGAGGCTAACCCGTTTTCTAGAAGGCAGGGCTTTGTGCAAAGCAGATTGCCATGCTTGATATGCAATGTATGCGCCTATTTTGTTAATATATGCGTTATTTTTCTTATTATATGCGTTAGATATTTTTGATCATGCGACCGCCTTAAGATGGACAGCAAGGAAAATTAGTGGATTAGAAGGGGATATACGATGTATTATGATGTGTTTTATTTTATTTTATTTTCTTATATTTTTTTTTTTTTAATAGTGACGCCTTTTGATGGTGAAAGTATTGTTACGGCGCTTAGGAATGCATTGGATTCAGTATTTTTTAATGTTTATTGAAACCTTTATTGATGAAAGTGTATTTATAATGTTTAGCATATTTATTGGGAAAAGCATCCTAGATTGCCATTATTTTTGATTCGAATTCAGATCCAGGATGCTTTTGTGCGTGTTTTACCACCGCCAAGACGTATTTTTTATATGGCATTATCATTTGGTTCACCATTTTTGTTTCATACAATGATTCGAGATTCTTTACATGATATGTTACTTCAGGTGTGTTTTTTCATGGATTATATGTATGTTGAATGAATGAATAAATGGTAAAAGGCGATGGAGATTTTTTTATTTTTAAAACATCGACCTGTACAACTTTTCCATACGAATATGACGATTAGGAATATTGAAGCGATGGTAAAGCGTAAGGGAGCATCCAGGCATCCATCTGCATTAGGTGCATGGAGTATTTATGCGGAAAATGAGGTAGATACATCACCGATTGATCCTCAGGAAAAAGTACGAGAACCTATTCCAGAGGATGTTTTGGAAAGACAAAAGTATATTGCAGGGGTTCGTTTTGGAAAGGATTTGGATAAGATAGAAGATGCATTGGATAGATTGGCATTTCGATTGGAAGAAGTATGTATGGATGATGATGATGATGATGGAAAATCGGATATGTTTCGACCGAGTGTAACATTGGTTTTTGAGGGAGGAAATGTATTAGCAGGGTTGAAAGAAATGTGCGAAAAAGCGATTGCGAATGCGGAACAAATACCGAGCTGGTTAACCGGTGAAGATGGCGTAACAGAAGGTGTGATTTATAATGGGTTATCACAAACGATAAAATAATGTAATATCAATTTTGGACTGGGTAGAAGGAATATATTTTGCCAAAAGGCTTAAGAAGTTTATTTAATGATTAATGGAAGGGTATGATAAAAGTGATCGATTAATGATATTTTTTCTTATTGAGTAAGTGAAGGGCATTAAAAATGATTAATTATTAAGCATTATGATCATTGATAAAAGGCGTATTTTCCATATCTTCTGTGTCTGACGTTTCGATTAGACTTTCTTCATTCATAAGATGTGCAATTGTTTTAAATTTCGCTTTAGATTTGTTCCAAAGCGATTTAAATAATATTGGTGAACTTGTTTGTATCGATATAAGTTTGTTTAGGCGTTCTTCAAGTTGTAAAAGTTGTTGAATTATTCGTGGTTGGTTGCAAATAGTCCATTTCCAAATATCTGATCTACCATAAATCCGGCCAATATGAAACATTGTATTGTAACCTTTTTCGATCCCTTCAATACGACCTTCTATACGTGCACGAACGATACCATCACGGAAGCCTTGTTGATATCCGTCATGATAAAATCTATAAATCAGATGGGCAAGATCGGGATAAATTTTTGTAATAGTAAATACTGGTTTTCAATCCATAGCAATGAATCAAGGTCGATCTGCATTTGAATGGATTATTTTTTTATAGGATTTTTTTTTATAATTTTTTCATATGCGGTTCGGCTATTTTTTAGTCCAAGTGCTATCGATGATTAAAGGGTTATCTTTATGGATTTAAATTTAATTGCGTAAAGCATACGATACATCTATACATACATACATACATATATATATATTATTAAAAAGTATAAGATCGATTACATTTGATTTATTGCAATTTGGTTTTTAGAGATTCAAATTTTTGTTTGTTTGGAAAAATTAACTTTTTTATAGAAAATGGCTTTTGCAACGATTCAGATTCCCCCGGTGAATGATTCGTCATGTATATCTTCTTTTTTTAAGGTTATTCTTGCAATTAAAATCTATAATATTGATGCAGTCTTTTTTATTGGTAAAAAAAAAAATATTTTTCCTATTTTTATGCTTAAGATTAGGTGATTTACTTCAATGTATTGTCTCGGAAATGGATGTGGCTAAAAGTTTAAATTCAGCTGATCATATTGTTGAGTAAAGAAATAGGTTTAGATAAATAGTGGTAATGAGTATTAGATATTTTTATCAACAGAGTTCGAAACATTCATGTTTTTCGCAAGATAAATGGGAAGATATCTTTGGAAAAATGTCATTGGATGATACAGATGTTCTTGAAATAGATGAAATAGCAGCACGAGTATTAAAAGAATCGGATATAAACCATGTTTGTTTTTATCATGAAAAAAAGTAAATTTGTATTAATGATGAAAAGTCGAATGTTACTGGTATGGAGATTATCCTTTTTTCTAAGATTTTTTTCTTTAAAAAAAAGAGTATTGAGGATCATTGGGATTTGAAAGGGCAACTAGGCCAGTGGTATAAACGATTATCTGAAAGAGAAGATGTTTTAGAAGCAATTCGTGTAATGACAGAGTTTGTATGGAAAAAATAATGTATTGGTTTTTTCTTTATCTTGATGGATGTTATTTAGTCTGAAAAAAAATTGGTTTTTCCTGTCGTAGAAAATCCCGAGTGGTTTAAGGCTTTTGCCGATCCGAATCGAAGACTTAGAATATCATTACAGGTTCCTTTTTACCCGAAAGAACGGTAGCTCATATAAAGAAATGGTTTTATGCAATATTGATTGTTACAGTCTTCCAAAGAAAGGAGAAAAAAATATCTTAATTACGTCTGCATTGCCTTATGTGAATAATGTTCCTCATTTGGGAAATATTGTAGGAAGCGTGTTGAGTGCTGATGTGTTTTCAAGGTTAATTTTGACTATTTTGTTTTTCGTTTTTTTTTTTTTTACATCTTTTTTTAGATATTGTAAGGCTCGTTCTCTTAATACTATTTATATTTGTGGAACGGATGAATATGGAACTGCTACTGAAACAAAGGCATTGGAGCAGAATATTTCTCCTAAAGAATTATGCGATAAATATCATAAAATTCATAGTGAAATTTATAAATGGTTTGAAATCGAATTTGACATATTTGGTCGGACAACAACGCAAAAGCAGACTGAGTTGGATATTTTCTTTGTATTATTTTTGGTTAATAGATTTCTAGAATTGCTTCTGATATTTTTATGGATTTATATAGGAATGGATTTTTAGAAGAAAGGATGATGCGACAGCTTTACTGTGAAAAGCATAAAGGTTTCTTGGCGGATAGATATGTGGAAGGAATATGTCCTAAATGTTCTTATATTGTATCTTTTAATCGATAAAATTTTGTTTTTTTTTTTTTTTTTAATAAAAATAGGATGCGCGTGGTGATCAGTGTGATTCATGTGGTAATTTATTGGATCCTCTTGAATTAAAAGAGCCGAGATGTAAGTTGGATGGTGAAAAACCTGTTGAGAATGAAACTAGACATATTTTTATCTTGTTAAATAAATTGCAGCCAGAAGTTGAAGAATGGATTAAAGAGTCTTATCAAAATGGGAAATGGTCTTCTAATGGTATGATGATTACTTCAAATTTTTTGAAAATTGGTCTTGAGCCTCGATGTATAACCCGTGATTTAAAATGGGGGACGCCTGTTTCTCCTGAGGTACCTAATATGCAAGAAAAGGTTCTTTATGTTTGGTTTGATGCTACAATTGGTTATATTAGCATTACGGCAAACTATACTGAAAGATGGGATGAATGGTGGAAAAATCCAGAAGATGTCAAGTTATATCAATTTATGGGGAAAGATAATGTACCTTTTCATACGATTATTTTTCCTGCAAGTTTGATTGGTACAAGGAAAAAATGGACTATGCTGCATCACCTTAGTACAACTGGTAAGGTCTTTTTTTTCCCCTATCTTATTTATGATGAAAAAAAAAGAATATTTGCAATATGAAGGTGGCAAATTTTCAAAATCAAGGGGTGTTGGTGTATTCGGAAATAATGCTCGAGATACGAATGTACCGCCATCCGTATGGAGATATTATCTTTTAATTTCTCGTCCAGAGGTTTCTGATACTGTATTTTCATGGAAGGAGTTTATTCAAAGAAATAATACTGAATTATTAGCTAATCTTGGAAATTTCGTTAATCGTGTTGTTAAATTTGTCAATGTTAATTATCAAAGTATAATACCACATTACACTGAATATAATGATGACTCAAACGATGGTTCCGCCTTTATACAATTAGAACGCGACATTAACAAAATTTTGGCTCAATATATAGAAAACATGGATGCTGTAAAAATTCGTTATTCTTTAAGATTAGTTCTCGAATTTTCGTCTCGGGGTAATTTATTTCTTCAAACTAATAAATTAGACAATTCTTTGTTAAATAATAATCCCAAACTATGTTCTGATATAATCGGTTATATGGTTAATTTGATTTATTTAATTTCGGCATGCGTTTCACCATTCATGCCCTCAACTTCTAATTCTATCCTTCAACAACTTAATCTACCTCAAAAATGTATCTCTAACACTTGGAAATTCGATATTATGCCTGGTCATAAGATTCATAAAGCGTACTTATACTCTTATTATATTATTTATTAATTTTTTATAGTCAATATCTTTTTTCTAAAATTCCCGAAGAAAAGGAAACTCTATGGAGAAATCAATATGGTACTTGTACATAAAACACTTTCTTTTTCATTAAAAAAATACAATCAATCACTTTCTCTCATTCAAACATTCATTTCATATTATTTTCTTGTTATTTCATGCTAATTCGTACTAAATTATATCGACTTGATTTTATCGTATACTATTGCTTATCAGGGTTTAGCTTATTTCAAACCAGTTAGTCCTTAAATGTACTAGAATTAATCACGTCTTCAAGGAATATCGTGTTAGAGAATGTTAACTAAGGAATTAAGTTTTAAACGCGTTTTTAAAACTTAATATTTAAAATTTATTAATATTTATTAAGTTTAATATTGATATAATTAAGGTAAGGAGACGTTTTTATATATTGATATTTACATTGGAGTTAGTTTTGGTTATTTTTTAGAAGAAAAATTAGAGAAGAGCTCTTAGAAATTGACGTGTTTATTTGTATGTTTTAAAAAAGTTTTCTTGATTTATGTGGAAAGTAAAATCTATAATATTTTGGATATTTGAAATATCGTTATTGTATGGTGTTGAGGGGATTCCGATTCTTGGATATCCGGTTAATTCTCAGGTGCCACCAGTGGCACGGGTTTCTCTGCCGTTTCATTATAAATTTGCGGGAAATACGTTTTATAATATTCAAGGGTCTGTTAAATATTCAGTCGATAGGTTACCTTCATGGTTACATTTTAATGCGCAAGAGCGAACATTTTCAGGGACGCCTTCGAGAAGCGATATGGGAGCAATTAAATTTAATTTAATAGCGACGGATTCTACGGGATCAGCAACAAATCCAGTAACGTTTGTTGTGGTAGATTTCCCTGCTCCAACTGTTAGGATTCCAGTTTCTCAACAGTTAAGAATGCATGGTGTAATTGATTTGAATGGAGCATATGTTATTTTGCCGACTCAGTCATTTAGTTTTGTTTTGGATAGGAATACGTTTGATGCACGTAATACTAGAATAATGACATATTATTGTGTTTCAGGAGATAATACGCCTTTACCTTCATGGATTAAGTTTGATCCTAAAACTCTTCGAATATGGGGAACAGCGCCGCCTGTTCAATCTAGAGGAGTGCCTCCGTTGTATTTTTGGTTTAATGTAATTGCAGCAGACGTTCTTGGGTTTTCTGGAGGGGTAGCATCTTTTGGTATAGTTGTTAGTTTACATCATCCGCAATTAGGACGATCTTATTATCCCATAACAGCTGTAGTCGGAGAACCATTTGTATTTCCATTTCCTGCTAATTCATTGACGAAAGCAGGTGTTTCACTTTCGTCGTCAGAGGCTTTGCGTTTAAAGTATAGCATCTCTACATCATCTTGGTTATCCTATAGTAAAAATGACATGGCTTTTGTAGGAACTCCTAGTTCAATGGAATCGCCACATAATGTTATTCTTACGATTATGGATGGAATTTATGGAATTACAATCTTTATTAAAGTAAATACTGGTAATCGTAAAATTTTGCCAGAAATTATGCCAGGGCCCAGGCGAGAATCTCTTCCTAATTGTGCTAATGGTAATCCTTTGTGTTTTACAGCGATTCCAAGTGCACCTCCTAAAAATCCAAATCCAAATCCAAATCCAAATCCAGAAAATAGAGTCTCTACATTACCGAATATAAATGCGAGAGTCGGAGAGTTTTTTTCATATAGAATTGGTGATCCTTCTTCTCTTTCTAATAATGATAGAGTCGAATTACAATATAGTCCAAGCGATGCTTCAAATTGGTTGAATTTTAATAGGGAGACCATGAGAATTAGTGGTATCCCTCGAGATGATGGTACTGTCAATGTAAAAATCCATATTGCTTATGCATCCGGTCGTTCTCGTGATCAATTTTTTTCAATTCATATTGATAAAGGTAAGTTTTTGTTCTGTGATGATAATAGATGAACCATGATAGGTGATGATAATGATGATGATGATGATGAAACTATGGAAAGGAAAGATTTAAAATGGCTTATTGTTGGTGCAGTTGGTTTTGTTTCTCTTTTTATTCTTCTTCTTTTTTTATATTTTTGTGTACGAAGATCTAGGAAACGACGTTCTTCTACTGATCATAGGTTTATTTCTCGTCCAATTCCACCAGATTCTCACTATGGGCAATGGCCTACTATGGATGAAAAAACATGGGATGAACCTCACAGACTTTCTGCATTTAATATTTTTAAATCGACAAGTGCAAATGGTCTCTCTGGATTTGTTGCTGAAGTTAAAGAAGCTCCTGATAATACAAAATCTTCTTTAGATCCTGATAAAAAATATCATAAAATAGATGTTGTTTCTCCTTATTCGATTCACGTTCTTCCTGTCAAAGACGAGCCTACTAAAAAGTCTTCTGTTTTCGTCTCAAAGGGAAATATGCATCCTGCCTCTAATAATTCTGACGTTTCGTCTTATTTACCTACAGGTCCTCCAGGATATGGACAACCACATCGCTCATGGCGTAGAACTGCTCAGTCTAGTCTTTTTTGGCCTGCTAGTAGTGCTTACGATGGATCAGTTGTAGCTTCTGGCTTTAAAGATTCACAAATAAATGAACCATATAGCTTACGATTGGTAAACGACTCTATAACTCATTCTGATGATTCTTCTGGCGTAATTAGTAATGCAATGACATCAAGCACTTCTAATAATTCTTCAAATGATTTATCAAGAAAGACTAGTGACAGCAAAATAACTCTTGGTTCTTATTCTGAAGATTCAATATTATCAAAGGCTGGTGTAAATCATAATACTGATGATAACGATACACATCTTCACAGAAAAAATGATACATATTCAAGAGTTCGTCCATGGTCTGCACATATAAGTGAAAGAGATTCTATGGATAGTCTCAGTTTAATGAGTAGCGAACATTCAAGAAATGAATTTCTATGTGATGAAACTGATAATCCATACACTACTTATCTCAACGATCATAATAGACGTTCTCGGATTATTAGAGGAATCTCTGACTCCGATCCTCTTCAAATTCATATTCCAACAAGATTACCTCCTTCTGTACACACTTCTATACAATCTTCTACAAAATCTGACTTATCCTCTTCTCTTTCTGATAGGAAAACTCCTATATTAGTTAAACCAACTATGCTTGATCGTCCAAAATTATTCGAATATTCTCGTTCTAATAGGACAAATATTCATTCAACACATTCACATACTCCTTCTCGTGATCTTTCTTCTAAAATCGCATTTGTATAACATTAACTCTTTAGATATAGCTTATATTCATATATTCACATATTCAAATGTTGTAATCTTTTTATTTACTTGTATTTAATTAACTTTATATTTACTTTATCTCTCTTGCCATACTCTCATATATCTTGTATATAATACTTGGTCTAAATTATACTAAGTATAGTTGTCATACCAACTGTTACCCTGCCAACTGTTACCCTGTCGACTGTTACCCTGTCGACTGTTACCATAGCTACCGTCGTCATAACTACGGTCGTCATAACTACAGTCGTCATACCAACGGTTGCCGTGCCAACCTATCGACCGTCTAGATTCCCAACTCGACAAGAAAAAAGACAAACTTAAAATTTGATATTTTTTGTGAGTATTTTTAATGAAAAAAACGGCTTTTTTTAACCTATTTTTTAGTGTTTTTTTAGGTGATTTTTTTCTTTTATTTTCTACTATTTTTTATCGCAAAAAGTGGGTTTTTTTTCCATAATTTTAGATACATTTTTCTTGTTTTTTGATGCTTTTGATTATCATTAAATTGCATAAAGAATGGGGCAAACATTGAGTGAGCCTATAGTAGAGAAACGCTCTCAGAAAGGAGGAGATGATACGTTATTGTTTGGAGTTTCAGATATGCAAGGATGGCGTATTTCTATGGAAGATTCTCATGCGGCAGTACTTCAGTTAAATAGTGGTTCTGGAAAGGATAAAGTGAGTTTCTTTGGGGTTTATGATGGACATGGAGGTATTATAAATGTATTTATGGTTTTTTTTTGGTTTAGAATGGGTTAGGGGATGCAGTGGCACAATTTAGTGGAGAACATGTTCATCGGATTATATCTCAAGATACATCATTTATTGCAGGGGATTATGAAAAAGCGTTAAAAAATGGGTTTTTAAATACAGATAAAGCGATTCGTGAAGGTATATAGAGAGTTTGTGGGGGGATATAGTGGATTTATTGGGAGTGTAGAACCGCGATTTAAGGAAGATCCGTCGGGTTGTACGGCTTCTGTTGTATTAATAACGGGTGATGGACGTGTTTTTTGTGTATAAATATGAAAATTTTTTTGCAAGATATCTGAGTTAGATTAGGCGAATGCGGGTGATTCAAGATCAGTTCTTTGTGTTAGAGGAGAAGCAAAGCCTTTATCATTTGATCATAAACCTCAGAATGAAGGTATTTATTTTGTATTTTTTTTTTATCTTATTTTTGTTAGTGGAAAAGGCTAGAATTTGTGCTGCTGGTGGATTTGTTGACTTTGGGCGTGTAAATGGTATGATAAATAGTTTTTAGAAATTAGTTTTATAATATTTTATAGGAAATCTTGCTTTATCTAGGGCTATTGGTGATTTTGAATTTAAGAAAAATGCAGATTTACCACCAGAGCAACAGATTGTTACAGGTAAGATATATTAGGTTTTTTTAGGGAAATATTATTACTTAATAGCATATCCTGATGTTACGGAGCATCAATTAGATGAGGATGATGAGTTTCTTGTACTTGCATGTGATGGTAAATACAATGTTTTATAAATTTTATGTTTTAAATGTATTTATTAGGTATTTGGGATTGTCAAACGTCTCAAGCTGTTGTAGAGTTCGTAAGAAGAGGAATTTCTGCGAAGCAGGAATTACATAAAATTTGTGAAAATCTTATGGACAATTGTTTAGCGAGTAGTAGTGAAACAGGAGGTTTAGGATGTGATAATATGACTGTAATTATTGTTGGATTTCTTCAAGGGAAAACGAAGGAAGAATGGTATGACATGATTGCAAAACGTGTTGAAAATCAAGATGGGCCTTGTGCACCATTGGAATATGGTAGATTTTTTTTGTTTGTTTTAATTAAGATTAATCGTTAACTTTTCTATAGCAGAATTTCGTGGTTCAGGGCATGAATATGATCATTGGAATCATAATCAAGTAGAAAATTGTTATGAGGAAAATGAAGAAGATGAAACGAATAATGAAACAAGTGTACCCTTTGAAAAATCTTGGATTTGGTCATCTCAATCTGATTTTAGTTTTGGATGATAATTCTTACCTCTTAATCGATTATGAATTACTACTCGAAACTATCAATTATATGATGGTATCTAAGGATATGCATGGTATAAAATATTAAAAATCATGAGGAAATAAGCAATTTGTGAATTCTTGATTTGTTTTCTAAAAAGGAATTTATTTGTAAATAAATGGTTTTTTCGGCGCCAGTTTTTAATGATTTCTGCTATTTTTTGTAGATATGAATGTTAATAATTTTATCTGATTTTTTTTGTTAAATTTTATTTTTTAGTTTGTATTTTTATGTATTTGTATTTTATATTAAAAATGTTATAAAGAAACTTGTTTTCATGATAATGTTGTATCGAGTAATTTATCGTCCAATTCCTCGATTTTTTCATGTTGCTTCCTCACGACATGATTTTCTTACTTTGGCATGTTCTGGGTTACAAACAGTACATTCTTTAGGAATCCCTTGGTGGGCTACGATTCCATTAAGTACATTGCTTTTGCGTACTGCTATAGTGCCTGTTGTTCTTTGGTCAAGAAATAGAATGATTCGATATATATATATTAAGCCGTTGATTGAAGCATGGAAATGTCAAATTGAAAGATTTGATAATATTAAAAATAAGAAAGTATAAATAATTGAATAGTTGTTATAAAAATGTATTGATGATTTAAGTTTATTGAAAAAAGAAGTGAACTTTTTCGTCGTCATAATTGCCATCCTATTGGATCGATAGTTATGCCTTTTATACAATTTCCATTATTTTTGACAATGACATTTGCATTACGTAGTATGACTGGCTGGTCAATCCCATTATTTCCAAAACCAGATATACCTATGGATGTTTCATTGACATATGAAGGAATAGCATGGATGCAAGACTTAACGGCTCCAGATTCTATTGGATTTTTGCCAGTTTGTTTAGGTTTGATTAATCTTATAAATATTGAGGTTTTTTTTTGAAAAAAAATATTGCTTTTTTAATGAATTTCAGTTAAATATTTATTTTTATAAAGAAATGTTTTTTGCTTCGACATTTATGACACGTTTTGCACAAATTAATGCACTAATTTCTATTTTTATTTCAATGCAAGCACCCACAGTAATATACAGTCGTTTAATGTGTATTTGTTAATGATTAATAGGCATTATGTCTATATTGGATAACTTCTTCTTTATTTTCGGTTGTACAAAATGCTGTTTTAAATGTAATAATACCTTTACCTCGTTCTTTTATGATGCATTTTAAGAAATAAATTGGAAAAAATTAAGATTCTCTAAATTGAGTACGATAGATACGTTCACGTCTATGAGTTTGCTCATATTTTAAGAGAATATCCATAATATCTAACCAACGGTTATGAAATGTTTCTTGTGAGAAACGTATAGATGATTCTCTAGCTCTTTTCCTCATAGAATCTATGTCTTCTTGGGACATTGAAAAAATATCATTGAATGCTTTTGCAAAAGAAGATGGTGTAGAGGCATAATATCCTATAGATAATAAATAAATATGCTATGATTATTTTTTCGAATTGCTACCTGTTGGTTTTCCTTTATAGTCTACAACAATATCAAGTTTGGGTCCACCTGAGTCATGTATAACAGGAATAAGTGCTGCTGCCATATATTCGACAATAGCTATTCCGAAATGTTCATTCCACATTGTATTAACTCCAATCCATGATTTTTTAAGCCATATGACTATTTCTTTCCAAGATAAATTATGAAAAAACAAAACACGATCATCAATTTCTAAATGTTTTGCCAAAGCTTTGAGTGAATCAATATATGGTTCATCATTTTCCCTTACAGATCCTATTAAAATTAATTTTATTGCAGAATCTCTCGTTTTAGGATATGTATCAAGCATTGTTTTAAAGGATTCCAATAAAAGTTTATGATTTTTTTCTTTTCTGAATTGTGCAATGTAAAGAATTAACTTTTCACGTTCAATTTTCTCGTCCATATTAGAATCATATAATTCTTTTATATTGCAAGGAGGATATATAGTAATTGTTTCTTTTTTTTTCCATAAAGATTCTATATGAGCTTGTGTCCAACTTGAATTTGTTATGACAAGATTTGCATAATGGCCACAAAATGAATAAGCCAATGCAAACATTCTCCAGTAAATATTTTTTAGAATTCTTTTATTAGATAATTTTGATATCATATCTTGAGATATTGTAGGATAATGAACATAGGCTATAATAGGAATATCTAAGCATGATGATATAAGAGGATATGTAAAAGCATATCCCATTGTATCTTTATATGTTATTGTTCATAAACTTCAATTTATATATATTTACCTATAAAAATATTTGGAATACACTTATTTATTGCTTCATATGCTAAGATTAATGAACCTAAAGATTGTCCTAATAGTGTAACATATGGCCATCGTTCTGGTGATACATAATGTCGTTTATATAAATATATAAATTGTATTCTTTTTTCATCCAATTCTATTTCAAATATTTCCTTAAGATATTAATAACTCTTTAATGACAAATTCAATAGTGTACTTTTGTTTTTTTTAAAATTTCCTCTTTTTTAGAGTTGATGTCCCCTGTATATACAACACATATAATATGTGAATATTCACTTTGAATCGCTTTAATTGCCGTCCATAAGACACGTTCACCTCCTCCACCTGCATTACAATATGGATGAAAAAATCCTACAATAATCGGACGTTGTGACATATTTAGTTCAAACTTTGCCTCTGAAATAAACTGGTTTTTTATTTTCTTTGATTTCTCATGAAGTCTTTTATAAGTTTTGTAAGATAAGATCTTAAGAAATATGTAAATAATTAAAGGAATAAGAATTATAACAATAATAATAATGGATATTAAAATTGCAAATTTATCATCAAATTTATCTAATTTTTCAAGAATAAATTCTGAAATAAAATACATTATTAAAAAGTCCTGTTAACAATATAAGTCTTATATTAATCAAGAGTTTTATACTTTTTTATAAAATTTTATTATATTTTTATAAAAATATGTTAAAAGGGTGTTAATCGTTATTGATAAGATTTAAGTAAAATATAGTATTATATTGAGAAATATTTAAAGATGTAAAAATAAAGAAACCATATAAAAGATTTATGAAATCCATAATACTTTAATTCTATAAAAATGATTGATTAATAAATATAAAAGACAAAAAATAATAAAAGTTAAGAAAATGTATTTTGTTGAATTAAAAAATGTTTAAATGATGAATCCTAATATTTTCAAAATGACTAAAAAAGAAATCGGTTTAATGAATTTAAAGTTATATTTTTCAAACGTCTATATCTAATAAAAAATCCAAACCATAAAGTGATTTTTTTTAAAGAAACTAATGAAAAATGTATTGGTATATATATTTCAAAACATCTAGTGCCGATATAGTGTAAAACAATGTAGTTAAATCCCATCATGTTGTAACTAAAAATAATACATAAGTATATATTTGATATTGTAATAGATTCAGTCCAATTTATGTTTATTTGTGTGAATTTATGCCTAGTATTGTAATCAAAAATAAGTGATTTTTTAAAAAAATATTTAGTTAAATAATTTGTTTCATTAATGGATTTATTGTCCAATCGTAAGGAAATTAATATTATAATAGCTCTTTCTTGCGTCAGAATTCTGATACATCTTTTCAGTAATAAATATATCACTACCTGTATCATTTTTTATTTGATCATTTTGTTGTGAAGATTGAGAATGCGTTTTTGGCTCTAAAGCAAGTGATCTTCTCCAGAGCTCGGCCACATTATTATGTCCTTTTGTACGTATACGCGATATTTGCAACTCAATCCATGTTTGTAAGCCTTCAACAAATTCAAGTTTATATGGCTCCTGAAAATGTTGGAGTTTAGAAATTATAGAGTAAATTCTTTTAAATGTTATAAACATTTTTATAATATAAAAAACTTACTTGATATATTTATCGTAGTTAATAAGTTGAATAGAATGCTTGACTGCTGAAGAACCCCTAAAAGGACGATATGATGGATTTCCTTCTTCAATAAATGTGATATCTGTTAAAATCAAACCAAGAAACGGTAGGCACGGCGGTATATGCTCCTTTAAACGAGACCTGTAAATTGAATAATTACGAGAATAATCCATTATAGATCGAAAATTTTCAAAAATGTTTTTTGATTTTGTAGATAATGTGTTCCATGTTTTTTTTAAACGAGATATGGTAGACAAATTTAAAGCACTAAGAATTGCCATTAATGTATTGTAATTATTTAGCTCTAAGCATTTGTTTCCTATTTTTATCCATTGTTTTAATACATGAGCACGTTTTTTTATATCGTTTTGGGATAAGATGCTTTCTGCAACCCAGCCAGCGATATCCGTACTTAAAGCAGCCATTGCTTTAACAGTTGTATATGCATCAGTTTTTCGTGAGGTTTTTAATTTAATTAATTCTTCTGGCATGATTAAACAAAATAGTTTAGATTCTTTTAGAGTAAGCTGACGAGCAATTTCAAGAGGATCAAAATCGGTTATACTAAAAGCATCTGGATTATCATTTAATGATGTAGTCCTTAATTGTGTAAGTAAGTTTTTCGAAATAATAGCAGGTGGCATAGAAAAATCTGAACACAAAGATCTATTCGACGAATTATATAATCTCTTTGAGATATTTGAAAAATGGCCATTTGATGCAGTTTTGGAAAGAACCTTACTAATCAACTCTTCTAGACGCGTACTTACTTGCGGAAGATATTTGATAAGACATTGGGAAATAAAATCTTTAATAATATCAAGAGCATCCTCGTCAGAATCTTTCTGCCAATAACCTTCTATCCAGGTCTTAAATACATTATAGACCCTTAATCTTACAGGTCTAGCATAATACTGATCCCAATCACAATCAGCATTGATTGGCTTATTGATAGGGAATCTTTCTACCAATGCTATAGCAAGATCACGAGGAGTAGTAAAAAGACGAAATGTGAGGTAAAAAGTACATGAAAAAATGGCATCTGGTGCTGCATCATGCAAAGTCATTCTTTCCACCAGTGCATATAAAGATGCGCCAATAACCTGTGAAAAATTAATTATAAAATAAAAAAATACCAATTCAATATACCTGTCCTTCCTGGTTGAATAAAATATGTTTCGAGTTTTTCTCTTTTTCTTTGGAAGTATTATCTAACTCAATAGGCTCAGGACTGGTTGCAGGTGAACTTATATGCTCTGTATAACTAGATGTGATAGAAAACCTTTCACTACTAGCAAAGCTAGATGCCGTTCCACTAGGAAAATCTTGGAGAATCTTCAATTTATTGTCCGATGCTGTTTTTTCATTACATTCTAAAGCAGATGGATATGAATGAGATAATATAGGAGATAATTTTGTAGATAATAAATGAGGCAATGCCGAATTCTCCCTAAAACATTTGCCAGGTTCCTGTCTAATATCTAATTCTGTATCATTGCTTATATAAGAGTGACTTTCATGATTTATAGATTCTTGACATGACATTTCAGAATAAGACGGTAAATGTTCGTTTTGATGTTTGTTTAAGATATTTAATATGGGCTTCTGAGATTGAGAAGTAGGAAAAATATTATGCGGTTTACATGTTCCCTGGCGCAACTTATTTTCATGTGAAATTTGTGAATTCTTGAAAGAAAATGCACTAATTGGTAGTAATTGCATGTTGTTTTTTTGTTTAGAGAAGAACATAGGAATATTAAAATCTCCTGTTGTCCTAAGGATAAATTTCGCTTTAGTGACACATTGGCCTGCATCATGAACACAACTTGCAGCAGAATCTATTAGTTGTTTAGATTCTGATTCATCGATAATGCTTTCTTCATTACTATCATTCGAAGTAGAATAATGAGTTGCGATTACTTTTTTTGCAATGGCTATAAAAGATATTGTTTTCGAATTAAAAGCCTCTTTTGCAATGTATAGTTGTGTATTCGGATGTTTAGTTGAAATTTGCTCAATAACTGAGATAAGTTTTTGAGCAGCATAAATACATTGTTTAATTGTATTAAGAAGTTGACTAGATGTATGAGAATGCAAGTGAAGACGACCAATAAGTGATGCAAGACCAGAAAGAAATTCATCGTTTATAGTGATTAAGTTATGAAATGCACTTGCTGGATTATAATATGTTTGAGAATAAAATGAACTGTTTGATGACTGAGGTGCATTTAAACTGACATTGTATAAATTGTTCATTTGATCTTCCAATGATACAATAGATGATTCTGATGATGGAACTTTATGATGAGTATATACATCATTAGAAAATCCTTTAGTTAATGTGGGTGTAGGTAGTGATATTGATTCATTATAGGCCCTCTTTTCTGGTCCGATTATATGTGCAAGCTGTTTTGACCATAAAACAATTCGATCTAGCTGAAATACTAATTCTTTAGAAATATCTTTATTCATCGAATGCATGGATGACTCTTCTGATATATTTTTTGTAAAACTTATAAGTCTGTTAAGTCCGCTTAATAAAAGCTTCCGCTTATGACAAGCAGATGGATTATTATTTATGACTAATGAGTCATATGTTAACGTATTTGTTCGTATCAAAAGCTCTCGAACTCCTGATATTAGCCCTGTTACTCCGGTAATATATTCTTCCGTTTTACAGGCTAAAAAAAGCGTATATAATCCATGACTCGCCGTAACTACCGGTCTAACCGCAATCAAAATATATGGTTCTGTATATTTAAGCGGAAACCATCCTCGTGTATTCGTCTCAATTAATGTTCCATCTCCCCATCCACTAAAATGTTGGAAATGAACATATATAATTTGATCCTGTTCCATTTTTAAATACGTTGCATCCGACTGTTCAATAGAAAATGAATGAATCACACAACAATAGATTGGTTCATGTATTATACTATCTTCTGTTTTCTGTTCGTTTAATACTAGATCTTGAAGCATAGTCCCAATTGGCTGAGGCAACTGTGGCGGGGAACCATTATTTGCCTGCTTCTTTACAATCCTAAGAGGCGCTATCGTCATTTTCCCCGTATATATGCGTCTTATATGCGCTTTATTTTTTCTTTTTATTAACCAAACTATCGACCTATTGAATTCCTTATTTTCTCCCTGTTATACGCTTTTCTCGTAGAAAATACAAAGAACACTGATTCAATATGTCTTTATTCAACTTTATTTCCCTTATAAACTTATGAACCTCTATTTTTTCATAATTACTTGTCTTAAACACGCTCTGAAACGGGCTCCGCGTTGGCTCTAATTGTGTCTGAAAAAAAGTTCCATTCTGACAGCATTAAGTTTGGTAATGTCTTCTATTTCTTCTTCTATTATGCTTTTAGCCTATTTCGTTTTTATAGTGGGATCTATTTTACTCTGTAAGGCATAAGACCGAGAAATAGCGATAACTAGGTAATAAGTAGTTAAATCATGTTTCTGGCGATCATTTTTTTAATAAATTTTTATTAATTATTAATTTTTAATATGTATTTTATTAAATTTATTTAAAAAATTATAAATTTAATCATTATTTTAGCTATTTTTATGTGTAAAAATAAGATTTTTTATTCATAAATATAAAATTTTTGATATAAAAATATCCGATATTATCGAGAATAATGATTAAAAAAAAGTAAATATTATGAGATCGGCAAGTTAATCAGCTGAATAATTTAAATATTGATCTAAAAGTAATGATCCAAAAATATTGATCCAAAAACATAACTGTTTTTATAAATTCCCAATAATTATTTTAAAATTATACTTTAATAAATATTAATTTGTAAATATTTCTCGTACGTGTATTTAGTTATGTTTTTATTGACAGCTTTGGGTCTAAATAATATTAAAATTAGACCTAAAATGTTAAGAAAAGCTGAAATTGGTCTATTTTGTTATTAGTTTTTTGATTTAACGTTTTTTAGTTAGTCAAAAGACAAAATTGTAAAACTTTACTATTTTATGGGCTTAGATTATATTCAAATATTAAGTTATAAAATAAATATGTATTTAGTAGATATGTTTTTTAGAAGTTTAGAATGAAATTGGGTTTTTTAATTCTTTTAGAGGGTTATATCCAAGGATTAATTAATTTTTAATGTTTAACAAATCTTATTTTCGATATTGCTGGACATTGTGTATTTACACTATATAAAAAATATGTAAAAAGTTATTAATATAAAAACCATATTAAAAACAAGAAAAATATAATTGAATTATGGGACGTGAATTAGATGGATCATGTTGTTTATTTGGATGGTTGAAGGGGTTTTATCAGAGGATGAAAGATCGTCAGATGGAAAAGAAATTTCGAGCAGGAATGAAATATAGTGAATATGTAGTACATACAGAGAATGGAATGGAATGTACGTCTAAGAAGGCAGAACATGTATCGGATATTGTTGTATATAGATATCGTGAAAAAGATGATATACAAGATGATGAAAAAAGAGAAACATTATATCGTGAAGAAACATCATTACCAGCGGAAAAGAAGACTGAGATGCGTGTTTTGTCTAATAATACATTGACAGAATTTCAATTATTAGAAACAGATCAATTATCAAGTGGAATTAATGCCTTTTCTGAAGCTAAAAGTACAGATCCAAGTTCTCATTTCGTTTCATGTGCTGCTTCTGATGATACGGCATCATTAGTTCACTTATCAAATAATAAAAATGTTTATGATCAATGTCGTATAAGTATGGATACAAATGCTAGTATTTGTGCTTTAGCACCTTCTCGTCAACTAAGTTATAGTTCTCTTTCTAGTGCATGGACTGGCTCCAGAGTTGGTTTATCTTTTGTTTCAGAAGCTACAACTACAGTTCATTAAATATTACAAAATAGTTTTTTTATTTCGATGTTTGAGTTTTGTATTAAAGACGTTAACTTATTTCTTGGGTTTTTATCTGTGTTTGATTGTTTTTTACTTGTTAAATCTTTAATTAAAAATAGAAAAGATGATATATTGGTTTTTTTTCTAAAAAAAAAAAACATAAAATTCAATGCAAATACTTCGAATCATGAAAAGGGCTAGTCTATAATTACATTTGATGGTCTTGTTATTCTGGGCTCTTTTTTATTTATTTACACTTTTTATATTATTTTTTTTATGCGAATTTATATCATAAGTTTTGGAGGTCGATACAGACTTCAAAAATTATGCACACATAAATGGGTTAATAAGTATTGAATAAGATGGTTTATTAGGCAAGATGACATTCAGATTTGCAAACTCTCATAAAAAAGAGTCAGAATTGATAAATGATGAAGAGTTTTCAGCTTTGGTGAGTCGACTTATATTTTCAGCAGGTTAGTATGAAAAATAAGTAATTGTTATGAAGTTAAAAATAGAAAGGAGTTGATGATGAAGGACGGCCTCTTGTTGTTTTAAATGCATCTAATTTTCCTGATTCTAAAGTTGTTGATTATGACGAACTTCTTCGGCGTATGTTGCTTGTTATGGATACGTTCGTTGATGAAAATGATTATTCGGTAATATTGTTTGCAGGAGGGGTACAACACCGACCTAGATGGAACTGGTTATTTCAAGCGTATCAGTCTCTTGGACGTAAGTATCGAAAGTATATTAAAGTGCTTTATATTGTCCATTCAACATGGTGGATTCGAGTTATGTTGGATTGTGTATGTGTAACGCTTTTGGATGCACCGGAAGGAGCAATTGATAGACGATAGATGAATCATTTAGTGAGTCCTAAATTTTCTCAAAAGATGATATATGTTTCTACGTTAAGTGAGCTAGCTAAGTTGGTACCATTTCGGCAGATTAATGTTCCTCCTGATGTATATGCTCACAATTTGAAATACGAATCACATATTACTTTGTCAGAAATGTCTTCTGAATCTGTTTCTCAAATGTTTGGATTAAGTTTATCACAAGTTATGGGTAATGAGGGTGAAAATGGTTTACCAAGAGTTGTGAAGGATATTTGTGCGTATATTAGGGAAGAAGGTTTTTATTGATTTTTATTTTCTATATTGTTCTAATAGTTTTTTTGATAGCTTTAATGGTGGAAGGGTTATTTCGTCGATCGCCATCTTCTATTTTGCTGAAGCAAGTTCGTGAAGCGTATGATCGTGGCAATCCCGTGACATTATCTGAATACGGTCCTCATTTGGCTGCTGTTTTGCTGAAACTATATCTTAGATCTTTACCAGAACCTCTTTTTACACATAATTTATATCCTCTGCTTAGAAAAATATCTGATCGATCTTCTAAGAACGTTTTATTTATTCGAAATACATTACTTCCAAAGCTCTCTACACCATCTGTTATTCTTTTGGCTAATATATGTTTATTGCTTCATGGTTATACTTTAATGATAGTTTTTTATATTATTAATGATTATAGATGTTTCTTTGCATTCTAAGGAGAACTTAATGCATCCACGTAATCTTTCTATTTGTATTTCACCAACTCTTGTACGGCATCCAACAGATCCTCTTCTTGATGTTCAACTATGCAATCTTGGAGGTGGTCTTGGAATGATGATGGTTATTGCCATTGAAAGTACATATGATATCTTTGATTTTGTTTTTCCTTTAAATTCCGAAAGTTCACAGTCTGATATGATTCAAAAGATACCTGAACCTTTACATACCGAAATGGTACAAAAGATGCCTAAAACTTCGCATAATGAAATAGTACAAAAGACACCTGAACCACCACATAATGAAATAGTACAGAAGGCATCCGAATCTTCATGCAATGAAATAGCGCAAAAGATGCCTAAAACTATACATAAAGATATGGTACAAAAGACGCCTAAAACTTCACATAGAGATATGGTACAAAAGATGCCCAAAACTTCACATAGTGAAATAGTGCAAATGACATTTGAACCTTCACATAATGAAATGGTACAAAATACATCTAAATCTTCATATAATGAAATAGTACAAAAGATACCTAAAATTATACATAAAGATACGGTACAGAAGATGCCTAAAACTTCGCATAGTGAAATAGTACAAAAGACATCTAAACCTTCACGTAATGAAATGGTACAAAATGCATCTGAATCTTCACATAAAGATATGGTACAAAAGATGCATAAAACTTCACATAGTGAAATAGTACAAAAGATGCCTAAAACTATACATAAAGAGATGGTACAAAAGATGCCTAAAACTTCACATACTGAGATAGCACAAGGAATTCCTGAGACTATACATACAGAGGTGGTACAGGAAACTTTTGAATCCTTTATACCGGGTCTCGTAGATTCTGCTCCTGCGTCATATCTTTCGCAAGTTTTTTCCTCATCTTCTATCTCATGTGTATCGTCATTAACACCGGGACAATCGAGAAAGTCTATATCTTTACCCGAATCACCTTTATTTAATGGTGTTGTTTCTCCATTAAAGCATGAACCTATAAATGAAGGTTCTTTTTTATTAGCAAGTAAGCCTAATAGGTCTTCAAATTTGACAATTAGAAGGCAGAATCTCTCGTCTTTATCTAATCTTTCTTCTACTTGCCGAAGATCTAAAACGATCTCTGTGCATGAAATGTTTAATCCTAAATTAAGATCTGGAATCGATATATCTCCTAATGCGAATTTCTCTTTAATTGGATCTAATCCTTTGAAAGTGAAAACTGGTCTTGTGGAAAGTTTGAGGAATTTGTATGAAGAAAAATATATTTCAAAAACTTCTAAAGATTTTAATGTTCCAAAATTCCAGGGAAAACGTGTTATCATTTAAAGGATAAATTTTGAATTTCTTATATAGGTTATTTTAAGAATTATGTATAAAACTTTATTCATTTTGCCATAAATCTTACTTCTTTGACATTTTAATTGTAATTTTTATGACAACTCTTATTGAACTTCTAAAATAATTTTAATTAAATCTCGTTGCAGAATAGAGTCTAGCTTTAAATCTGATGCAATCCTCTTGTTTGATTCTAATATGATTTATATTTGTCCAAACTTACTGTAGTTTATTTATGGTTGAGTTTATTTTGGTTTTTTCAGATAGTTTATATTTACTAAAAAATATATTATTTCTGAAATTGATATTAAAATGAAATAACTTGGTATTCAAAAAAAAAAAAAATCAAACCCCTAAATTATCAATAAGTTTATATTTTTTTAATTTATAAAAAATATTGTAATTTTTTAGTTTTGATATGAATAATTTGGATTTATGTACGTCGTTTTCATTTATATCAATGTTAGTTATCCAAGATGGGCGACGCCAAAATTTTAAAAGTAGACTACTTAAAACGACACTAATACTTGAGAATGCCATAGCAGCACTTGAAATTATAGGATGTAAATAAATACCAAATGGTAGAAAAAATCCCATTGCAAAAGGAATACTTATGATATTATATATACACGCCCAGAGCATATTCAATCTAATTCTGTTAAATATTGCACGAGAAAGATGTATTGCTGCTGGAACATCAAGAATTGGATCAGGATGTGTTAAAATAACATCAGCTGCCTGTATAGCTATATCACTTCCTGCAGATAAAGCTATTCCAATGTTTGCTACTGTTAATGCAGCTGAATCATTTATACCATCTCCTACCTAGAAAAGAATTAATAAATAACTTGAATAATATTATAAGATTACCATTGCTACTGTTTCATTTTGAGACTGGAGATATATAATTAAATTATGCTTTTCCTCTGGAGTAACAGATGAATAAATTTTATCATCTGGTATATTTAAGCTTCTTCCAACATTTAATGCTATGTCTGTACGATCACCTGTTGCCTAAATAAAATAAATATTTAAATTTATATATATATATATGAATAAATGTATACCATCAAAACATCAATTTTCATATGTCTAAGAGCATTTATAGTTTTCGCTGCATTAGCTCTAAGAATATCAGCTAAAGAAATCCATCCAGCAAATTTATTATTGATAGCTATATAAACGTGTGTATATTCTTTATTTAAATTATTTTGTGTTTCATTTAGAAATTCTTCAGACTGGTCTCCAAGTATTTTTCGAATATGTATTTCGTTTCCAATTGCTAGCTCTGTACTTTCTTCTGTATAATTAGGTAAAAGTATACTACATTTAATTCCATATCCTGCAACAGTCTCAGATGTCACTGAATAATCTATAAGTTCTTCTCCTGCTAAACTAAGCTCTTCTTTAGCCTTTAATCTAATTGCTTTTCCAATTGGATGTTCTGATTCTTCTTCGGAAATATATAGTAGTTTCCACCATAATATTTCTAAATCTTTCCAAGCATTGGATATTTTAACTTCGTTTACACTCATATATCCAAGAGTTAAAGTACCAGTTTTATCAAAAACTACTTTTGTAATTTTTGATACTGTTTCTAAAACAATTCCACTTTTAAAAAGAATTCCATTTTTTGCACCAATGCCTGTACCAACCATAATTGCAGTTGGTGTGCTAAGACCAACTGCACATGGGCACGCTATAATAATAACGGATATTGCAAGTTTGGCCGACGTTATCATTTTTCCACCCTGTTCTTCAGAATTGAAAATTTGTGGAAGACGAGATATTGTATGAGTAAGTATCATCCATACAATAAATGTCATAATTCCTAAAAAAAGTACTAATGGCACAAAAAAAGATGATACTTTATCAGCAAGCTCTTGTATGGAGGCCTGAGATGTCTGTGCATCTTGTATAAGAGATATAATTTGAGATAGTCTAGTATTTTTATCTGTTTTTGTTACTTGGAATTCAATTCGTTTTGCACAGTTCGCTGTCCCAGAATAAACAATGCTTCCTTTCTGTTTATAAACTGGTGTAGATTCTCCTGTTATCATGCTTTCGTCTATATAAGATTCTCCAGAAGTAATAACTCCATCTGCGGGTATTTTGTCTCCTGGATAAACAATCACAGTATCATTAATATTTAATAATTTAGTAGGGATGGTTATTTCCTTTTTATCCAATGGACTATTTTCGTTTATATAAATTGTTGTAGATGATGGATTCAATGATATTAATTTGGATAATGCTTCTGATGTATGACTCTTAACTTTATTTTCAATATATCTTCCAAGAGTAATAAATGTAATAAGTATTGCAGAAGTATCAAAAAAAACTGATGGTCTCTTATGAGGATATGTTGAAATAGAGAATAATATAGAAAAAATAGAAAAAAAAAACGCTGTAGATGTTCCTATACATATTAAGGTATCCATTGTTATGTTCCTGTTACACAAAGAGTTGAATGCTGATTTATAGAAATATATACCGATGCTGAATTGAATAGGAATTGTTAAGATTAAAGATAAAACATCGCCAAAAAAAAGACCTGGAAAAAATAACATCTTTGTTTCTAATTTATTATAATCCTTGAAATATGGTGCGACTTTTTGAAAAAAAAGTAATGGAATAGCAAAAATAAGACACTTTATAAATGATTTTTTCCACATTTCTATATCTTTAGTTTTGTTAAGATTTTCTAATTTTTCTTCTGTACTACAGAAATCTAATATATCTGCATCATATCCTGCCTTTTTTATAGCATTAATTAGTGATTGAACACTTAAAATCCTAGGACAATAGTTGATTTTTGCCCCCTTTGTTGCAGGGTTAATGCAAATATTATTAATACCATTTATAGATTTTAAAGCAGTTTTTATAGAGTTCACGCAGTTATAACACGTTATTCCATTTATTTTCAATCTTACTGTGGTATCTTTTATGATATCATCATTATCAAAATCTGTCTTATAGAGAATCGCTTCACTATCAATAAAAGATGTTTCAATGCCTAAGTCTCTCAACTCATCTATAAGATCATTAATGCCTATGACAGAGATTTTATGTTCGATTATTATTTTTTTAGCAGAAGATATATTAATATTATGTATTCCTGGATTTTTTTTAAGATTTTGCTTCATGATTGAAATACATGAAAAGTTTGAAATCTTTTCTATAGAAAGAATGGTTTTTCTAAAATCGTCCATTTTTTGGTTTTCTAAGATATTATCTAGTGCTATAGGTGAAGCATATTTATAGGATTTTTTAATATAACTTTGCAACCCCATTGTTTAATATTATTAAAATCTTAGAAATTTTAGATAACCTTTATTCAAGTAAGTATATTTTTCAAAAATTTATAAATATTTTGATAATTTTTATATTCTCAATATTTTTTTAAAAAGATCGTAAAATTGTAGATAATTTATAAAGTCTATAAGGTATTTCTGCTTTTACGTATAGTTAAGAAATGGTATAAAAGATCAAGAAATGGATAATTTACACTTTTTTTTATCTATAATTATATATCTACTTGTATTTTTTATAAGTTTATATTAGGAATTACGCGAATAATAATAAAATTGTTTAGTGTTTTATAATTATCTAATAATAAAATGTTTATCTTAAGATTATAGTATTTAGTTTAGAAATATTGATTTTTTTTATTAGTTTTTTATAATCAATATTATTTTACGTTTAGATTTAGAAATACTTATATTGAAAATCTAGTATTAAATTTGTTTATTTTTGATTTAGATATTGATTGATTACTTTGTAATTATTATCTTGAGATATTTAATGTTTTCTATTTAATGTTATATACATGTTTTTCTTGTCTCCAGCTTTCTTGAATAATTCTTTTTAATTTAAAAATTTATGATATTTTAAAAAATGCAAATTTTTCATTTTGAAATAATGTATTTATATAAGATGTTTAATTTATTTGATATAATTTCTAAATACTTTTTCTTAAGTATTATGTATATTTTTAAATAAAATTATCGTTTAATTCTTTGGAAATTAAGGTATTGAAGGTCGTTTTTTAAAAAATGTTTAAGTTTCATATATTCTTGGTTTTTTATGTTTTTATTTTTGAAGTTAGTATTTTTAAAGGGTTTTTGAAATTAACTTATTTTTATAGATATCTTATTTTTTATATGAAAAATCATAGTAATTCAAGTGCTTGATAATTCCAAGAAATATGGAATTGAACGTATTCTTTGAAATTATAAAAGTGTTTTTGTATGAATATTGATGGTTCATAAATGATATTTTGTATGAGACAATGTTAGTAAAGTTGGGTTTATTAAGAATTCGTCAACTTTTAAAGTATCTTGGGAATCCACAAAATTCTTTTCAGGCGGTTCATGTTGCTGGTACTAATGGAAAGGGGTCTGTATGTGCATATCTTTCTTCATGTCTTGCTCTTTCTGGGATTCGTGTTGGTCAGTATTGTTCGCCACATTTGATAGACCGTTGGGATTGTGTTAAAGTTATTGGTAGAGATATTGATAAACATCAGTTTTTGGAGATTGAGAGTAAAATAAAAAATTTAAATCAGAGATGCAATATTGGTGCAACTGAATTTGAGATAATGACTGCTGTTGCTTTTGAAATATTGTCTAAGAATAATGTTGAATTGGCTGTTATTGAAACAGGTGTTGGTGGAAGACTCGATGCTACTAATGTATTATCACAGGTTTTGCTTACAATTATTACTAAGATAAGCATGGATCATCAAGAGTTATTAGGAAATACGATACAAAAGATAGCAAGGGAAAAATCCGGTATTATGAAAAAAAATATTCCTTGTATTGTTGATGGAACCAATGAAGATTCTGTTTTGAAAGTTATTAAAGAAGAGAGTATTAAGAGTGGATCTTCTAGAGTTATTTTGACTCCTATGGATTTGGATAAATCTTTGTATATTCAGGAATGGAAAAAACATGAGTTTAAAACTTCATTGTATAGGACTTATCAAAGGACTAATCTTGCATGTGTTTCTGCTTCTTTGGAAATTTTGTCTAAATATTATCCAAAGATTACACCTGATATTTTATCAAAAGGGCTTTTAGAAACTTATTGGCCAGGGCGTTTAGAATGGATAGATTTATCTCAAATAGCTTTTGGTGCTAATAAAATTCTTCTTGATGGTGCTCATAATATTGATGGTATAAACTCCCTTTCTGAATATATTAATAGTATTCGTAATGGAGTTCAATCTGTTTCTTGGTTGACTGCATTTACTCAAGGAAAAGATGTTGATTCTTTATTGTCAATATTATTAAAACCTTATGATAAAATACATTCTGTAGAATTTGAACCTGTAGATGGAATGCAATGGATAAAACCTGTAAATTCTTCTGAAATTGCTAAAATAGCTCGGAAATACTTATATGAAGAAAATGTTAAGCAGCATGGCACAGATTTGCTTTCTGCAATAAGGTCTATTAGTCAAGATAAAGGTTTACAAGTAATATGTGGAAGTCTTTATTTAATAGGTCAAGTGCATAGACTTTTACATAAAAGGATTTTGTTACAAAAGGGTAGTAGAAAATAATAATAATAATTGATATTTTTGTATATTTTTTTTTATTTTGCTTAATTTTTGTGATAACGCTGTTTAAGTACATACTTAATTATTTATTATATTTATGTTTTATATGCTAAACACTTTGAAAAGATATGTATTTAATGTTTATATATAAGATATATTATAATTCTTTTGCTAATTTATAGAAATTTTCGAATACGATTAAATATTTTTGCTAATAAATTCATTAATATAAAAAACTATTTTATAGAATTATTTATTTCTATGAAATCATATACTTCTAGAAATATTTATTTAGAAAGATTTTAACTTGTAAACAAATTGGTCTTTAGAAAATAATTTATAAAATATTTAGTTCTTTTAAAATTAATAGTAACAAATCTTTTTTAAATTGTTTATGAATCTTAAATTAATAAAAAAGGGTTTCTTTAACATTGTATTAAATAGAGTTATTAAAGTATTTTTTTATTATGAAATGTTTAATCTTTTAAAAAAATGTTAATATTATTAGTTATAATGTTTAAATGTTTTAAATATTCAAGCTTAAAAATATAATTTGCAGTTTATGCCTTTTTAATATTCTTGTTTAATATATATTAGTTTTTGTATTTCAAATTGATTTTTATTATTATATATATGCTTGAGTGAAGAGTTTCTCGAGAATGAGCCGCGTGTACTTTATTAAATTTTTAGTTGGATTTTGATTAAAAATCAGTCTTATAGAGTTATAATTAGTATATTATGGCATTTTTTGAAAATACTAGGAAATAATTGTCTAAAATTTTGAATTTAAATACATTAAATATTGGTTAAATTATTAAGAACAGGGGTGGTAAACTAAGAGAAAGAAACAATTAGAACAAAATGGCTACTGATAACAAGAAGCTATCTGTATATGTATGTTTTTCCTGCTATATATATGTTGAAAAATATCTTAATATTTTTATTTAGCATTTAGGTGATTGTCTTGGGAAGGGTGCATTTGGCGCTGTATATCGTGGATTAAATCCAAATACTGGAGAAACGGTAGCGGTAAAGCAGATAAAGCTACACAATATTCCAAAAACTGAGTTGAAAGTTATTATGGTATGTTATATTATTTTTTAATTTTGAGAGTTTACTATTCAGATGGAAATTGATCTTCTTAAAAATTTAAATGTAATTTGAATTGCCAATCATAAATATTTTTATTGATATATTTCTATATTTTAGCATCCTAATATTGTAAAATATCATGGTTTTTTTAAAACAGCTGATGCATTGAATATCGTTCTTGAGTATTATATTCTTAGGTATTATGGCTAGTATTGATGTGTTAGATATTGCGAAAACGGTTCTCTTCAGAGCATATGTAAAACTTTTGGGAAATTTCCTGAAAATTTGGTAGCAGTTTATATTACTCAAGTATTACATGGTCTTCTTTATCTTCATGATCAGGGCGTCATTCATAGAGATATTAAAGGTGCAAATATCTTGACAACTAAAGAAGGATTTGTAAAGCTGGCTGATTTTGGTGTGGCAACAAGGACGTCATCATTGAGTGATTTTACTGTCGTTGGAAGTCCTTATTGGAGTATATATTGTATACGTTATATTTTTAAAATATTTAACAATTATTAGTGGCACCTGAAGTAATTGAGCTTAGTGGTGCTACTACTGCATCTGATATTTGGTATGTAATATATGTTTTTAGATATAGTTATAAGTATCATAGGAGTGTCGGTTGTACTGTTATTGAACTTTTAGAGGGGAAGCCTCCGTATCATAAATTAGATCAGATGCCTGCTTTATTCAGGATTGTTAATGATGAACATCCTCCACTTCCTGAAGGCTCTTCTCCTGTATGTTTCAAAATAGTGAAGATTTTCCTTTAACAATCCAGGTTACTCGAGATTTTCTTATGCAATGTTTTCAGAAGGATCCTAATCTTAGAGTATCTGCAAAAAAGTTACTTAAACATCCTTGGTTGGTTAAGCAAGGAAGATTATATGATAAAATAGTTCCTCAGTCTACTGCAAAATATGATGATGTTATAAAGAGTGTTCAACAGTGGAACGCAGCTTTGAAGTCCCCAGATATTGGGACTATTCAAAAATCATCTGTATATTCTACACAACCATTTAAGTCTACTGATTTTTATTTTTCTGCCAATGAAACTAAAGAACTTACTTTAAAACATGTTTCTGAAATAAATAAATTAAAAACAGAAGCTTTTAGGTCTCCTGATGATTCAAGTAACTTATCTTTTTTTTGAGTTTTTTAATAATATTTTTAGTCACATCAAATTGGGATAATGATTTTATTACTGATATTTCTCCATCTAAACTAGTATTGTCTGATTCACATTACAAAGCGACTGGGTTAAACAATAGGGTCTTGTCTAAGAATGCAACAGAAATACCATATAGATTTAAAGAAATATCTTCTAAATCCTTAGATGATTGGGATAAAGATTTTGAAGGAGGGTTGAAATTAGGGAATTTTCAAAGTAAGGGTTTTTTAATTGTATAAAGATCTAATTTCATTGTTTTAGAATTAAAAATATCTGCAAATGAAGATATTGAAGATAATATGAAGACTATACGACCTCTTAAGAATATAAAGTATAATGAGTTATCTTTAAGTAAAAAAATAGATACAATGCTGATTGAAACTAATAGTTCCAATAATATGTCGCCTTTTAATACTAAACTTCAATTATCTGATAAATGTTCCAAAGACATTTCATCTTTTCATTATGAAGTAACTGAGGATTATTCCGATTTGGTTCCTGAGAATG